CCCAGCCTTTCCACCGTTGATCTCACCTCTAGCGCATGATATAGCCATGTGGGTGGCAACCTACCCGAGGGGAGGATAGAACACGCAGCATTGTGCCATCACGCAGGAGAGACGGGCTCGATAGGATGACAGGCCCACTAGTTACCAAGGATCGAAGCAACAAAATGGAGAGACAGAAGGGAACACCATCGGCTCTTTTTTTTGTGTGTCCGTCATACCCCACGATGCGGGCGCCCGAGGTGGAACCGAGACAATGAGCACCGAATTGGATCCTTCGCTCCCGTCGAGTGACTCAGTTTCCATTCCAGCCTTTGTTTCCTTCCTCTTTAGAGTTTCAATTTCTTTAGCTTCACTTTCCCCCTTGTCACAAGGGCTTACCTGCCCTCGGCTTGAAGCAGCAACTCGAAAGAGGGGTTGGGTTCCCTGTAAGTTTACCTTTTTGACGGCGTTTTCGAACGGGGGAATGCGGACAAAAAGGTTCTGTTCCTAAACAATGAACGTTATCATGGTTCGCATGGCTTGCATCGTCGTGTGTCACAGCTTACATACAGGTAGGTCCTCGCACGTTTTGCCCAATATGGCCAGGGGATTTGGGTTCTTGTCCTCACGACACACCCTGGATTTGACACTCACACTAGCTCCCGACGGGGCAAGGCGGACCTTTTTTGGGGGGGGGCTTGTGGTTGCGTTTGCGGGGCTCGGCAACCACATGTGTGGTGCGCAGGAACGACCCAGAATGTCACCAAAATCGCATGTGAATATTTTTATCAGAAGGTTCTCGATTTTGTTGAGAGGAGGGGGGGTGAGGCGGGAAGCACGCAAGACACCCACCAGGAGAAGCCACGGACGGACCCGGCCCTTCGATCAACAGTGCACTGTTAAGGTTAGTCTTAAGAACGGTAGAAATTGATGAGCTCGCGCTGGGCGTCTGTGTACTCGGTCCCGTCTAACGTGCGCAGATTTTACCACCGGCCTTCTTGTTTCGGCTTCCGCCGTCGGGCAGGCCGCGGCGGGCTCTGCTGCGAATTCCTTGCCCGAAACTCCACTGGCTTGACGATGACCGTCGTTGCCCGAGGCCTGAACGTTGAAAAGTGACGTACTGATTCCGAGAAACCTCGCTCGGACCCGGAAGGTGTGAAGGCCATCGTGGTCGACTCCATTGTGGGTGCAAATGTGGGTGCTTCATTTGTAGTGTATGCGTCGAAAAAGATGTCGACGTCGATCGAGCATGCCGGTTGCCAAGAAGTGGGGGATAACGGCTTCGAAGACAAGATCATGTCATTGCGGCATGAACTGGCCAGATACCTCCACTGGCCGCAGTCAATGGAGGTCACCCACCGAGAACCGATACGCGGGTTCCGCGGGATGGGAGGGTCTTGGTCCCCCGGGGCAAAGACCCTTCTTTGGACTCCTCGGCCGGCGGGGGCCACTGCGGGGGTTTCATGAAAGCTGTCCAGCGGCCAGCCCCCAGGCCAGCGTCGGTCCGAGAGTTGCTCTGAGTGAGTGTGGGAAAAACGGACTGTGTCTCGTAGTTAACGGGAACCTTCAATTCAACTTTCTCGAAGAAAATTAACATTGGGTACGCACGTGGTATGGCACGCAGAACAGACCGTGGCAATCCAAAAGGTTCGAGAACTTCGATTCGATCCGAGGCGAAGATAGTGTACGGATAACTTGGTCGAGGGCGCATTTGCGGGCCCCTTCCCGTACCTGTCAGGCCCGCCCTGTTTCCGTCACACGCGCTCGAGATCCCTGTTTCTGTCAAAAGTTGGGATTTCTTGCGAAAGGAAAAAAATGCAATTTATTTATCCGAACACGGCATGGGGTATGTGGGGTTTGAGTTACCCTGGCTGTGACGGTAACAATTGCTGTCACTTTGCTTGTCACTCATTCCTGCCATTTCCCAATATTTTTGACTCCAAACTCCAAAACGACTAGTAGAATACGTTAACCCAGGGAACCACAAGAAAGCCAACAAGCACGGCAGTCTGCAGGTTGCCGATCGTACCCACGCAGTGGAGGCACCGATCGAGAGGCTCGATCCCGGTTGCTCAAGCGCGATCCTTGGAGACGAACGGCGGGTCTCCTTTCTCTTCAACTGTTTGAGGTTCCAGGTCGTTTCGTTACCACCGGAATCTTCATTTTCCTGTTGCTCTCCTTTTTCTCCTCATCTTCGACTGAGCCCGTTCAACGAAACGAATTTAGACACCGCATTTTATTAACTCGCTTATGGTTCCCATCCACAGCGGAGAAGTCCACTCGTGGACCCGAGAAAAGAGTTCCCGTCATGTTTCTTCAACCATCACACTCCGCGAGCTACAGGGAAGGCAGAAACAGAGAAATTTGTAGTCTTGAGCGGGTGGGCAACCGGGGCCGTCAGCAGCCAAGACACGATGTGTCACGCCTATATGCCCTCGAACCCAGATGCCCGGCATTGCTGGTGTGGCATGTTGCTTGTCAACGTGTCGCCGTCGAACGGAATGGATCCTGCGCTCGGGAAGAGCCCGAAGGCAAGCCCAGTTGCTAGTGTATGAGCGGGTACGGGCCATGTCGAGTCGATGCTGAGACATTAGTAGGACCCCAACCCCCTTCCCGTGCGCAAAGCAGGGAACAGGTCGGCAGTCATTCACCTTGCGAGTGGCAGACCGGAGAACTGCGTCCGTGTACGTGGAGTTCCTGCTTAGAAAGGTAGGTGGTTAAGGACTAAGAAGCCCGCGCGCGCGCGGACTAACGAAGTTGAGACCCTGAACGAATTCTCGTCAATGTATGTGCCGCCTTGACCTCCTTTCTCAAGCTCAAGCACAAACAAGGCAAAGCTTGAAGACGAAACTGCAATTTGAGTTGCTTGTATAGTCCTGTTTCTAGACTCGCACGGTGGGCAAGCCCCATCCAACGGAGACAGATCCGCGATCTCGACAACTGCCCAGGCGCCTGCCAATATCGGCAAGTGGCTGAATGTCTGGTTGTTATTCGGTGTGACCCCGGAGGTTGAGTTAAGTTTATTAGTACCGTGGCAACGTGGTACGGTATGTCTGGAGTTGAGCTGAGAAGATTCGCCGTCTCGTTCTCAGCCGACGTAGCATATAGCAGGGGTGGTGGTTTAAATTTCCAAGTTTCTTGCGTGAGTTGACAGTTGGATTAGAGCCCCCGGCCCTGGAACTGAACGTCAAGACCGTGAAAGTCAATCTCAACCAGTGGCTTGAGCACATGATTAACATTATCCGTACCTAGCTGTTCCCGAGAGTTTAAGACCCACCGCTGATTGATAGACGCTAACCGCACACCACAAAATACCACGTTGGCGAGATGCTAGGTTGGTAACCGAGTTTTGAGTTCTTGTGGCGAACAAGATTAGGGAACAAAGTCTCCAACATGCTGCTAAGTGTGGTTGACAAGCCCCATGGGAGGTATAAGACCTTATGATATACGGTATTAAAACCGTTGGACAGGCATCGTCGCCTATAACCGCCGTCCTATACTCGGTACATCGCGTACGACCGCACGCCGCGCAAGCAAAGAACATGCGGGAAGTCGATGCCGCATTCTGTATTGTAAACAGTATTCGACGCGACGGTATGGAAGCCACAAACGTGGCACATATATACAGGGAGTAAAGTGTGTAAATATATTGTCTGCGCAACAAACTCCTAGGTGCTGGAGTCAATGTTAACGGCGAGATTGCTGAAGGGCTACTGCCGGGTACCATGCGGCGATTAATACAATCATGATATATAGAGAAGGGACGAATCTCCCCTTTCTCACCGGGGGAACCCCATTACGGGAATGTGACACATCTCAACTCAACCGGGCATCTCCTCACACACCGGTCATCGAAGCGAAGAGGATGGCTTAAGTCATCTTTTCTAGCTGCCTTAAACCCATCGGCCAAGATCATCATACGCATCTCTTGCATTCCAACTGTATGTATGAAGGCGCATCAAAGTTGCCTAGATTGGTAGCTGCTTTGCGAGGGGTGTTACAATCAACGTAGTTATGTCCTTGTTGATGCGAGCCCCGGAGGCCGTCGCCCCTTCGGTTAAATCATCAATAAATATCCAACACTAATTTGGAGCCGATGGCCTGATCATGTCATATATCCACACAAAATATCACCACACACCAAGCTTCGATCCTTTCTCGAACCCCCGCTCGGTCGAGAACAAACACGGCCCGGAATGAAGGGTGGTCTCCCCCCACTCGCTATCACATCGCGAGGGGTTGCAACCAGCGGCCAGACTCTGTGGACAAGCAAACCTGCAGGCCGAGCCGCGCGCGGCTCACCGGGGAATGTAATATACTTTACAGGCGGGATGGTTCCCTTCTAGAACCCTTCCCGCTTCTTCTATTTCTCTGTCCGACACACCCTCAATATCAGCCCGTGTTCGGACGGCCGTCAATCATCTATATACCGTGCCGCGTCATACCTTCCCCAACCGCGTCAGCGTTTATTCCATTGCGGATGTCGGGTGTTCCTAGTCACCGAATCGGCTAACTTCTGCGGCCTGTGTGCTAAAGAGAAGGGAGAGCTTGCTGGGGTTCATCTACTTCATGTCGTCAGCGATAATTTTTGACGATGGGGGCCTCAGGCAGCGGGGTTAGTCTTGCGCAGGTACTCCCATCCGTCACGTATTGCTTGCTTGACGGAAAATGGCGGGCTTGTGATTCATTTTCCGGAGGGATTGTCACATTAGATACGTGAGGGTTGATAAGACAATGAATAACATGAAGTAACTGAGAAACTAGTGCGGTGCCAAAAATGTGATTTTGCGAGTCCAAGGAATTAAAAGTATCCGCTAATGCAGTAAATCAGGGTATTGCAACAAACAAAGGGGAAGCCAGAGCTATACGTGATACACCAACGCAAATATTTCCAGCTTCCCAAAAAAAGCTTGGGGATCAGCCCGATACTCCGTTCCCATGTCCAAAATCAAGGCCGTCCTGACAGCCGGTGAAGCCAACTCGAACCAAAATGCAAAACCTTAGATATTTCAAACCGGATATCACTTCGTGCCCCCACTCCTTAGCCGTTCCCAAATCTGCGGCCGCTTCTTACTCGTCTTTTTTACCGCGACATCCCCCCTTTCATGCTTCCCAGTAGATGCGGTGGCGGCACCCTCTCCGCCTGCTGGAAGTCCGGCTTCCTGGAACCCGGGATCGTTTCCAAGCCCTTCACTCTTGGGATCAATCTCCTCGTAGTCGTGGTCGTACTCATTTCCAAAATAATCCTCCCTATGCTTCACGGGATAGTCCTCAAACTTCTTCAAGGAAGTGTTTGAGTCGGAACGCGGTAGGTTCCCTCCCCCACCTGCAGCAGCCGCGGCTCGCATCTTTTCCAGGCCGCTAGTGAGCGGGCCGACGAGGGGCGCTTTACGCAAGTCAAAGTCATCATCGTCTAGGCTTTTGTCGTGGTCGCGACCGGCTACCCCAGACCAGTCCACCTGCTTGAACGACTGGCTCCGTCGGGTTCCGCTGTGGAAAGGTGGAGGAGGTGAGCCGGCTGGGGAAGTGGGTTCGTCGAAGACTTCGACGGGGCGCATCGTTTGGGACTTCTTGTACAGTGCCGGGAAGCGTGCCTCGAACTCGACTTCAAGCTCCTTTTGGTGCTGCTCGACTGTCCTCCTGCGCTCGAACTTTCTCGCTGGGATGAGGTCGACTGTCCCGGCGCGTTGTTGGCTGGTGAATATATCTAACCACTCGCGATAATCCTCGTTCCGGGTGTGCGCTTCAAGCTGTTGATTGTGTCAGTTACGGAAGTCACCTCAAGTATGCCAGGGACCATAAGCACTTACATCTGTTGGGCTAGACTGTTGCCGGAGACCGTCAACATACTCCTTAGCCTCACTCGTCATCTTAGCTCCACCGATATGCTTGTCAAAGGATGCCGAGAACTCGCGATAGTGGCCTTTGAGGATGAATGATTGGCCCTGCCACCCCTTGCGCCGGAACTTGGCGTACAGAGCGTCGGCAACAGGGCACTCCCAGCCAAACTCAACGACTCGATCGTAGAAGACGACACACTTGAAGTGCGACCACTTGCTGAAACTGCGGCGGCTTTGGTCGTCCATAAATGTGTCCTCGATCATCTCGAGAGACGTATTCTCCACAAAGCTGAGGGGCGCTCTCAGGTTGATGGCATCATGGATATGCGAGCGTTCGAAGTCTGTCGACGAACGTAGGTCGACAAGCAGGATGCCTTTAGAGGGGTAAATTTCGAGAAGCCTGTTAAGGTGACCGGGCAGTATCATGCGGCTACCGTCCTGGGTAATTTGCTGCGGGCTTTCATCCCTCAGGGCCTGGAGGTTGTTGTCCGTCATCCGTTCCTCTCGGCGATGGTGGAACCAGAACTATTTTTTTGTCAGTAGAACGCTCGGCGTGGTTAATACACGGGCTGGGAGCTTACGTGGATATCGGCGGTCTCAACCCCGAGGTTTGAGGCCAAGTGTTCTATAATGGCGACGCTCGGTTCCGGGTCTTTCTGAAAGTAATCCTCCAAGCGCCCAATAACATGGGGCGCCATTTGCTGCCCACGGGGGACGTCTTGGTCGGGCTGGAAGAGGGACTTTTTAGAAGTCCGGGTCTGATTGAGAATCATGGTCCTCGAGATCCCTTCGCTAGGAGATGGGAAGTCACCGCCACCTCCTGCACCTATCCCCAGGGAGTTGTGGTAGCGTCTGTCGATGGTACGCAATGAAGTGGTGGAAGCCACGTTTCTCAGAGACCCACCCAGACTGGCCATCGAAGGTTGGGGCCGGGGCCGTGAACTGGACCCGGAGGACGGGTACGCATCGGGGGCGGAAGAATCGAACCGATTGCCGGTCAAGGGCCCGACGTGTGGGGGTAGTCGATGGTTCATTTGAGGGTAAGGGGTGACCGCACTGGAGTGGGTGCGGTGCAGGCCAGAGGTCGCAGCTAGGTGTCGAGCCATATTTAAACTCTCCGACGGCCCATATGTCGTCCCGGATAGATAGGATTCGGTATCGTCGCGAACTGTTTCGGTGACAGGTACTGGTTCCGCAACTGGGACGCTCTCTGGTTCCTGGGCAGGCTTCTGAACGTTGATGAGATTGTTCGACCGGATGAAGGCGACAAAAGAGCAGGCCGGGTCATCAGGAAGGAAATCCCAAACCATAACCGGAAGCGAGAGCAAGAGCATGGTGGAATGGCTTTTGAAGATGCCTTGGACTTTGACGTATTTTGCAATGGCAGGGAACGCGCCAAGCCAAGTCTCCCAATCGTTCAGATCCAGGCGTTGGTCATCTTCCAGCGCCAACGAGATAAGCACATGAGGCTCATCCTCATTGGGTTCCGAGGTGGCGGGAATCCCGTAGTCGGGAAGGGGGGGTATTTGTTCAACCGGGTTCCGGCCCTCGATCATCCTCGGGAGGGTAGGGTGGCTCCAATAAGCCGCTTCGGTTGTTGGTGGAGACAAGGGGATGTGTTTTCGGGGGACCAGCCGACACAGCTCTATACTAGGCGCCCTATGATTGGAAGTCATCATGAAATGCACTGGAGTGGATCGGGCTTCGAAATGTTTCCCGTTGATAAGGATAGGCCGTGGGTGCTTTAAACGAGCAAGAATTTCGGCGTGGAGCATGGCGGCTGAAAAGGTCCGTTGGCGCCACTCCTCGAGCACTTCGATTAAGGCGTTGGTAAACGAATAGCGACCCGGGTCAGGCGCAATAGCATCCCAACTCGATGCCGAGATGGTTTCTGTGATGCTTTTCCCGGTGGGGAAAGTGGCACTCGCAGCTCCAGCACAGCAATCGAGGAGGATCATAACATCCGAGATGGACCGTTCGAGGAGAGTCTGGATCGCAGACCATCTATTAAACAGGTCAACCGACACGTGGTTCTATTTAGTGGCATGGAAGGTGGTGTGTGGACTTACTGGAGCCAGGGGGAACCGGGACGGCGGTTTCTAATGGGCGGTTAGGGGCCATGTCTAGGACAAAAGACAAGGCGGAAAGGAAACGGGACAAGATTCGCTACTTACGCACACCACGTACTCTGACGCGATTCATCTATCCTTGCATGGCCACCGTAATAAACGACAAACAGAGTGTCCTCAGATTCGTGCTGCTTGACCAGATCGCCAATCTTGAGCATCAACTCCAGATGGGGATTCTCAGAGGGGATGGAGAAGATATCGGTGGCGAAGTTGTAGCGCTCGCGGAAGCACTTCTCCAGGTCCTCGAGCTCGGGAAGTACGAACAAATCATCAGACTTCCAGTGGAGCATGAGAGCCTGCACCTTGGTGTACCTCTGGCCACGGCCGCGGTTGGGGAACGCCCTCGTTGCCGACTTGAGAAGTTTTCGTGTTAGGTTTAAGCTTGCTCTCGCCCCTTGGCAACCTCAAGCTCGAGACTTGGCAGTTTACTTACATTTTGGAGTGCCTGAGCAAAGCTATCGATGTGCTTCACATGGTAGCTCACACGACTGAGGTCGTGGGTCGCTGGGGGAGTTGTGCTCTCCGTGGCCGAGCCATACTGGACGGTGCAAAACATCAGTTAGTCATATCGTGGCCAAGGCCGGCGCGCTGGATTCCAGACTCTCGGGATGGGCACATACAGCGGAGTCGGCGCTGCTCATGCTGCGCTCGTCGTTGGCGGGCCGCCTCGCCCTGAGCGTCATGAAAGATGGTTGTTGCTCCTCCATGGCGAACGGGAAGCTCCAAGGCCAGAGTTAAAAACAAAATAAGAATAGACCGCAGCCCAGAACCAGATCCGAGTCCAGGTCAGGTCCTCGGACCCAGATTCAACACCGTAACGTGGTACCGAACCAAGCGACCGGAGTGCTGTCGGAGAGACGTCGGTGTTGAAACAGCAACACGAACACCAACCGGAACCCAAAGAGGTTCAAGTGGTTGAAGTTGGATGGAGTCAAGAACAGGGGGAGGACCCGGCGATTGGCAGCGGAGCGAAGTGCTGAAAATGGAGTTATCGGTGCCGCATTTGCACTGATGGGGACATGGCCTTCGTCTCCTTCTCTCTTCGGTGCGAGGTTCCGGGAAAGGAGAAGAATGGGGAGGTGGTGGATGTGATGCTTGACATGCGTTGCCACATCGGGGGGGGGAGATGGGATCCTGATGGACCATTCATGGATGAATGGCGTTTCCCGTGCCCGTGTGTTCGGTGCCGTCTTGAGCAGTGTTCTGAGACCCCAAAAGCCCGCGAGCTCCCGCTGAGCGGCGCTGAACCCGCTGAGCTTACCCGCCGAAAGAAGGCTGAGCTTGTTGCCTCCCGGTCACCAATTCGGGTTTAGCGCCACTCATAACCTCCACGAGCCCGGTGTTGCTTTGGGAAAGAGCCAGGAGATCGCCGCGGGTTTGCGCTGATGGCCAATCGGAACGTCGCGGCGATTTGCGCCTTGCTCAGGCCAAAGGGCGTGCCGGCTGTCTGAGCTTGGCGATCTTGGATCGTGCGCCACAAGCAGGGCTGTGACCAGCTGGCGTGGCTTGGCGGGAGCTGACAACAACTCTTGGCGCTACATTGGTTGAGCTTGCCCCATTCAGCATTCATGCTCTCGCTTCACTCACCGAGCCTAAACAAACTCCAAAGCTTCCCTGCTGATTCAGCCAAGTTTGGTCACCAAAACCACCCTCCACAGCTCAGAAGTGTTATTGTGACAGCCGTGGCCCCCATTTTCTTACCTTACTATTATTTATTAGTACTGGCCCGAAACCGGGCTCGGTCCAGCCATGCGGGAACGAATCACGTTCATCCAGAAGCTGGGTGACTCCTTGGAGCCTTCGGCGTTGACAGTGGACAGTCGCAGTGGTACCATCAATGGACCCGAGATACGCGCTGTACGAGAAGACCGGTTGACCCTGGCCCACCCCGAATTGCCGCATGAGCTGCAAACACTGACTGCGGGTGCCCGGGACCTTCACATCCGATGGGTGAGCACCGATGCATATGGGGTGGTGAGCCCGTTGTTGGCAAGGCTGCCCCCCGGATTCCATCTCTTTTACGCCCCGGCTCGGGCCGGGGCCGATGATCTGTCGTCGTACGTCGTGCCTCTTTGGCCTGGGTAGCAATACGGATCCGTATCCTAATCCGTTCCGGTGGTGTGTAGGAACGAACTATGCTTAGCTCTAGGCGACATATTTGGCGGCATCTCGTGTACTAGTCTCACTGTAGGTTGCGTGTGTGTTGAGGTTCGACCCAGGTGTCCCTGTCCCTACCTTGGCTTACCAACAACCCTAGGAATCATTTACTTCCCTTGGGGACGATAGCTTCCAATACTACCAAGGGCTCGACTCTCTGTCGCAGTTTATCCGATATGCCAAACACCGACTATGCAGCCCAACAGATACTTCTTGCTCAACCAGGCTAGATGCCCTCTCCGGGGCCGGCTCACTAGACATCTCGTGGGAAGCCGCGAGGAACTTGCTCCAGATCACTGCCCTCTGGCCTTACGAACGCCAGCAAATACACGCCACGGCCCAACCACCGCGTCGGACTGAGGTTGGGATCCTCTCTACGGACAAACCAAAGACGCTCGAGGCCCACGAGATCGGCATTTCGGGATTGCTCACCGTTCTCGGCCAGGATTCGAAGCCGTCGCCGACCATGTTCACCTTCCCGTCGCGCCATCGCGATGCTGAGTCGGCCTTTTCCGCTGGCTTCCTGAACCCCACGGGCCTTCATCCCACACTTCAGCTCCGTCTGACCTCCACTCATCCGCCTCCGTTCTCGCCTTCAGGGGACAACAACGACGACAATGACTACACTACCGCAGCATGCCACCCCTACGCTTACCTTACCCTCCCTCGCGGCATCTTCGCCGACAAGTACCAGCTCTCCGACCCCCTCTTCCTCGCTTCCAAAAATCTATCCACTTTGCGCCACACCACCCAACCCGTCGACCTCGAAGGTCCTGAGTATGTCCTACCGCAATGGGGTTCCGCCATCCTACTGCAGCTAGCCGACCCCTCCCTCGTCCCATCATTGTCATCTGGCTCCGAGTGGACGGCCGAAATTCCCCTCCACCTACGCTACCTCGCTCCTTCGGCCGGCGCCGGCGGGTACTCTGCCGTGTCAATGCCGTACCCAGCAGTGTTCTGGGCATGTGAGCCCGGCGAGGACGAGCGGGAATCGGCTGCGGAGAAGTTCCCCCCAATGAATCCATTCGAGAAGACACATCTGGGGTATGATGAGCTGTTTGCGGCTGGTACGGTGTTTTGGCATGTCGAGCCCCAGCCGGCCGTCACCGCGAGCAGTCCATCGCTAGTGAACGAAGTGCGGGTGCCGGTACTTGACCTAGACCGGGCCGAGTGGGTGGGCGCAGGCACAACGGCGGCGGTGGTCATTGGGTTTGCGTGGGTGGTGTGGCGGCTAGCCGGTGTGTGGAAAAGCGGGGGTGGTAATGTCGTCGGGGAAACGAGGGAAGCGAAGCAAAAGAAGACACAGTAACAGACACAAGGAAGCGGCCGGTGAGGGTAATGGGGGGAAAGGGGAGTGGTGGCGCCAGATCGAGGGATCGGGGGGAATCTATGAATATAATTGTTGGATAATTAGCGGGTTAATTGTAGTCATAGCTCGGCAGGGGCTGCGGGGCAGGGATCGATTTATGTGTGCACTTCTCCAGGGTGTGCCGAAGGCGGCACAGGCGGGTCGTTGCGCGAGATGTTGTGCATTGAGCTTAGTCCAATAGGCTTGTTGGCGCAAGTGTACTGGTTTTGCATGCTGGCAGATTGTGAGAAGAACAAGCATTGTCGTGGGGGTGGTAAGCTTTGAGCAATTCAAGATGAGACGAATGGCACTTTTTGTTATATGCAGTGTACGCCGGGAACGGCAAGCAGACGTGTTTCCATCTTTTCTCCCATGTGGTGGATATCCAAGCAACAAGGCAGGACCGTCCCACACTACTCCAACGGCCGGTTCGATAACGCCGAGAAAAAACTGGTAACTACGTGTATGTTAATTCTGTTCTCCTTTCCTCAGGATGTTGTGTACCTGTGCTTGGCAGGGTTCAATGTGACGTCATCTGTTCCTCACTTGCTATTTGGATCTTTTGACTTTCAAATGGCTTCCCCAAATAACTTTTTTCCGAACTCTCGTTTTCTCTCAGGTCCTAATCCCCGTACTCCCTGCCCGCTCGCGTGTTTCCTGCAGCAACTATCGTTCGTATGTCCCGTCGGTTCAGCCCACCATCGACATCTCGCAGCAAGCATCAAGAGGCCGGAAGGAAAATTGTAACACTCCCGTCATAACGGCGCACCGAAAAAGACGAGAAGCAGGGGTTATGACAGCATGACCCCACAACAACGCGCGCATTTCAAGTCCTCCAGGGTGCCGCCCGGCCGGGGAAACCCACTGAACCATGCGGCGCTATTCGCCGCCCAGGGGCAGGTGGGGGTTGATCCGCACGTGCGTTGCGGGTTGACTCAAAGGCTACCCAATCTGGGTCGAGCTTTCTCTATCCACCTGTCTTCATCTCGTCTTGTCTTGCCTTGATCCCTTCCTGGAGCTCTGGATTCATGGAACTCCCCTCTTTTCCCTCGCCGTCGTCTCAATAAAGTCTGCAAGCGATGGCTTGACCGGTAGGATCTCCGTGGCTCTTCCCTGGCGATTCCTTGTGTCGCTAGTCGATACCTCGGTCCACCTGATTTAAGGGCCTGAGGAGAGAGGGGTTTCGAGGGGCTGGATGGGGCAGAAGGAGTTCGGTTCCTTGCGCCGTGACGTGGGGCCCCTCTTCTTGTTGTCTCAATTCTTTTGCCGCCAGAAGAAACTTCCATCGCTTGCTTGATGGGGAAGTACACTGCGGGCTGCGTATGCAGGTCTCGAATTCGGCGAGTCCGCCCGCCGCCACTCTTGCAGGCGAGCGCTGGATCTACTTACTTTGTAGGCCTAGTCTCGTCGAGCAATGCAAGCTTTATCGGGTAGTGATAACGTAGGTATCTCGTATGTTGTGGAAGGTATTTAAGTCTCTGGCGGAGTAAGGATTCTGCAGCCTCTTGTTCTGGCGCTCTCTGTTCCTAATCTGACCCGACCCTGTTTACCCTCCTCTCTTCCTTTCTCCTTTCTCCTTTTTTGTCTTCTCCCAACCAATCGCATTTTACATTGTCCGTACCTGTTGATCTCCCGAGATCACGTCAACGTTTTCCACCATGTCGAACAAGCCGATCCTTGTGGCTACCCACCCCCGGGCCTGCTCAACTGCCTTCGAACGAGTCTTCATGACCCGGACCGACGTTCTACATTGCGTCCACGAGCCGTTTGGCGATGCCTTCTACTTCGGCCCGGAACGATTGAGCGGTCGTTATGAGAACGACGGGCAGGCAAGGCAGGAGAGCGGATTTGCCAACACCACATATCGAGATGTGCTCGATGGTCTGTTAAACCCAGCCAACAGTGATGTAAGTCGCAAGTTGTACCCAGGTCTCGCCCTCTCAGCCTATCTTGCCTAGCACTGACACATCACACCCAGGGCAAACGGCTCTTCATCAAAGATATTGCCCATTATCTTCTCCCCCCTCATCAACAGCCCGTCAGCATCGCCCCATCCCTCGCCTCGAACGAAGCAAAACAATCAGCATCAGCACCGCAATCGCAACGCGCCAATCCCACAGTCCTCCCGGCATCTGCGCTCCGCGAATTCCACTTCACCTTCCTCATCCGCCACCCACGCCGTGCGATACCCTCTTACTACCGATGCACTGTCCCGCCGTTATCCACGCGCACCGGCTTCCACAAGTTCATGCCCAGTGAGGCCGGCTACGACGAGCTTCGCCGCCTCTTCGACTACCTCCTCCACGAAGGTCTGATCCAGCCAAAGTCCGGGGAGACAGCAAACGGTGTCAATGGTACCGGCTCCTCGGCCCTCAAGGTCACGGTCGTCGACGCCGATGACCTGTTGGACAAGCCAGCAGAAGTGGTGGAGGCCTTTTGCGCCGATATCGGCCTGGACTACCACGATGGCATGCTCAAATGGGGCGACGAAGAGAGTCAGCAGCGGGCGATTGCTGCATTTGCCAAGTGGGACGGGTTTCACGACGACGCGATTGCGAGCACTGAGCTACGGGCTAGGGTGCACGCTAAGGTGAGCGCTTCCGTTTTTTCCCCTCCCCCCTTCTGCTAGGTTCCTGGGTGACGGTAACGCTGACTCCATCCCTCACAGAAAACACCAACGGAAAAACAAGAGGATGAAGAGTGGCGCAACAAGTTTGGCGAGGAGGGTCAGAAAATCATTCGCGAGTGTGTCAATGCCAATGTGGCCGACTACGAGTATCTCAAGTCGTTTGCTATCAAGGTTTAAAGGGGGTTCAAGAGCCGGGGCGTCGGGGGACGGTGAAGGGGGAAGGGGCATAGATTGTTTAGCATTTGACCGGGGGGGAGTTGCTGTTTACCGGTTCTCGTCGCATGATACCCTTTCATTGGGTATACTATCTACCTTAACTACGTACTGTAATGTCAAATGGCGGGCATTCATTCATCTAGATGCTGTGCATTTTTTAGCGGCCATGGTGAGTCTTTATCGCGTGATATACATTTTACATACAGTACATACATGGTCGATGGTAGCTTTTTCTAGAAAAAAACTGCCCACCTCTCAAGGTTCTCTCTACCTGACTCGCTTGACTGAGACGACCTGTTTTGGGTAAAAATCTCGTTCGAGCCTCGAACCCGACGCAGAAAACCTCATACCATCTCCTTATTCTTTCTTCGTGGCTTCAGCTCCCGCTTCGGGCTTAATCTCACTGGCGTCGGCCGCCGCATCGGGCTTTGCCTCTGCAGCTGCTTGACTCTCCACAGTCGCTTCCTGGCCCTCCGCAACGGCCGTCTCCTTCTCTCCTTCCTGAGCTGCAGCTGCTTCTTTAGCAGCCTTCTCCGCCGCCGCTGCAGCCGCCACGACGTGTCTCTTTGGCGTCTTGACTGGCAGCCCAATGACGTGCGTCACGTTATCCGTCCACTCCGACGCGAAGTACTTGTCCTGCTCGTTGGCCCAGTACACGGTCGCCCCGTTGAGCGGGACGCCCCTGACTATTTGAGACACGCCGTCCTTGACCAGCTCGATCGTCGCCAATGCACGGCCGTGCCCGCTGGCAGGGCTATGATCCTCCGGGTCATCTGCGGGGGCGTTTGCGTCGACGGGAGCCTTCTCGACGGAGATGACCCTCTTTACGCCCGTCACGCCCGTCTTGTTCTTCCCGCGCTTTCCCATCCTCGGATCCCGGTCTTTCGCCACGTCGATGTCCACCATGCGGTTGGCTTTGCCAGCACCGGCCAGGACCGCAGCCAAGTCTGCGATACAATTGGCCCGCTGGTCGTTGAGGGCGTGACCACGCTCTTCGCGGCTCATGGCTAGCAGCGCCGGGTCTTCCCATTCGAGTTGATGACGCTTCTGGAACTCTCGCAGCTTTTGGTACACGCTGCGGCCAATGTCGCCGCGACCTTCCTCGAACTCGATAACGGCCAGCGGGTTCCAGTAGTCCCTTCGCAGCTTGGCGGGGACGAGCTTCTTGCCGGTGTAGGCGAACTGACGGAATGCTTTTGTGGGCTGGTAGGTAGACGAGAAGTGATCAGCGACGAAGTGGATAGGAACGCAAAGGTACGAGACGAGCATAGACAGAAAGAGAACCTACATTTAAATGAGGGTTCATAGAGAACACCGTATAATTTTCCACCATGTGGTTGTGTATATAGATGCGTTCGGCATGCCGCGGCGGAGGTAACCCGCGTGGGCGGTACCCCGGCTTGTCGGACCTCTTGAACTCTTGCTTTTCCACGGGCGCCGGCACAGACTCGCCACTCGTCGGCGTGCTCGTAGCGGCCGCTTGTGTACTGGCGCACCTCCTATTTTTTGTGGCTGCTAACGTCGGCGTCGTGGGCGTCTTTCTCGTCGCTGTCCCAGTTGTCATCGCCCTTGTCGCTGCTATCGTCCGTGTGGCCCGCGCCGGCCCGCCGTAATTGTGAAGGAGAATCGGTAGCTGGCTACTGCTTCGGAGAAGCGATAATGGCCGGAGAGAGCTCATCGTTTCGATTTTTCGTCGCCGTCGGTGGGGGTGTAGATGGGTTGAAAGGACGCGGGGTCAAGACGCTGGCCCAGGATGGAAGCACAGCTAGCTTCTTTGTGCCTAATCCTCGGGCTCTCCGGAGGAGGATTTACCGACGGATGTCGAGTTTGAAGATGGCCCGCTTCACGGCAGGCCCACGTTCAGACACCGGGGGGAAGTATTAAATGTTGCGATCGATATGGTGTGGGGTGGTGTTTCCCATCTTGTCTTTGAGTGCTAATAATTTTTGAGTGCCAGGGTTAGGACCAATTGGGGATGGCGACTGGTCAGAATTTGTGGGGCTTATGGTTGTTGAGCTTGGCGTTCTGTCCACCCAAGTGACTTCGCTCTGCACGAGACACGGAGGAAGCATCAGAGTCGTTTTTCCCTCTTGGTTTCATTTGAAGTACAAAGTTTCCATTTTTGTTAATGGTGAGGGAACTATCTACCTCTATAAACACTGGTCAATTGTTGACCGAATTATCCACCCCTAATTGGTAATAAAACACGTCGTTACAAAACCATAATACAAACGCTCCTCCCGCAACGCCAAATCGGAACCCATCATCATCATGCAACGGTCATCATTTTGGAGGTCGCCTCGGGCACCCTGTCCATCCACCTTTTCTTCCTCTTCAGTCATAAATATCTTCATCCATTGAATCTGGAGCCAGCTCATCCAATGCTTCGTCCTCGTCCACCAGCATATCCTCGTCCTCGCCTTCGCTGTCCTGGTGGTTAGGGAGGACCGTGACCTTGCCGTCGACAACGTCGACATTGGCGACCTCACCGTCACGGATGCTTCCGCGCAAGATGAGGATGGCCATGCGGTTAAGGACCTCCTTCTCGAGCAGACGCTGTAGAGGCCGAGCGCCGTAGGCGGGCGAGTAGCCAGCGGCGCCAAGCTTGTCTTTGGCGGCTTCCGACACGCGGATAAGGACATTACGGTCGTTGTCAGCAAGCCGTTTCTGGATCTCGCTGATGCGCAGGTCGACAATTTTGCGAATCTCGCGACGCGTCAGCCGATTGAAGATGACGATGGACGAGATACGGTTGAGGAACTCAGGCAAGAAATAGTTGCGCAGCGCGTTCATGACGAGCTCGCGCGTCGTGGGGTCAATCTTGCCGTCCTTGCCGTTCGGGCGCGCCAGGTACTCGGCGCCCAAGTTGGATGTCATGACCACGATGCAGTTCTTGGCGTCAATCATGCGGCCCTGTCCATCCGTGATGCGGCCATCGTCCATCAACTGCAGCAGCACCGTCAACACCTCCTTTGCCGCCTTCTCAACCTCGTCAAAAAGCAGGATAGAGAAAGGCTTCCGGCGAAGGGCTTCCGTCAGCTGCCCGCCCGCGTCGTGACCGACGTATCCAGGAGGTGCACCAATCATACGGCTGAGCGAGTGCCTCTCCTGGTACTCGGACATGTCGAAGCGGATCATGGCCTTGGCATCGTCAAACAAGAACTCCGCCAGTGCCTTGGTGAGAAGAGTTTTGCCGGTACCCGAGGGACCACAGAAGAGGAAACTCGGCGGCTGGTTCGGGTTGGCCAGGCCAGACCGCTGCAATCGGATGGCGTTGGACACGGATTGGACTGCCTCCTTTTGGCCGACCACGATATTGCCAAGCGCGCGCTCCATCTGCAGCAGCTTCTCCTTCTCCGACGTCTTGAGGCGAGTCACGGGAATGCCGGTCCAGCGGGCGACAATCTCGTTGATTTGGTCTGGCCCGACGACGTCGGTCACCATGGAACCGCCCAAATCAGCCCCGCTCTGGTTCAATGCTGCGTCGGCGGCGGCCTTCTCCTTCTCGAGCTGCCGGATGACCTGCTCTTGTTCGGGAATGGCGTAGTATTGCAAGTCGGCGGCACGGCTGTGGTCGCCCATCCGGCTGGCATCCTCAGCCTTGACCCGGAGGTTCTCTAGCTTCAACTTGGCCTCCTGGATATCTTTACCGCGCTGACGCTCGCGGTCATATTTCTCGCGCAGCGGTCGAAGCTCCTCCTCGACGTTCTCAGCATCCTGCTTCGCCTGAGCGAGGCGGGCCTTCGAGGCATCGTCCTTCTCACGGCCGAGTGCATGAATTTCGATCTTGAGCTGCCGCAAGCGACGCTCGAGAGAGTCAATTACCTCGGGCTGTGACTCCCGGGCGACTCGTACAGCCGCGGCCGCCTCATCGATAAGATCAACGGCCGAATCAGGGAGACGCCGAGAAGTAAGATAACGAGCAGCAAGGTTTGCAGAGGCGACGATGGCGGCATCGGCAATGTTGACACCATGGTGGACCTCGTACTTCTCCTTGAGCCCACGAAGAATGGAGACCGTCTCGGGGATCGACGGCTCCTTGACGAGGACCTGTTGGAAACGACGCTCGAAAGCGGCGTCCTTCTCGATGTACTTGCGGTACTCAGCCAATGTGGTAGCGCCAATACAGTGCAGCTGACCGCGAGCGAGCATGGGCTTAAGCAAGTTGGCCGCATCCATGCCGCCCTCACCAGATGAACCAGCGCCCATGAGGAGATGGATCTCGTCGACGAAGAGAACAATCATCTCCTTAGATTCCTGAATCTCCTTCAGGACCCCCTTCATACGCTCTTCGAACTCGCCGCGATACTTGCTACCAGCCACCAAGGCACCCACATCGAGGGAAAGGAGCTTGCAGGCTGCTAGATTATCAGGGACATCGGAGTTGACGATACGCTGGGCGAGACCCTCGACAACGGTCGTCTTGCCCACACCGGGCTCACCGATCAGCACCGGGTTGTTCTTGGTTCGGCGAGAAAGGATGCGAATGACGCGGCGAATTTCTTCCTCACGTCCGATGACCGGGTCAACCTTGCCTTCCCTGGCCATCGCCGTCATGTCGATAGTGAACTTAGCGAGGTTCTCATTCTCCTCTTCGGTGTCGGCGTTGCGTGAATCGACGCGCTTGGTGCCACGGATGGTCGTGATGGCATCCTGGATGAGCTTCGGCTTGGGGATATTGGCTTCCTTGAGTGCGTTCTGGATCGAGTGATCCTCCGACAGGGCGGTGATCAGATGATCGACAGCAATGTACGTGTCCTTCTGCACCTTCTGCAGGTCCATCGATTTGCGTAGTATGTTGTTGAAGGAGGGCGCCATCGAGACCTGGTCAGGTGGCGGGTCCTGGCTCGGGAGCCGGACGAGACTCTTCTTGAGAGAGCGGTCGAAGAGCTGAGGGTCACCGTGGGCCCGCTCAATAACCTGGCGGAAGAGGGAACTCGTCGTGCCTGGGGGGGCATTCTGCTGGTCTTTGCTCTGGTCGGGGAGAGGGTCGAGGAGAGCAACGGCGAGATGCAGCGGTAGAAGCTGGGAGTGGGCGTACTGCTCGGCCAGCACCATGGCGTCCTCCAACGCCTTCTTGGCACGGTCGGTGAACTCCATTTTCGAATTCATGTTGAATCAGTTTGGTACGAGACCGATGTCTCGACTCTGTTTCGTGCGGCTGTCTTGGACTATTAACTTCGGAAAGATAGTGGTTACGTCGTTGGTTCTTGATCAAGTCAAGTGACGTCAGGCTGCAATATTAGGGAGATATGGGGCAGCTGTTAGGATGGTTTCGTCGTCGTCCTCGAGCTTTGTTTGCAGAATGAAAAACAAGAGAACAGGAAGACCCAGCTCGGGGAACTTCAAGCACGATTATATCGTGAGATATGAGTGGGAAATCGGAGAACTTGAGGGTGCTCAAGCAAGAACCAGAAGTAGGTTGAAGATCCTCGAGGGAGCGGGCGGCAGCCAGGAGCCTCGTGGAAGCAGTGGAAGCATCCCGCAGGCTCCAGAAGCCCCTCGAACATTCAAACCAACAGCGTGGGGCAGCTTTAGACCAATGAGGGGCATGATTTTGATCTAACCCAAAACAGACCAACGGCTCCACAACAGCTTGACCAAGGGCCCCACTGATGACATCAGTCACGTGCATCTCTCGCGGCCCCCAACTCGGCCGCTCTGGAGTCACTTTGCCCGCATCAAGACGATTTCTTCAGACTGGCCACAAAACCGAGATCAGCTGCGCTGCCCCTTTATGGCCGTCACAAAGATGTGGCTTTCTCCCGCACCTAGAACAAGACACGGCTCAACAACGCAGCCGGTGGAGTTTGGATATGATGGCAATTACGACTTTCTGCCCTCGCATATCTTTGTCCTTGGATGGTTGATGCATACGCTCCCCCCATCTCCCCTCCCCCCGCAGCCCTAGAAAACCGGTCAAGCAGCGCGTGAAGTCGCCCGTGTGAAGTCGGCGGCAGATTCAGACGTCTTGTCGAACCTGTAGTTTCATACTTTTGGTGAGGGCGTGCCCGTGTACTAAATCCAGCTAGGAAAGCAGAGCCTGTTGAACCAGAGGCCAAGTAAGGTAACGATATCATGCCCCCGAGTAATGCTATTCTTCACCACATACACCGGTAGTAGGATTCAGGATTTGACGAGGTTCGGGTTCAACAAACTTGGAAAAGTCACATTCGCTGGTACCATGTCAGATGTCCATCTCATGCCCGACAGCAATGTTAATGATGACGTCCCTCTACGTCACCTCCGATCTGATGATCAGGACCGTATTCGTGGCAAGATACTAGCATATCGCAGTTGGCGTTCAAGACAAGCAACAACAAACGAAAAGCAGCGCAATTAGAGCTTCCCATGCACCTGGTTTAAGCTCAGATCCCAAATCCATGATCCACCGAATAAGACCCATAACACGCACAATGACTACCACAGCAACGGTTACCACCAACCCCAACCTCCTCCACTTCACCGAAGCGATGCGGCTCGTCTACGGCAATACCGACCAGCTCCCTGCCGACACCGTGTCCACTTGGACCGCGCCCTCCCAACCTGGGGCTGGCGGGCATCGCGGTCGGTACCTCTGGACCGACGCGTTCGGGGTTGTCAACTTCATCTCACTGGCGCGCGAGACGGGTTCCACAAGCTACCTGACCATTGCCCAGAGGCTGGCTAAGACAGTGCACGATGTGCTGGGCCGTACACGCGATGGAAAGGCACGGCTCCCACGGGCGACGGATGAAGAGCCGTTGGCTGGGGGGTTGAGGATCGGGAAGATGGAGGAGAAGGGGCCGGATGGGGACGGGCAGTATCATCATTATCTTACGCTATGGATGTTTGCGCTGGATCGGTTAGCAAGGGCCACGGGCGAAGGGGAGTATAACAGGCTTGCGGTGCAGTTGGCGAAGGCGATACATCCGCATTTTGTTCTGCGGCGAAGAAGGGGGAGTGAGCCAGATGTCGGTGGAAGTGCAAGTGTCGAAACGCTTCGGATGGTTTGGAAGATATCCACGGATATGAATACTGTGCTGGTCCCTTCGGAGGGTCATCTTGACGCGGCAACGGGATATGTCGTTTATAGTCTGTTACGACAGACGGCGAAAGACATCCATAGTGACTCTCCCTCCTCCAAGGCGGGTGATCTCAGCAGCGAGATTGAGGACTATCGGAGGCTGATGAACCGCACGGGTAAGCTAAGCGCTAGCCGCGATCCGCTGGACCTTGGGATGGGGTTATGGATGTGCCATTTTTTCAAGGGCAAAGAGGACTGGGCCGATTTATTGGGTGGCCAGAGCCTGGAGATGGCAGAGATGATATTGGACGAGGAAAGGGGGCTGATGGCCCGCGATGCTTCGAGGCGGCTGGCCTTCCGCGAATTTGGGACCTGTTTGGGCTTGCGTTGCTTCGGAGCTGAGGCCGGAATGGAGAAAAAGGTGCAGTCCGTGGTGGACTTTTGGCATCATTACTTAGAGAAGTCGACCGATGAGGATCTGCGACCGATTTCTTTGGTCATGTATGCTGCGGCGCTAGTACCCGGAGGTGAGTGTCTCCCAGGAGTGTTAAGTAGACTACGACTGACAATACCTCGTTAGCTTGGAAAGGTAACTATATTTCGTAGAAGCAATGAGTCACAAACGGGCGGGAGTCGGAACAAGTAAGTTGTCTTGCTCGTACCTCGCAACAGTTTGGAGAGGGAGAGGGGAAAGAGCAATACATAGGGCAAAGGGGCGGTCGCATTGGTGACCTGAGATTCAGGAATAACAACGCTGGGGTATGCTAAAGCAGATGCTTGGATCCGACCTCATGGTTGTTTCCCCCTGGATTTCCTCTTTTTATCATGTTGGTGTTGCGTTTGGAAGTTCCCTTGGTGAGGTTGTTCGGCAATCTCGGGTTTCGCTCGGGATCTGCTAGGAGCGGGTTAACTAGGGTTTACTCTACCCAACTCGCAGCTGCACTCCTGCTTCATTTCGACCTTCCACCTTCCACGCCTTGTTCATATCAAGCAATTGAGCCGTGAAAAGCAGACCACAGCGGCCCCCAGTTCCGTTCTGATTCACGGCTGGAAGGTACTTCCGGCGCTCTTATCTGGTCTAAGCATTCGGAAGGTCGTAAAATTGCTAGAGAGACCCCCAAGACCGCTCCGCGTCCCAATTGATAAAAATGACCTACCGTCTCGGCTGTAGTGCGCGTAGTAAACCGAGCTCCCTCGAAGACGATAATTTTCGACATCGTCCCTTCCCTGAACAATGGAGTATCGATAATCGCTCACGTTGTTAACGTCACCGGCGGGTCCGTTGTAGGTGTTGCCCTCTCTCAGACCCGGACAAACGCCGCCCATAGAGTGGGAGCTAACGTTTCCATCTCTTCCAGGCCCGTGTTTTGTTGCCGAGCATTGATACGAGGATTGATGTCGATTTTATCTTTGTGCGGGTTCGCATTGACGGCTCGGATACCCATCGCCGGCAACAATCGCGGGATGTCGTTATTCGCCGGTCTCGTCGCCTTTGGCGCTAGCATCACCTGGCAGTCCGAGATAGAGACGTGTCCAAATATTAACGAGCAAAGAGTGTGGTGCATATCTTAACACCACCACTCGGAAAGTGTTGGGCTCGGCATTCCGCATTCGCAAAGAAACCCCTTCGTATTCCCCACAGGGAGCATAATACATGCTGGATGGTGCGCCCGAGACGCAGTCACGAGTCAGTTTAATTTTCGTGCGGCCCAGGTGCCATCACTGGCAAACTTTGCCAACAGCGAGTCCGGTTGATAGAGTTCGATTACTCGGCGGCGGTATTCGTACTATCGAAGCATCTCTTGATCCCGCGGCTACCGGGCGGATACGGCGCGTCAGAGTCGCCTAGAAGAGATCCTCCAGGCTGGTACCTCGACGACGGGTCAACCTCATACGCGGAGCGTTCTAAAACCCATGCTCGCGTTCCTGTCCGACAAGACTCAGCTGACTTCCGAGATCAGCATCAGGTGCCCAGCCCTGTTGATGGGTTAAGCACATAATGTGCAAGGCCGTCCCGCCGGTGCTGGTTCTGTGTCTCGGTGTGGCCGCCCCTTTGCCAGGCAGGGAGTATTCCGAACCAGTCTGCCGCTGAACCCGACTGAAGCCGTAGGATTATTATCGTCGAGCACCCGAGTAGTGGGCTGGACGTGGCAGCAAGAGTCGAAATAAGTGAGGTTGTCTCGGTTGATTTGTCGAGAACGGCTCGTGCGTTGATGACAGGTCAGATGTTATACCGACGGCAGCGAGACCTCTCCCGCTCGAACTCGGAGATAACAACGAGAAAGCAAAGCAGGGGCGAGACCACCTGCCCCTTCTCCCAGATCCCCTCCGAAAATATAGCAAGTCGCTGACGTGAGACCCGCGGTACCGTTGGGGGCGACCATGCGACCACGACCATGCGAACATACCATCGCCGAACCTCCGCGCGTTTGACAGATCGGGGATCGTACCCTGCAACATCGGTCGACATCCCCCCCCCGCGCCATGGCACTTTGTGAACCTGGGCCGGATCGACATGCTGCAAGCTTGTACATAAGCATTGTGTCAGCTTGAGCACCACTAGGTTGAAACGGAACTTTTACCCACGAGAGCCTCGGTGGAGTGCGGCACTATCGTCTTTAGCACTTTTAGTTGTTACTTTGTTCCAATTCTCCCAGCCGGCGACTTCCCATTTTGCTTGAGAAACGAAGCTCCAGAACAAGGGACACAATTTGCCCCCCAATGCTCTGGTCGGATTACTCATATTTTCCAGGACAAATTAGGCAGCACACATTTGGGTTAAAAAACCTTGATTTGTCTTTTGCGTATACGGGGGTCAAACCCGTATCCGGTAGCATTGCCTCGTATAGTCTAGCTAAAGGGGGCCCGCTGCCGCCAAAACAACTCAACCGGCCGCCCCTGTTCTTTTTTGTTCAACTGACTAGTCTTGCACAAACCTGCAGGCCGTTCTCCGCGATGGACTGCAAGATCCCAGGGGCCAATGTTGGTGGTGTGTATCAGGGCCTGCTGACTTCTTGCTTGGTTGGTCCTCTGGCTGGCTGAGAAGAGGAAAAAAGGAGACCTAATGTGACGTGATAGCGCCTAGTTTGTGTGCACGGCAAACCCGCAACAGCCGCGGGTAACTAGTCGCAGAAGGAGGAAGAGTAGAAGAAGCCGAGGAGAGGAGTATAGAAGGCAGGGGACTTGATTCTTGTTGCCGTTTGAAGAAAACGTTGGAAAGGCCGCCAATCATGTCGACCATTGCTACTACCATACTCTTTTATCTTGCGTCTGGCTCCATATTGGCTGCTGCTGTTGCTCCCGTTGCAGCTACCCCGTTGCAGGTGCCTTCTCCTAAACGCCTTGTTTGGTAGTTACCCCTTTCAGCCCGCTGACCAGGTCTCCCAAGAAAGGGGTGATCTATAGTCTTTCTGCTAGATAAAAACAACGGCAACCACAAACCTCCTCCGTCGCTAGCTAGGTGGTTGGTCCTAAGAAGTCTGCAGTTTACCACGCTGTAGCTAGATAACAGTAGCAACCATGGACCACTTCAACGCAACCGTCAAGGACGGGAAGTTGGTCAAAACTCGCCGCGGCATGCAGGTCTCCAGGCAAAGATTCAACGGCATGTCCTTTGTCAACGCTTCCCCACACGATGTTAACGCTGTCGGGTCTGGACAGCCGACCCCCTGGGGTGTTCCGGGAGCGTCGGGTCCGTCACAGCAGCAGGAGATTAGGTTCATCGAGGAAGAGCACGGTGGCGATCACCATTTTCAACCAGAAGCCACTCAAAGAAGGAATATCGACTCCTCTGGGCAGCTGCCCTCGACTGCGGCCCACGGTGCACGACGGCGCCGAAAAGCCACCGTTAACAAAGGGAAATCGCCGACTGATACGACGCCCAAACTAAACACGCCACCGCACCAACCTTCGCCCCCGCCCTTTGGGGAACTGAGCTCCCAACTAGGACGTCCGCCCTTCGGCCGAGGCGAGCCCCAGCCGAACACAAACGCAGCGTCAGCCAGCCCGGTCGAGGGAGTCCCTAGGAGGCTCCAAGCCGAGCCGGCTCTAATAGACGACAGCCGATTCCATGGCTACTCCTCCTCGGGTTCACGCACCATGTACCCTTATGAAGACCTGATCACCTACAACCCCTCACGGGGCGCCGATATGTACTCGATGATAGCCGGCGACCGGGCCGCGCAGCACTGTGTGTTCATGTGCGGGGCCATGGTTGAGTCGGTTGAGATGGAACGACCCGAGCCTGAGGACCTTACGTATCACATATCGAGTGTCTGCGCCATTCTGAATCAGAAGCTGGGCCGGCAACAAAATGCTGTAGATGCGGTCACGCTACTATGCATATCAAAGTTGGCGTGCTTAGGGGTATGTACAGACCGGGTTTCCTTCTAGTTTTCTGACGTATAAGATATGAACATGACAACCCACCACTCAGGGCAACCTCGCTAACATGTCCATTTCCTCTCTTCTCCTTCCCAGTGTTTTGTCGGCCGTCTCGATCACTGGCACCTTCATATGTCCGGACTGCGAAAAGTGTTAGACCTCCATGGGGGGTTGGCCGGCTTACCACCATGGCTGCTAGCCTCGATGTATAAGTACGTGTGCTCGTGTTACTTCCCTATCTATGCGGCGCTACCTATCGAACCTCAAGTTAACCTCGTCCGCAATGGTAATTTAGAGCTGACCTCCGAGGAGCCACCGCTCTTGCCTCAACCCCCTATCTTCCATTCATTCGACAACAGCAGTATACCTCCCTTCTCCCCACAGAATTTCAAGAACACCAATCACCATCACCCGCTCACTCGCTCTCTACCCTCCTAAACCCGTTCCATATCCACCCAGACGTAATCGACGCTCTCTCCGCGCTAGCAGACTTAACCTCCGCCATCTATCTTGCTCGACGGCCCCGGCAACGATACCAGCAATTTCAACAACAACAACAGCCTAGCCAACCGAGCCAAACAAGCAACCCTCCAGCTCCTCTTCTATTTGACCCACACGTGTTCACAGAAGAATGGCAGCGCATCACCCATGTCCTGTTGACTCGCCCACGACCCCTTCGTGCCGCACCAACCATTGCAGATTGGCGTTCCGGGATGGGGATGAATCCATACTCGACAGAAACTAGGGTCTGGAACCAGGGGCGAGGCTCCCAAACTCAGGGGGGTTTTGGGTTGCAAATGGAGATGGAAATAGAGACGGGGGTGACGGAAAGCGGGGTAACAAAAAAGGAGGATGGTCCAATTGGGGGAGAAGGGGATAGGGAAAGGGTGACAGGGGCAGAGGCGGAGATGGGAGGGTACGGGGGAAATCATCGGTTAGTTCCGTCGGTTCCGATTATCCCTTTCCGGGAAGAAGAAGAGGGGGATATTGGCGAAGATGAGATGGAGGAACACACAAGGAGGAGGAAGAGCCCCGGCCACGAACGAGTCAGTCCACTTGAGCCCGCTCTTCGTATCGCTGCGCTACTGCACCTAAAGGAGTTGTTGCCAGACTGGCCACGCAATTCGGGAGGGTATGCGGTGATGTTGGCACTGTTACGATATCATTTGGAAGAGGTGCTGCAATGGTACGGAACTAGTGGAAGGGCTGCGAGAAGTGATCGTGGCACTGGAGACGGTAATGGTAAAGGGGAAGGTCGGAGGTCAACGGGCAGTGGTCATCCAGGCCCAGAAGTGAAGGAAGAAGAGCAGGACATAACAGAGGTTTTGGGATTGAGGATGTTTACCAGTCACAGAGATGACTTGGATGGTCACCGTGGCGATGATAACGATGCAAACCTCGACTTTGATGGAGACGAAGACCGATCCGACAACAGCAATGAAAGCACAATCCCACCCCCGGACCAACACAACCTCGCCTTTATCCGACCTATCCTCCTTTTTCTCGCCCTCGTCGGCAGCACCGTCTCTTCACATGCCGATATCAATGAAGGCCGCATTGCCACAGGAGACCGTTACCCCCAAGAGATATACCGCGACTGTTTAACGGGTGTGCTAGGGCTGAAGGGTCCAGACGAGGTTGACATCCTGGTCGGAAGGGATGGTCATGGGGATGGGGATGAAGGTGCAGAAGACAACTGGGCGCTAGTCAAGATGTTTCGGTTGGAAATGGTTTTTAATGCAGGGGAAGTGCATGGCGAGAGGGAACACTGGGAAAGGGGGGCGATGTTGCGGAGGATTGTTGCTGGGACCGTGGGGATATGAACGAATCCCAGTTTCAATGGAGAAGGGGGCTGCAGCAAAGAGATACGAGATGAAGAAGGCCAAGGACACCGGGTTGACTGGAATAGACTTGAGGAATATAAGTGGGATGGTTGGCTGACCCAGGCGTTACACACCCAACGGGTGGTAAGAAGTGAGCATTGTACGGTAAGTAGGATATTACCTAGGTGTCAATATATCTAGAAGTGTACAGTTAGCATAAAGAATAGGTTGGGAAAGGAAAAGGGCCGGTAGCCCAACGCGATATACAGGACGTTACTCCGTTTGGTGTCCCCTGCACCCTAGGAACTATTGACGAACTGCGCCATAAATATTACATATACGCTACGGCGGACAAACCGCGCCTGTCGCGCAAGTTTCCAACATTGCCCAGCAAATACGAGACGCACCTCACAGAAGGCATCATGGCTCTCATTTTGTGTACCCGAACTACCTAGACCAGACCTCTCTCTAAAATGGCTGTCAGTCAAATAAGGAAATTATAGATATTACAATCTCGCCACACCTGTCCGAACCGAGCGAATCACCCCCAAACTCCCTGAAATCCCCCTTTCCCTGCCTCATTCACTCACACTCACTCGTCATCATTCGCATCCACCATGCTCGTATCACCTTTAACACCCTCCTCCTCAACACCAGGAGTAGGCGCATCACCACCACCAGTAGCCGCCTCCTCTTCCTCATCACTCTCATCCAGAATCCTCCCACGGCGCGACCTCTTATTCTGCGGTCGCCTGGCCACCGTCTCTTCCTCATCATCATCCCCGCCCCCCTTCTCACTGCCCGCATCAACATCCATGCGATCCTCATCCCCTCCAGCACTGGCCTCAGTATTCCTAGACGACGCCGACCTGCGTCGCTGCAGTCTCCTCCGCTGCAGCTGTCTCGGCCGTCTCTCAGCCCCGCTCTCCTCCTCTCCCGTGCCCGACGCCGCAGTGCGGCTCCGGCTGCGGCGCGCCGAGCGTTCCAATGCGCGCTCGGCACGCTCCAGCGGATCGTCGTCGTCGTCATCGGCTCCACTTCTGCCGCGATAGTCGCCCTCGTTGTCGTCGCTATCGTCGCTGTCGACGACGATCTCGGCAGACTTGAACTTGGAGTTCTCCTTCTTGGTCGCTAGGCGTTGCTTCTTCTTGGGCGGGCGCTTGCTGCGGCTGCGAGCGGCACCACCACCACCGCCACCGCCGGCGTCGGAATCCTCGGCGTCCGAGCCGGCTGGGGATGATGCGGCCTTCTTCTTGCGGCTTCGCTTGGAGGCGGGCTCGCCGGAGCGGGAATCGCGGTCGCGACGTGAAGCGGCGGCGCGCTTCTTGCGCTTGACTTTCTCACCCGTCTCGCTGTCGGTCGTCATCTCGGCCGCGATGCGGGCGCGGTCATCTTCGGCGCGCTGCTCGGCTAGGGCGCGGTCGCGCACGGCGATTTCCTCGCGTTCCTTGCGGATCTTCTCCTGGCGCTCGCGTTCGGCTTCTTCTACCTTGCGGCGCTCGGCCTCACGACGGCGGAGCTCGGCTTGGCGCTGTTCAAGTGCGGCCGCGAGCTTCTCTTTGTTCTTGGCCTCGTACTCGCGCTGGCTGGCCAGGGCACGTTCGAGTTGCTTGCGCTGTGTGTTGCGCGCCATGTTTGCGCGCTGCTCGATGTCGTGCTTTGGGTACGGCGGCGAGGGGGACGCGGCAATCTCGTCGAGCGCCTTGATGGCGGACTCGAGACCCTCGGCGGCCTCCTCGAGCTGGAACGAGGTGCGCTCGCTGTCACGCATGGAGTGTAGAGTGAGAGCGAGCTGGATTTGCACAAAGGCGATGTTGAACTTGAAGTGTAGCTGCTCCGGGGCAATGGAAAGAGCCTAGAGAGAACTTATTAGCTTAACCGGAAAGGGGGAGGTCGGGTGAGGATTTTCTGACCTTCTTAGCGTGCTCAAGGGCCATCTTATACGCCTCAAGGTTCTTCTCCGCGCGGCCCTTGTTGAGCCAGGTCCGGCCGAGGCACGAGATGATGCCTGCATCGTTCGCTTTGCCCTCCTTGGAGAGAGCCATCTCGTAGCTCTCAATGGCTTTGCTGAACTGGCGCAGCTCGACGTAAATGTGGCCCAGGTTGACATACACATGAGGATCCTGGATAGTCTCGCGAACCTTGAGGAAGATCTGCAGGGCGTTCTTGTAGTCCTTCCTGTCCTCCACAAGAGCGATAGCCACACCCTGAGCGGCATATGCATTCTTGGGATCCAGTTGAAGGGCTTTGTCAAAGAACTCAACCGCGCGGTTGTAAGCGGCGCTCCGCTTCTGCTTATCCTGCTCGGTCTCGCGACGCATCTCACGCGCAGACATGAGGTGGAGGTTACCCATGCCGACGAGGGCGTAGCGGTCGTGCTTGTCGTAATTCTGTAAAGTGTGCTTGTAATGGCGCTGCTCGGGGTCCTCTGCGATGTTGGCTGGCCTCTTCTTGAGGTTCACCCGGCTTAGGAACCAGCCGTATAGCGAGCGGACCTCAATGTCGGACGGGTTCTCCTGGTACAACTTTGCTACAGCATCGGGGCCCTCCTTGGTGGGGTTCCTGCGCAGCTTGATGTAAGCCAGCCTTGTCTGCGCGTCGGTGTAGTCACTGTGGCGGCTCAGCAACTGCTCATATGTCTCAACCGCCTTGTCAACATCGCCTTCCGATTCGTAGCTCCGACCGAGATTGAAGGAGATAGTCGTCAGGAGCGCATCGATGTCCAGATCATTCTCCGTCTGGCTGATGCGGGCACAAGAATCGAGGGCGGCTTGGAAAAACTGGGTAGCCAGCGGGTGCTTCCCATCCTGAGAGTAGAAGCAGCCGATGTTGTTAAGCAGCTGTGGCGGAAGGAGTTTTCGAAGGGCAGCACGGGTCGCAGCCTCGTCTTGAGCATCCGCAGGATACTCAGACTGGGGGACTTGGTCAATCTCCAACTGCTCCACCTGCTGGAGGCACAGCAGCGCCTTGTCCGGGTTCTCATTCTCGTACAGGCGCGCGAGGTTGAGGAGCACAGAAGCATCAGGCGATAGATTCTTCTTGGGGTCTTTCCAGGCAATGCGCACGCTCTCCAAGAGACCAATAGCTTTCTTGGCCTCGGCGCTCTTGTCCTCCTTGACGGTCGCTGACTGGTTGGTAAACACCTCTTCAGCATACAGCGTGCCCAGCAGGATCATGGCCTCGTAATTCTTGGCATTCTGAATCATCTTGTCCAGCAAGAGCTTCGCCTCGCCGAGATCATTCTTCAGCACCGAAAGCTGCGCAACACCAAATTTGGCGGGCAGGTAGCCGCGGTCATTGCCGCCCCTGGCATCGTCGGCACGACGGTAGTAGTCCCTCGCGCGCTCCAACGCACCATCGTAGTGCTCCTTTCTAGCGAGGAGATACCAACCGTCGCTGGCAATAGCGTTGACATCGGTGTATTGGATGGCCTTATGGGCAAGAGAGTCGACATTCCCAAATTGCTTGCGAGAAAGGAAGTAGCCGGCGAAGGTGGCGCATGTGAGTGGGAGGTTCTTGTCGAGCTTAAACGACTTCTGTGTGTACTCGGTCATGGCCTTCTTGTACAACCTGATGAACTCTGGGCTATTGGTCGGCACATGGCCACTCGCATCTAAATGGTAGAGGCCGAGAAGAATGTTTGCGTGCTTAGAGTCGGGGTTGATCTCGACGCAGCGTTCCCAGGCAATCTTGGCGTCGTCCTTAAAACCCAATTGCCAAAAGCAGCAGCCAATGCCGAGGCGCGGATCCGGGTCGACGAACTCGGGCATCTTGGTGACAACTTCTTGGTACGAGGCCAAGGCCTCTGGATACTTCCCGAGAGAGAAGAGCGCGCGCGCTTTGCCTAGGACGGCCAACATATTCTTCCCTTGCGAAACGCGGACGGCCTCCTCAAACGACTTGAGAGCGTTTCGCAGCTGCTCTCCCTTGTTCGAATCCACCGCGCCAGGGGCCTTAGAAGATGTTTGAAGCGAGGCCTTGAGGAGGATTAGGACGCCACGGGCGAGGAAAAGAGGCGGGAAAGCCGGGTTGATGCGCGAGGCGTCGTTGAGGCTCTGGGTGGCCTGCTGAAGATAGTACTCCTTTGTCTTCGTCTCCGAGGCCAGCGCGCCCTCGGGGGCCACTCTTGGCGCGTCTCTGCTTTTCCATAAATACAGCCAACAGACGCAAGTGATGATGCTGAGCTTCTCACGCGGATTGGCCTGCAAGACATTGGCACCACGCGCCAGCATCTCAATCGCAAAGTCGATCTTGTTCTGTTTCGCATAGGCCATCGCCACCGTCATCCAATATTCTCGGGGAGATTGTTCGTTCTCGAAAACGGAGCAGAGCTCGGTCGGGTCGTCGGGCAGGACTTGCAGGTCAATCTCGACCTCGACGTCATCTTGCATCGGAATGTCGATGGTTGGTGGGATGTCGGAAAAACGCTTGCTCTTGGGAAGATGGGCGGCGACCCCGTTGGTGCCCTTTGTAGCCCCATCGGAGCCATTGATCTGGCTGCTGAGGAGTGTGGAAGTCATTGCGACTTGGTTCGACGCGTTTCGCGTGTGGTCGGTCGGATCAGTGCCGAAAGGGAAAGAAAGGCGTCAAATCAGTCTTTGCCTGACTATTTCTATCCCTTTCTTGACTCGAATTCGAGAATAGGCGTGCGCAGCGTCGAGAAAATGGTCGAGATCGTCAAATCCGACAAGAATCTGAGCCTTCCACTCGCGTTTGCAGCGGAACTTGCATTGAAGTTTAATCCAGTGTTAGGTAGAAGATTGATGTTTATCGCCAGTATCGCATCGTGGTGGGATAAGTGAATTCTCGTCGGCCCAGGGAGGGGTGTGGATGCTCGTGGCGGAGAGGTATTGTCGCGTTGGAGTGTGCCTATTGTTCACCATTGATGGGGAGCCGCGAATAGGGAGTTCCACTCTTTCAATGGGCCGCGATGAGGCTGAGAAGGTCAGTGCAGTGGACCCTGCAAAGGAAAACGGCTTACAGGGCCCCCATGTCTCGGTGAGAATTTTCATTGGACAACCACCCGAACAACAAGGCTGTCAACCCACCCTCCAACTCCCACCTCAGCTCCACGAAGCCATACCTTCCTCTCGAACCGAGCACAGTCACGTTCCCCGGAAATGATGAATTAAACCATAATAAGTTTTTTGACCGATGCCAGTCATGTTACCACCTGTCCATATGGAACATGGAACCATACTGTTAACTCGGAAAGTCTACATACACTAATTACTTCTACATGAATTACAGAACGAGATGGCTAAATGAACCAGGGCTCTTGTAAATGGCAGTAGTTAGAAAGTATTTGCTGATATAATTGCAAAAGCTTACCTAGGTACCTGAGGTACCCATGGAAAGAATAATAACGTTTTGACCTTTATCGGTATTACAAGCTGTCCTTTCCAGTGAACTGAGGGTCGACGGGAGTTGCCCTGTTTCTTTTCACCGGGTTCCTAATGCCCGGGTTCAATACCTCCTACCTGTCGGTACCTGCCTTGGCCGCCGCCCTTCGCTATTTTTTTCTGAGCTACCCTGTTCCCTAGGATTACCGTTAGAAACCAGCCCCGCCTCAAGCTTTGCCTCCTTTCCTTTAGTGTGCCGAGAAGCCATTGACGAAAGGAAGAGCACGGCTTCTCATACAACAATCGGGCCATTGATTTCTTCTTACTGGTCCATTATTGCTCCGCTCTCAACAATCTCCTCGCACAACTTAGTTTGCACGGCCAATGTTAGACAGCAGATTGATCTCGATAATGGCACCCTCGAGCATTCCCCAGAATTTCCATTCATGGAGCGGGCCCCGCCGCCGAGATCCCGGTAATGACTGGTATGTCTTATGATTCTAACGGACTTAATACACGAGAGTACTTCTAACACCATTGGTAGCTCAGGATGGGGTTGTCTCAGCAATGCCGCACAGTTTGGCATAATTCTCGTCATTGTCTCCCTCGTATTGGTGGTGGGATACTTGTACTGGCGACTTAAAATCAAACCTACTCGAATAGCCGATCGCAACAGTGATGGAACCACGGTCAACGGCCATTGGGAAGTCACAAGACAGGATCCTAACAGGCTTTCCATTTATATCTACCGAGAATCACGACCACTCGGTAACCCAAAGCCCAGTAGGCCAGACCGTGGGCCGCCAGGATCCTCCAGAGACGACGACCCTAACAATCATAAGAACAAGGCGTTGCGACAATTTACCACAGCCTCGGGTTTCATGAACCCTTTAGATATCCACCTGGTACCCCCTCCGCCGCCGCTGCCACCACCCTTCCCCGGCTATTGGGCTCCCCTAGTTCCCCCGACGGTGCCTCCTCCGCCAGGAGCTGACCCAGCGGCCTTTGTTCAACCGGGGCCAGTTCCCGCTCCCATTCAACCAACTTACTTTGCTCCTGGTATGGCAACAACGGTTCCAGGTCCTCCGGAGGTACCACCCCCATACTTCGGTTACCCGAATCCGCCTAGTTTTCCAGTTCAACAACCGCCACCTGGGCCACCGGCGGCCGTTGCGCCTTCTCAAGCACCACCTCACGTGCCACCTCCCATGGCCGCGCCTGCAGAAGCCCCAGGGGACACAAGAACAGGAGGGCCACATCCCGCACCAGTTCCTGAGACGCCTAACCTATGGAGGCGGTGGCTCTCACTGGGGACCAGGCCTCGCGCAACCGGACACGCTCGAACTATATCGGACACCTCATCGACCAGTTCTCGATCAACTTCTCCCTCGCCATCTCCTCCTATTTTTCCCTCTCCTGTGCCCACATCCACCCAAGCCCGTGGGAGAAATCGCCCGAGTCATCCTTCAGAGAGGCGCCGTGAGCGAAGCCCTAGGCGATACCAGAACGATCTAGACCGCCGACAGTCTCGCCAACCCCGAGGTGACGGAAATAGCATACTCGCACACCGTGTGCGCAGTCCTTCCCCTTGTTCATCCGAGTCCAGTCAGAGCTCTCAGCAAACCAACGCAAGCCTCGAAGCGGTCATGCATCATTATAATGACCTTGCTGTTGGTGGCCGCCCGGATGCCCGCCGATCTTTCCACAACCACACCCGGGCAGCCTCCCTCCGGCCCGAACAACGCCGTCGGGTTTCCATAACCACCCCCACCCGAATCCGGCCTTCTGATACGGTACCCCTCGCCGACCTCATGCATCACCAACGTCACCCGCCTCCCCCACCAGCTTCCTCCCGGAACTCGGCACCCGAGCCGAGATTGCGTCGACCGAGTCCCGATATTCAATACCCAAGCCCAGAGCGCCGCCGGCCACGGGTATCATTTACATTACCTAGGGAGGTGGAGAGTGAGAGGAGCGATACAAACCCGTCTTCATCGTACTTGACAACAGGCACTGAAGAATCGAGAGAGAGCTCGGGCGCTTGGTCCAGGGAGGCCCATGGGTCTGGGCTGAGTCACAACCATCCCTCAGTACATCGGGGCTATGGCCATTCTGAGCAGAGGAACAGAGAGGCAGAGCGCCGCGGTATCGCCGACAGGGCTACGAGGACGTTTTACCAAATGAGACGGGCTCTTCGTGGGGAGACTAGCGCGGACTAGCTGGTGGGAAGGATGTCAATCGCGGAGTAAAAGGGCAGAGCACGCTGCAGCCATGTCAAGGAGCCGGTGATGTAGTTGTGAGGTCGTGTTGACCCAAAGAAAGGAGAAGTCGTGTAGTTGGGCATTGTGATAATGAGAGTGTACCAAATAGGTCTTGTAGTCACCTGCAGATAGAGACTAGAGTTTCTTCCTGTGTAGGTAGTGTATAAATCTGTCACATCATATGTCTTTGATCGGTTTCCCGTCTCTCAAATTAAGGCTATTAAGCTGGTGGAAGACAGACGCCATGGACTTTTGAAAGCAACAGCCTTTCTTTCAGGGATATTACCCGCTTGTGAACTGTCTGTGGCAAGCTAAATAATGTGGTACAAGTTTTGGGGAAGTAAGAAAAATTGTCACAGCAATTATTGGTATTATTTTAAACGTGAACGAATGGTGTTGCAAGCCGTAACTGCCACATGGAAACCGAGACTTCAAAGCTTCAAAAATGACATCATTTCAGGATCTCTCGTGTACAACTCTATCGAAAAGGGATTATCGAGGGCAGCAGATGTGTCTGCCTATGGCCACGGCCTTCAAATATTGGGGGTTTGCAAAATAATCCATGCTAGAAGAACAGGGGCAAGTTGAAAGAGCGAAGTTGGAAATTTTAGTTTTCACTCTTCTTCGGTTGATCATAGATAGTACTGTGCATGTCCGTGAAAATCGATCAACCCCAAGCGCATCACCCAAGACATGTGGGGTGGGGTTAATCCGGGGTGGGCTTATGTAAGTTAGCTCTGGCCCGCCGTCGTCATCCCCCAGGAAGGCTGAGCATGGATCTGGCAAGCTCCGGCCCGCCGCCCACCTCTCCTTCCCAAACAACCTCCAACAACATCGACGACAAGCGGCGAATCACACGCTGAACGCCGCCAATTGCGTGAAAGCTTCCGGAACCGACATATCGGATGCATAAACCTTGAAAGAAAGTTCCCTAAGCTATTTTACCAGTGCATCGCACAGACCGTATCATATCCGCTCAAACCACCAACCACGGACTGGAATCGCAACGAACCCCGCGATCGCAAGCTTCCGAAATCCCACCCGGCGTTCTAGCTCTTTGCGAAAACATCAGCCCGAGACACAAACCTGAAAACACCCACCCGATTGTGGTTTATCCGCTTTCATCTAATCTTCCTTTATTGCCGGCCTCACGCCTGTGCCTGTCGTTTAACAAGTACACGTTTCGCGGCGACTCGGCGCCATGTGGAACGACGAGGATAATAACCCTTATGGCGAGAGCTTCGAACGCAGAGACTCCTTTACCTCGTCCGCTAACCCATCCTCCCCGATCACCCAAGATTGTGAGTCAGATTTAAAATAACACAGCCATTTCCCATTTATATTTCCTACTCAATGGAGGATATGGCAACCTTCTACGATGTTCCCCTCGGCCGGCCGAATGACGATACTGACCCCGACTGGGTGCATGTAGACCCACGATACGATGCTCCCGGCACACCATCATCGACAGGGGATGAAGCGCCGAGGCACGAGTCGACCGACGTCGAGACCGACGAGGAAAGCGCACATTCACAAGGCGAGTTAGTGCCACGTACGAAGCCTGGAGGCTACGACAGTAGGGTGGAACAAATGCTGTACGAGAACCCAGAGCTGCCCATACTCATTATAGAGGCGGGGAAGAGCACGGAGAGTGGTAGATATATCGTTTACACGATCAAAACCGGGGTAGGTCGGAATAAGTCATAGTTTTGTCATTCACACTAACAAGGTACCTTAGGAGTTGATAGTGCGCCGGCGGTATTCGGAATTTGCGTCCCTGCGAGATGCTCTCACACGGCTACACCCGACTCTTATCATTCCCCCGATCCCAGAGAAGCACACCATGGCCGACTACGCTGCCAACCCGACCAATGCCAAGCAAGATCAACAAATAATCGATCTCCGGAAGCGCATGCTCGCGGTATTTCTCAACCGGTGCCGTAGGATGGAGCAGGTTCGCACAGACGGCGTCTGGTGGCGTTTTTTGGACCCTAATTCTAGCTGGGTACGTGTCAAACCTGTGCTATAGGCAGGGCGAGTAGCTAACAATCCTAGAATGAGGTCCTTCATTCTCATCCTATATCGTCCATCCCTAAGGCCATAATGAGGGCGCCGCCCTTGGATCCCGCCAATCCAACACCGGGCCACGAGTATCTTCCGGTACCAGCCAGCTCCGCTAAGCTTAGGTCGATGCCTGCAGCGCCAACTTCGGACAACATCTCTGGTACCCAAGTATTTGCGCGCTTCCCACCAGACAGCAGTAATCTCGAGGAGCAGGAGCTCGACCCATACTTCACGGGATTTGAAGCCTCCATTCGAGAACTCGAATCGCTTTTGATGGGGTCTATGGAGAAGGTCAACCGACGGACCCTGAGCCACCTATCCTCCCTAGCAAATGATCTCTCAGAACTGGGTGCGAGATACAATGCTTTTGCGCTTTCGGAGCCAACCCAGTCCCTTTCGACCGCAATTGAGAGGATAGGCCAAGCAGCGGACTCATCGTACATTGCGACCGAGGAACTCTCTAGCTCACTCGGCGCTAGCTTTGCCGAGCCCATGCGCGAGAACGCGCAGTTTGCCGGGGTCATTAGGAGTGTCCTGCGGTATCGGGTTTTGAAGCGGGTGCAGCAGGACATGACGGAGGATGAGCTTCACAAGAAGAGGCTGTTGCTCGACCAGCTCGAGAGGAGCGAGGCGGAGGCTAGGCGGATTGAGCAGTATCTGATTGGAAGCCAGCAGCTTCCTTCACCGAGGCGCTCGACGAGCACGAGGGACGCCCAGGCGCATCGGCGCGACGGTAGCAACGAGGACACCGCGTCGATCGACTCGGACTTTCCCCCGACACATGGTGATCTCTCATCAGCGCCCTCTGCCAACATTGGTACGCCAGAGAGGTCACCGGTTGCTCCAAACCATAGGAAGGCTCCAAGTGCGGCGTCCATAACGAACAAGATTTTCGGGCCCCTCCGACATGCCGTTCAAGGGGTTGTTGACGCGGATCCTGAGAAAACCAGGCGGGACACTATCACGAAGACTCGCGAGTCGATCGTGCAGCTCGAGCAGGCGGAGGTTGCAGCGGCGCAGGATGTCAAAAATGCCAGTGCCAGCATTCTCAAGGACCTTAAGCGATTCCAGAAGGAAAAGGAGGACGACCTGAAGCGTTATATGGTATGTAATGTTTCCGGATGTATCACTGATATTATTGTTTGCTAACCATCGGTCTAATAAAGCTTGCCTACGCGAAGAGCCAAATCGAGTGGGCGAAGAAGAACAAGGAGACCTGGGAGGAGGCAAAAGCGGAGGTGGAGAAGATTGACGAGTCTTCGCCTTGACTTTGCCTATTTTTTTGTTTTGTCTTTTTGCGAAAGAGTTCCCGGGGATACCGGAGCAGCGAGGAGGCTTCTCTATAATGCTCGAACTATGCCCACAGCTTAATGCGTTGAATTCAAGATTGCCTCCAGGGCACTCTTGCGCCATTGCTTGGCTTATCTGATTTAGTGGCCACAGCGCAATCACATAGTAATTACGAAGGGTGCCTGGAGAGTTACTACAATCCCCACATATCACAACACGCCTCAAAGGTGGGAAGCCGGGGTCAGCCTAGAAATAAGTTCAATTGATTAGATTTTTCTTTAAAAAAATCCCATAAGTTGATTCGAGCGAAAAATAAGGGCGTAAGCCGTTTTCATAAAAATGAGAAGACGGCAGCACGACAAGAATGCGAAAAACAGTTTAACATAGTCGATTTATTTGTAGTAGAACACTGTTATTCGGTTTGCCAAGATCACCCGACCCAAACCCTCGGGAAGCAATCATCAACCCACCACCCCCTTGCATGTCTCCGAGCTGCATCCTAAGCGGGGAGATGCCAAACGCCACGTGCGACAAGTGGTAACGACAGAAACAAACAACGACTCACTCCAATCCATTGCTGTTGCCGGTATCTCCCCGTCGAGCCTATCTATCCGAGTGTCGCGCTCCACGCGCGTCACGAACATCATTCCTCGCGAAACCACCGAGCAGGCCCAAATGCCACAGTGCCGCATCCCCTTCTCCCGCTAAAACCAAAAACACACACACGCCGCCTACCGATCGACCAAGAAATTGCCTGCCCACGATGGACGAGAGCGCAGGACCGCTGGAGAAAATCGACGCGCCGGGGATCAAGGCCCAGGGCGATCTGCTGAGAGAGCTGCGCTCCGAAGTAGCCGACCTATTGAAACGCAACTCGCAGGGGTTTCCAGGCGCGCAACCTGTTTCGTTTTCACGGAAACATATGGATGAGCTGCGGCGGGAAGAGTACGTAGCTTTCCTGTTTTCTTGCATCGCCATACCGTCCAACTGCCATGCCCGCGGGGTCTCGAGGCTTAGAGAACGGGTCCGCTAACTGTGTGACGCACTTGACAGTTACTACGTCTGCGAGAAATCCGACGGTATCCGCTACCTGCTGTATTTAACATCCGACGAGGTTGGCAAAGAGTGCCACTATCTAATCGACCGTAAGAACGATTACTGGTGGCTTCACCAGCGCAACCTACACTTCCCACTAGCAACCGACCAGGGAGCTTTCCACACTGGCACGCTGATCGATGGCGAACTCGTGATGGACACTTCCCCCGACGGCAAGAGAGGGCCGGTATTTCTAGTTTTCGACCTGCTCGCGCTAGACGGCAAAGCCGACCTGTTGAGCAAACCACTGGACAAGCGGCTGGGATATTTTAGAGAGCACGTCATGAAACCTTACAAGAGCCTGTTTGATGCCTTTCCTGACGAGCTGAAGTACCAGGCGTTCAGGGTCGAGATGAAGGACATGCAGTTCTCGTATGGCATCGAGATGATGTTCCGCGAAGTGCTGCCCAAGCTACGCCACCAGAACGATGGGCTCATCTTTACCTGCCGCACCAGTCCGTATCAGTTCGGCACCGACCCGCATATCCTCAAGTGGAAGGCCCCACATGAAAACACTGTTGATTTCCGTCTGCGCCTGCATTTCCCCACCGTTGAGCCTACCGAGGAGGAGCGCGCTGACGGGATCACGGAGCCGTTTGTGGACTACGACAGCGTGCCAGAGGCACGCCTGTTGATCTTTACTGGTGGCGGTAGCCGTGGTACCTATGAGGAATTTAAGGACCCTCTGTATCTTACCGACGAAGAGTGGGAAACGCTCAAGGAGTGGGGGGATCCGCTACAAGATCGGGTGGTGGAATGCTGCTTGGACGAAGAGAAGCGGTGGCGGTTGTATCGGTTCCGTGACGACAAGCAGGAGGCGAATCATGTGAGCACGGTGAATAGTGTTATGGAGAGTATCAAGGATGGGGTTAGCGAGGCCGAGTTGCTCCATGCTGCCAAAGGGATTAAGGATAGCTGGAGGTCGAGACGGCAACACCATTGAAGAAGTCTTCCGAGTGGTTGAGAAGCAATATGTGTGGTTCTTCATTTTCTAAGGTCTTGGGATTTGGAGATTAGGATGAGGGCGTTTTATTCCTTTTTTTTCTTCTGAGTTTATAGTGGGTTATAGGCTGTTACCGGTTTGGGAGGGAAAAGGCTCAGGTCCTGGCGTTAAACAACATGACATGCCGAGGAGAGGCAAATCATACTTATTCCATTTTCAAAACAGGTTCACACATATGTGGTGCTCTCTTCCGTAGAAACTTTAACTGCACTTCAACCATAGGAAGCGTGTTCAACAACATGCACTACGCCAGTTGGAACGTGCAGAGGACTGCCTCTTTATCCCCATCGAACCTTTTATACCTAGTCGTGTTAGGAGGAGTTTCACCTTTCAAGGAACCGTTCTTCGATTGACGATGGCCCTGTTAGAAATCACTCGAGATGGCCATCACAGCAAGGAACAAAGAACACAGTCTCTGAAAAGGGAAACAAGTTCATGTTTCCCCCTGCAATTTTTCTACATGTGGCCTCCTATCCCCCATTTATCATACATCTAGCAACCAAGGTAGGCCATCCTAAAATGAAAGCATCACAAGCATCCCTCAGCATCCAGGCACGTGCCGGGATAGAAAGACCATTCCTCTCTCTTCACCTTCCCCTACGACAACCATCGCCGAATCTCGGTCCAGATCCCCATCCGAATCACCCTTTACCATTATATTGCCGGTCGACCCTAAAGGAAAAGACCCAAGCCATCAGAATGAAACGACAGAAACCCTCCCGATGAGGGGGGCGATGCGGGGAGTGGTTAGGTCAACCCATGGCTCAAGCCATAAGAATAGCCGAAGCGCACGCAGCAACAACCATCACCAGACAGTAGAACCCGCCAGTGTTGCTGCCACCACCGCGGCTGCCACCGCCAGCGCCAGTGGACGCAGCAGTACCCTCAGCGGCTGCACCGGTACTAGCAGAGCCGACGGCCCGGTTCCTGATGGTGGTCAGCAGCGGGAAGGGCGATGTGAACAGGGACAACCGGCCCACGCGGGGCGACGAGGCCGAGCTGCCGACGGTGATGGGCGAGACGGTCGGCAGGCTGTACGTGAAGGTTGAGTTGACGGTTGACGTGGTGAGGCTGCCAGAGCCAGCGGTGCCGGTGCCGGTGATGTGAACTGGGTTGCCGGTACCGATACTCGTGCCGGTGACAACGATGACACTGGTGCTGGTTAAGGAGGGGTCGATGGTGACTGTGGTAGTCAGGAAACCGCTGGTAATGTACTCGGTGGTGGTGCGGGTGTGATGAGACGTCTCGGTGAGAATGTCAGTCAAGGTGTCGGTTGTGGTGAAGGTGGTCATATCGGTCGAGTCGGATGTGGTCGTGGCGCTCTGGTCACTAGCGGTTGTCGACTCGCTTCCGGTCAGGGCGTCGTTGTCCGAGATGGTGGTCACGGTCATAGTTACGGTGACAGTCTGGGTGGCATCACAGGCCGCATCCGAAGTACTAGGGGAAATAAAGGTGTCAACATGTGAAATGGTGTGAAGAATTTTGCTGTAGGGTATTGACACTCACCTCGTCTCAGTGCCCGAGATGGAAGAAGACAACGAGATGACCTGGAGGGTCGTGGTGCTCGTCTCTGTCTCAGTGAAGCCCGTCGTGGCAAGGCCCGAAGCGCTGGACGGCTCTGACATGATTGGAGTGACCGCAATGCCCCCGGTGGTAGTGGTGCTGATGGAAGTGGGGAAACCAGACGAGGGGGTCATGTAGCTGATGGTGCTGTTAAGCGAGCAAACAGAATCGGTAGCGAGAGTGGAAGAGAACGTGGTAGAATCGGTACTGGCATCGCGAGCCTCAATCTGGGGGATCTCAAGAGCGCCACCATTAACGGCCATGGCGTGGGTACCGGCTATGGCCGCCGAAAAGCCCACTGCAAGCAGAGAGTATTAGTCCCAGTTCACCTCAATATTCTTTTTTGAAGAACAAAGAACTTACTCAGACCCAGGACAACCATCAACCAGACGAGAACGAATGTGTAAAATTTCAGGTCCAAGTCGGACTTAGAATCTTGCATCTTCTTGCACTGCTGGCGGGGGACCTTGGACTCGCGGTCCAGGACGCCGGACTCAATAAGGTTCATGATGACCTCCTGAGACTTCTCATCGTGCTTGATGGGCTGAGCCACCTCAGTCTCGCTCTTGGTATAGAATAATTTGCTTATGAACGCCATAGTGGGGGTTTCTTGAGGTTTGTTGGGTTAATCGCGACCTGTAGAACTCCATGTCAGCTTTAGTAAACTGCGGCAATCCCCAGCACATCGGTTGTGGGTGTATGTTGAGAAACATGAGGACCGAAGGGGCACAGAATGAATCTCGCAATGCTGGGCCACAGGTAATCATGGTAAACAAGACTGTCCCCAAACTATACAATTCCGTGATGAAAGATAGCATGCAGTGCTAAGCTTTGCATAGTCTTGTCGGCGACGAACAGCCGGCGGACCGACCGGCCCGCCTGGAACAAGCCGGGTCAACTTGTCGACACGTGCGCCCGGGTTTGTTTCATTGTTTCAAAGAAGGGTATTTTCAAAGGAGGAATAAGATAATACTCACGGTAATATCGGATCGTTGCGGGTTATCAGCGGTCTGAAAGTTGTTGTCGAGGATTTGTGCTCGCCGAGGCTGGTTGAAGGCGAGGATGCTGAGAGAAAGATTGGATTGTTTGGTGAAAGGAGGAAAGATGTGGGCGAATGACAGAGACCTACAACTTATGGTAATTCCGGGAGGTGGGTGATTAGGGCAGTAGGAGATGGTTTTGTCAAGGGCGGGAAGGAGGTAGATTTAAAATTTTGGCGCCGAGATGCGCGTCTTGGGACAGGATGAAAACACGTACCAGTCCAACCGGCTAACCACTGTGTTCAGCAACAAATCTGGATCAGAACAGTTCTTGCCATCCTGGCAAAAATTGTTGACCTTGTGACCACGATCGCGTAAACAACAATAGTTTGCTCACTCTGACATGAATACGTTTAACAACATCAAAGATAGACACATTGTAAACACATAAGATCGATACACCCCTTATTATTGTTCTAGGACCTGATTAAGTCAGAGATAAAAGAAGAGAAAAGTAACCCATATTTGCCACCTCAGAAGCATTCTACCACAACGCAGTCAAGCCAGGGCTGTATCGCACTAGATGAGGACCAGGCATTTGAGCTCAAATCTGACGAACAACATCCATAACATGCCTGGGGGTGTCTGTCAAAAACCTCAACGTAAAAACGGTACTCTACAACTGACACACACGTTACAGGTCTACGTCTACATGCTAGGGACAACCAACACAACAAGCTGAGAAATCCATCTAGCTCAGATTTGCTGCGGCTTCATCTCGTTGTTTCAAACTGCCACCGGCAAGCAACAAGTTCCCGACTACGGAGTAACGTAATATTTCTGCCGGGGTGGAGGAAAGGTGAACTACAGCCAATCCAAGGTTACAAAACCTATTTTCTTGAGGATTTTCGGTCAAGTCCGGTAAAAATATGATCAGTATGCAACTCAAGATCGTGGACGGGAGATTTCGGAAACGGGTATTGTTAGAGCCCTTCCTCGATTTTTAAATGTGAAAACAATTCTGCGGCAAGAGCACCGAAAACAGGAGCAGGAGAGAGGTGAGATTGTGGTGCCTCAGAAGATATTGGGCCGAGTAAACAATTGCCCCTGAGTCTTGGCAGCTACGAGACGCTTCTGAGAAATCCCTCTAATTTGTTCGGTGTCAGATATGAAGAGCCGGGAAGAGTTAAAATCAATGTTTTTGACTAGTTCAATATTATAACTAGGCACTAGAATGACCTGTCGTTGGAAAATGGGGGTTCCTTCCTCGCACGTGAGGTTGTGTTGACATTGGGGTTGTTGCTCGGCCACCCGCCCCCACGTACCCGAAGGTACCCTCAGCTTACTTAATGTATTTGCGCCACAGCCGCCCCACTCAAGATGCATGCTGCCAAAAGCTACGCGACTTGGGGAGCGCGTACCATGCAACACACTGGAAAGTCGCTCCACCTCTCCAATAATTATTATGAGCACCACCCGATAATCCAACATTCTTCTGTCTATGAGTGCCCGCCCTGGTCTCGCCTCGCGACACGGGACGGCGTACTTATTACCGACCCGCATTGATTTCGTCGCATTTTTTAATCGACGCGCAGCGCCCGCATTAGACATCAGACGTCCCACAACTTCCCAGCGCCAATTGACTGTCGAGGGTCGCTAAACGACACCATCGTGGTCGCACCACACGCGCACCGCCAGCTCAAACAGACTTTACGTTCCCCCGCCTTTTCACCCTTTTTTCCAGCGACAAACGCGACAACAGAAACGAAATTGACCCGGAGTTTTTGTGGTATCATTGGTATCATTGACGGCCATCGCGCGCCATGGCGCCTCGTCGGAGTGCGGCCGCTGAGGTCGAGGAACAAGAGCCGGAGGGAACGGTCGGACTGCAGTTCAACGAGTCGCTATCATGGCGTCCCGGCAAGCCGATCGCCATCGATACGCTGCTCAAGCGGCTCGACAAATTGACCAAGGAGCTGGCAGAGATGGACCAAGAGACGACCGATCCATCGTCACTCACCAAGGTCGCCAAAGACGTGGCCGGGAACCACCTGCTCGCTCACAAGGACAGGGGTGTGCGTGCCTATACGGCCTGCTGCGTTGTTGATATCCTCCGTCTTTGCGCCCCAGATGCGCCCTTTACCCCGACTCAACTTAAGGTGCGATTGCCCCTCACTCATCCCTCCTCTCCTTCCAAGGGTCCAATCGGTCATCCCAGCTAACCGGTCTAAATTAATTAGGACTTCTTCAACCTTACCGTCACGTCCATAATCCCCGCCCTCTTCGACACCTCCAATCCCTACAACAACCAACACAAGTACGTCCTGCGCTCCTTGGCCGAGATTAAGAGTATCGTCCTGCTGCTCGACGTCGATGGTAGCGAAGCTCTCTTATTAGTCCTTTTCTCCAGCATCTTTGACGGCGTATCCGGTTCCAAATCGGCCCAGGGAGAGCAAGTCGCCAAGGATGTCGAGTATAGTATGCAAGAGCTCCTTGGTGTCTTGGTTGAAGATGCTGCGAGTCTCCCGGCCAAGGTGGTGGATGTGATGATGGCGCAGTTCTTGAGGGCTGCCGCACCCGGGAGCGGCAGGGACAAGCAGAACCACACGCAGCTCGACGAAAATCAGGCCACCCTCCTTGCCAAGGAAGAACCTGAGGCCTACCAGATTGTGAAGCATCTATGTCAACTCTTCCCCGACAAGATGGCCCGCTTCGTTAGCCAGTACTTCAGCGATGTCATCGTCGACTCCACGGGCTTTGCTGGAAAAGGCGACGCTAGGGACGTGGATGACGATGACGAGGAGGGGCCATCCGGGGCGACTGAAAAGGACCTGAGGGAATTGAAGAAGGCGCACACACTTATCCGTGAGATCTGGAAGGCTGCACCCCAAATTCTCCAGAACGTGGTTCCGCAGGTTGACGCCGAGCTCTCTGCCGATAATGTGCATCTGCGCCAACTTGCCACGGAGACGCTAGGCGACATGATTTCCGGTATTGGTGCTGCTGGGCCGCCGCCCCCACCAGTCCTGGACCCGGCTGCCTACCCACCTTTGAAGTTGGATGACGAAGATAAACTTGATGCTTCGTCTGCGAACATTCTTACCACACCCCTTTCCGCCATCTCTTTCTCTCAGACCCACAACGCGACTTTCCACAACTTCCTAAGCCGGAGGAATGATAAGTCGCCCGCTATCCGCTCTGCCTGGACTGCCGCTGTCGGGCACATTCTCTCAACCTCGGCCGGTGGCATTGGGCTCGGGCGCGAAGATGAGACGGCGCTGATCCAAGGCATTGGAGAGAGGCTTTCGGATAGCGACGAGAAGGTCAGACTGGCTGCCGTCAAGGCTATTGAGTGCTTCGGCTTCCGGGATGTCATCCTGAAACTTGGCCCGAACGGGGGCGTCGGCAAGGAGGGATCCGTCTTATCCACGCTGGCCGACCGCTGCCGTGACAAGAAGCCAGCCGTGCGAGTCGCGGCTATGTCTCTTCTGGGGAAGCTCTGGGGCGTTGCTTCCGGCGAACTTCTCGCCGGCCACGAAGCGGTGACTGCTGCCCTGGCAGCGGTTCCCAGCCGAATTTACAATTCGTTCTACGCCAACGATCTGGAATTGAACGTTTTGTTGGATCGCGTCATTTACGAGTGTCTCGTACCGCTGTCTTACCCGCCACCTCCGAAGAAGGCTTCTAAAGCCGCCGCCTCCAACGGAGAGGCCTCACAGTCCCAAGGTGTGGCCAGCGACCCTGATGCAGTACGGGCGGAGAGAATCCTCCTTCTCCTCCGCTCACTCGATACCAGTGGGAAGAAGGCGTTCTTTGCCATGCAGGCGCGGCAACCGCAGTTTTCCCACGTTCTCGAGACATACGTCAAGCAGTGCGACCAGTTCAACGGGGGCGTGATGGACGAGGATGCTTCGAGGAAAATTGCCAACCTTAACAAAACGACCCGTTACATCTCCCAATTCCTTCCGGACGGACCCAAGGCGGAGCAAGAACTCTATCGGTTTGCCAAGACCAATGACCGGCGGAGTTACAATCTTATCAAGTATGTCATCGGGCAGGAGCACGACTTCAAAACGGTCTACAAGGCCCTGAAGGAGTTGATGAAGCGCATCCAAGCTAGCAAGGACCCGGTGGTTCGCGATACGCTGCTGCCCCTCCTTTACAGGTCGGGCTGTGTTATGTTCAACCGCAGCCACCTGGCCGCGATTATGGAGTGCTCCAGGTCGGACAAGGACGGCATGGGGGCGGCCGCCCACGAAATTCTCAACGAGATTTCGCAGCGGAACCCCGACCTCTTCAAGACGCACATTGGCCAGCTGTGCAAGGACCTTGTCGACCAAGCTCCCACGCAAACGCGGCAAAACGACCCGGTAGTCGTTGAGACGTTGAAGGCGTGCTCGACTTATGCTCGGAAGTACCCTAAGGATGTGCCGGCAGAGAGGGACTTCACGCGCACCATGATCAACTACGCGCTGTACGGCCAGCCCCCGCGGGCTGCCAAGTACGCGATTAACATCATGCTTGCCAAGAAAGACGACAGAAGCCTGGTTACCGCAACTGACCTTCTCCAGCGGATCGAGAAGGACTGGACGTATGGATCCAAGAACTTCCTCAACAAGCTAGCTGCCGTGAGCCAACTTGAGCTACTGGCTCCTCGAGTCACCGAAAAGGCGGAGAGCAAGATTCTGAATATGGCAGTACAACAGGTTCTTCTCGAGGTCCGGAACTCAGCCAGCGACAAGGATCCGGACTGGGTTGACGATGCCAGCCTGGATGAGGAATGCCAAGCCAAGTGCCTCGCTCTGAAGACCCTGGCCAACCGGCTCAGGAGTGCAGAGGACGTGGACGAGGCGAAGCAGACGGCTCGTGATGTTTGGAAGCTGTTCATGAAGTTGATCAAGAACAAGGGAGAAATCTCGAAAACCAAGAACACACCCAAGCACCACCGGTCTCGGCTGAGGCTTCTTGCGGCGCAGTTGTTGCTGAAGCTGTGCACGCAAAAACACTTTGACGAGTTGCTTGGCCCGGAGGATTTTGACGCCCTTGCTCTGACAACGCAAGACGCCGTCCAAGACGTCCGCCACGGTTTCGTCAAGAAGCTACAGAAATACCTAGCCGCCAGTAAACTGCGCTCGCGTTTCTACACCATCGTCTTCCTGATGGCGTTTGAGCCTAGCACGGAGTTCAAGCTACGGACCGAAACTTGGATCCGGTCGCGGGCGCGCCACTTCCAGGACAACAAGCAGCCTGTCCTCGAGGCCGTGATGCCGCGCCTCCTATCCCTTCTGGCTCACCATCCCGACTATGCCGCCGAGCCGGATGAGCTAGTCGACCACGCCCGGTACATGCTCTTCTACATCAACCTAGTCGCGACCGAGTCCAACCTGGGCCTGATCTACAAGTATGCGGAGCGGGTCAAACAGACGCAGGACGCACTGGACCCGGGAAGCGATCACCACCAGGTGCTGAGCGACTTGGCGCAGGCGGTCGTGCGTAAATGGCAGGAGAAGAAGAATTGGGTGTTCAACACGTTCCCGGGCAAGGTCGGCTTGCCGGTTGGACTGTACAATGCGCTCAAGTCGCATGACGAGGCGCAGGCCATTGCGGAGAAGCAGCTCGTGCCGGATGGTATTGACGAGAAGCTGGATGAGCTCTTGCGCGCTATGGATCGCAAGAAGGTAATGAGAAGTCTCTTCCTTGTTGTCCCTTTCCGCTCACATCATACTCGAACTCGAGACTAATCCCCCCCTCCCGCAGAAACGCAAATCCGTCGACGACTCCCGCCACCCATCCAAGAAAGCCCGCGTGCAAACCAAATCCTCCGGATCCAGCCACCCTAGAGAGTCACGGCCTATCAAGAGCGCCAAAAAGACAAGCACCCCGAAGTCCAAGAAGACCTCGTCGTCCACCAAAGCCAAGAAAGCTGCTACGGCGGAACGGGCCGTGCCAGACTCGGAACGCCGTCGGAGTGGTCGGTCCAAGGGTCTCAATCAGTCGTACATTGAACGCGATTCGGATGATGATGACGAGGAGATGTTGGATGGTGTGGCGGAATGGGAGTATGATGGGAGTCAAAATGGGGACGATGACAGTGAAAGCGGAAGTGGGAGTGAAGAGGAACAGGAGGAGGGCGACGAAGAAGAGGGATCGGTGGTCGAAGTAGCTGAGGAAGCTGGAGCCGACGAGAGCGAAAAGGAAGACGAAGAAGACGAAGAAGAGGTGGTAGTGTCGAAAAAGGCCGAGAAACCGGCCACGCGTGGAAAGAGGACGCTAGCAACGCGGACAAAGCCGAAATCGAAGGCTAAGGTCTCCCCGGCACCGGCTTCCGACGACGAGGACGAAGCAGAAAATGGAGATGTTGAGATGGAAGAGGCCGCCACGGATGGCAAGAACGGCAATGGTGCGGCCGAGGACGATGAGGCGGAAGAAAACGGAGCAAATGGAGATGAGGAGGAGAAGGAAAATGGTGATGAGGAGGAAGAGGCTCCGCCACCGATGCGGAGTACCCGGAGGAAAGCCAAGCCTGCCGCTCCTGTGCCTGATGTGCCCGCTAGGAGGGCCAAAGCGACTTGGAGGGGGGATAAGGCTACTCCTGTAGCTGTGGATGGGTCTGAGCCTACCACGAGGAAGCCTTCGGCTAGGACTAGGAAGCCAGCTGCGCGCTAGGATGCGAGTTAGTAGAACGGTTGATGTTGCTGTGAGAGTGGCTGTTGATTGCAATACCGGTTGGTGGATAAGGCAAGGACGACGAAAATGTTCAGGGTGGTTAGTGGAGGTTACTGTGGAGAGACGGGAGGGTTAATGTTATGTGGCGCTGGGAGACAGACTAAGAAGCTGCTGGGGGATGATGGATAGATGGGCTCGGTTGCTTGACGGCTGGGTTGAGGTTGCCGGTATGATTATGAGGATGCTCTGGTTTTGGTTTTATTTCCCCCTTTTTTTGCTTGTGCTTTATTCAAATTCAAATCCAGTCTCGTTTCTGCGGCGAGTCGCCCGCGGTCTTGAGATCCCTGGGACGAGTTTGAGAGTGCTTTTCTTTTCGTCGTATGGATCTCTTTTCAGTTATCGTATCACGGTCGGTGTTTTTTTCTCCCCAGCTCTGAGTTGAGTGTTTTGCTCTGCTACGAAATTGTATGAAACTCCTCTGAGGGTTAGGGTGGCTACTTTGAGGGATTGCTATTTGGGTATCGCTTGCTTCTCCCCGTTTCTGCGACGAAGCAAGCGGTGTTCCCGCCGTTCACTAGCGTGTTGCTTGTTCAAGATGCAAGATGTAATTTTAGTATTTTATGGAGTGATATTATCCGGAGTGGTTGTGTCACGAGAGGTGCCGTGGAGGTTCATATCCAACATCACGCTGCTCCTTCCGACAACCACCCCTCTTTCTCACCCGCAAGTACCCAAAAAAATAGCCGACACTCTCGGCCCCCAATTACAACACCATAAGCCATCCGCTCAACAACACCGCTACCCACGCCATCCCCATGATCACCCTTGATGCGTCGCTCTCCCCATCACCATTATTGCCAGACCCTCCTGGTGGCTGAACCGTCCCATGCGTCATATTGGTATGATCCCCAAAAAACCAACTCACCGCACTCGTGTCTTGCGGAGTTACCTCGGGAATCTCACACACAGCGTTCAACGCCTTTGGATCCCGACACCGACTATTGTATTCGGCCTCGCCCTCCCATTTCTGCTGCGGCTCGCCGCCGTCATCATTCCGGATGATGGTGGACGAGTTAAAATACGCCTTGACATACCGCACCTCGAGCGCCGGCCCATCCGGATCCCCCTGCGCTTTCGCAGCCGCCAGCGACGGCGGACCGCCGGACCAGAGCGGGTTCCCGTTGCTCCAGTGCTGCAGGATGAGGTGGCCCGGGGTGGTTGGCACGGCGGCGGAGCCGGCCATTGAGGCGAGTTGTTGGCCGTCGGCGAAGAAGAGTACGCGGTCGGGGAGGTAGTCGATGCGGTATTCGTGGAAGCCGGCGGTGGGGTCGAAGGGGAGGTAGGCTAGGACGAAGTTGGGGTTTTCGTTGTTGTTGGTGTTGTTGTTGGGGGCTGGGTGGGCGGCGTCGAAGCCGGCGAGGGCGGATTCGCGGGACTGGAGGACCAGGTTGACGGGGTAGCTGTTGTTGGAGCGGTGGAAGTCTTTGGTGAGGAACTCCATGTCGATTTCTTGGGTGTCGTTGAAGTACTGTGCGCGTTGGGTGTGAGTTTGGTTCGGAAGTCATTGATATCCAGCCAAGCCGCCCTGTATGATAACCACAGAAAAGAAGAGAGGAGACAAGAAACCTGAAAAAAAAAGGATAAACCTACCCAAAAGAAAGCGGCACATGTCCCCGGCACACTTGACAACTTCATCCCCGCCCGAAACGTTCCCCACCTCACATCCAACCGGGCCGTATCTAGCTCCGCAACGGGCACCATCCCGTCCACAATATCGCTTCTCACCACCAGCTCCAGCCCCTCCTCCGTCACACCCTTCTTCGTTGCCGAGCTCTGATCATCCGAAAAAAGCCGGACGTTGTCGACGGCAAACATCTCGCCATACTGGCCGCGGGCACGCTCGCGCGTCAGGTTGAAGGCCTGCGGGATCCAGTCGGTGTTATCCCACCACCTGCCTTGGCTATGATAATTAGCATTATTATTGTTGTTGTTGTTGGTATCCGCGCTGTGAGCCGCTAAACGGCTGAAATCCGTCTCGATTAGGTCCGTGAAGAGGAGCGTTGTTGTTTGGTCATTCGACGATGATGATGAGACAGAACGAGCGTTGGATACGGGATCGGCGGAGGGGAGACGGAGGAGATAGCCACATTCGCAGTCGGCTAGGACTGGTTGGGCCAGCTGGAGGATACACCAGGACAGCAAGACGAGGAGCGTAGCGGATTGGCAGCGGTAGGAACCCGGCTGGTGGTGAGAGAGTCGAAAGGTCATGGCTATCTATGACTGGACTTGCTTGGCTTGGCTGAAGTGACGGCTACCTATCTATCTCCCGGCCATATCTCGAGAGTGGCTTTGCTGCAGTGGCTGGCTGGCTGGCGGGGAGGCTGTCTCGGGGGTTGTGTCCCGTGCACTGTGTACAAGGTGAGAGTGAGGGAAGTGTAGAAAAAAAAAGAAAAAAGAAAAAGCCAGCGGGTTTGTGTTCCTTGACTGCAGGAAAAGGCGTTGGCCCGTCCCACAAACAAGCAAGGAACAAAGCAAGCAAGCGCCGAGGGCCGGATTCCTCCTCGCCTAGCGCCACTTAGTTATTCGTCCTAGTCGCATTACCCTAAGTCGGTGTGCAGCAATGTTTCACTTCTTTCAAAAGCAGCAGCCGCCCGGATGAGGACCGGGGGTGTGATGGAATCCTCACCATGCCCATTCCCGTCACGCAAGGTGAAACCGCGCCGAATACGCCGTTCCGTACTCCCTTGTATAAGAAGCAAACGGCCGACCGATACCACATCTTGACGGCCATTGTTTCGCGGGGCGGACGGAGCATGAGAGACAAACAACCCGTCCATAGAAATGGAAGGGAACCAAAGCCGAAGATGCAAACACTTCCGAACCCAAACGGTACGGGCCCTCCTCGGGCATGAATGAGCGGGATGGCCAAGCCCGAGAAAATACGAGGCCTAACTAAAGACTCAGCGTGTCAGTCTTTTCCCAGTCCACTGCAGCTGAGAGAGAGGGAGAAAAAAAAGAACAAGAACAGGCCTTTCGTGAAGCGCGCGGGTGACTGTCCGTCCCCAGTCTGGCGCTGCAAGGCGAGCACCCGATACTTGAAGAGGAAGGCGGCGTGACTTTTGGGTGAAGTCAGGATGAAGAAAAGGGGAAGATCTGCAGGAACCCACAGCAAGCTGAGAGGAGGGGCGAGGGGGGGAGCATGCAGGTTGGGCCGCATGAAGCCAGGGTTCTTTGCATGCATTGCGTTTTGCTTGGTTATCGTTGTCTGAATTAAAGGAACTAGAAAAAAGTTAACCGCTTTCACGAGCATGGTCTCTTCACGGGAAATAACTTCACCATCAACATAACCCTTGTCTCTCTTCTTTTACCTCCTTTTGTCTGAGGGGTGAAGGAGTAATGAAGATGCGAATTGGCTCTCAGGCCGCGAGGTCAAACAAATATATAATAAATTCAACTAGATACGCTGCGAAACGAGCAAGAGAGGAAACTGACGCAGGACAATTAACAGATGAGACAGGAAAACTGAACTGACGCCAAGTGCGTTTCGAGGTAGGAATTATCAATCTTTGAGTTGAACGGACTCTGCCGCTCTCTACCTCTGCGCCAGTTAAACGCACAAAAACAGCCCAAGCCGAACGACTACCAGTAAGGAGATCCGCTCCTCCCCCTTTATACCCGGCCGCCGAATCCCAAGACCGCCCCATCCGTATCCGCCCGTGCTCTCGAGTTTCCATCCTCCTCGAGTATTTTCCTCCCTAGATTCCGCCCGTATCTAGTACAGGAAGCCGAACAGATAGGCAAATAGCAAAAGAAAGAAAAACGAGACTTGAAAAGAAAACGAAACGAAGAGCAGTACGCGAGAAAGAAAAAGGGAGAAAAAACCAATATATCGAACAAGGTATCCGAGGTGAAGCGAAGAAAGGAGAGAAAGCGGCAAAGTTAATAGTGGAAATAAACGAAAAACAAAAAGGAAAAGAAAGAAAACGCTGCGAAGGCAAGATTAAATAGTGTAGAAGGGGTTAATGGAACACGGAGAACGAAATAGAGCCCTCCACATGGACCAGCCAACAGTGCAGATATTAGGGTTTGCGGGAGCGGTGGTCCTCCCACTGGACCACTGTGAATGCGAAACCGTACGAAACCTGCCCCGAGTTGCCGAGCCCGTGATAATGCGGCGCGGGAGCGCGAAGACGAAAATGCAAGCAAAAGCGACGAAGGACCCAGATAAGAAAGAAGAATGAAAGGAGAAGGCATCATGAATGTCCCGACAATCCCATGGCGCCTGACCAGACCCCACGAGTTAAAGAAAAACAAAACGGAAAACGGCAAAGAGCCCATTAGTCCCAGCAAGGAAAACGGAGGGAATCTGAACAAGAATGAAATAAGAGACACAAACAAGGTATATGCCCTAACAAGCCACACCCCAATCCTTGACGTATGAATTAGGAGACAAAATGAAGTCGTCAATGTCGTCAAAGTTAATACACGCTGTCTTCGTCAGCGCCCTGCGAGGTCATGGACGGCGTCGAGACACTGGGGGAGGCAGCAACATCGTCCACGTAGCCGATCAAGGCTTGCGAGTGGAGCCGGAAGGATTCGCCCATCAACCGAGTGATTCTGATACCAATCGTTAGCACTGGACACGTAAACTCGCAGGATAAAATCAAAGTAGAAAATGACAGGTCACTCACCCCCAAACGACGACTTCATCCAGCATCGAGCCCCAAAGACGAGCAACGACGGAGCTCAGATGAGCGACATAAGTCTCGTCGACGTCCTTGTCAAACAGCTGGCGGATGCGATTGTACATGACTAGTTCCTCCTCCGTAGCCGGCTCCTCGTCATGTTCCAGACGATACAGCCACAGGCTAAGGATAATCATGAGATCCATGCCGCACAGCGGGTGCTCGATGCTCCAGTTGGTCGGCGAGGTGCGCGCGACCCAGCGGACGCCCTGCAGAACCGCAGTCTCGATGCAATTGTAACACTCCTGGATAACCTTGAGCATCTCGCTGGAACGCTTGACACGGTCCCTCGCGTTCGACATGGCCGCCGCGACCTCGTACGAATCGTGGTACCGGAGCGCCTCCTGTACCGCCTTCAAGTCGACCTCGAGCCTAGCGCGCGCGTTGCGGAACATGGCCTTGGCATTGAAGATGAGGGGATGGCCCTTGTGAGGAGCGCTGAGCGGCACCGAGAATGCCTCAGGCTCACAGAGATCCAGGGACTTCTCCCACGTCTCGAGAGCCAAACGGAGCTTGTACTCAGTCACCACGTCCTGCAGTGCCTCCGGGCTGCGCTTGTGGTACCACACCTCGAGGAAGAGCGCGTTGATCATAACACGCGTCGCGAAGGCGCTGTACTTGAGCGTCTCTCCCTGGAAGAGATTGTCGTGGGCGTCCATGAAGGTGACACTTGGTGAGACCTTGAGATGGTCCTGCCAAGCGTCCTCAGTGACCTTGATGTTCCACAGAGCTTCAGTAGACGGCAGCTCGAGATCCTCAAACTCGTTGAAGCTCATGGCCGGCGTGTGGTTGTAGGTCAACGTCAACAAGCCGAAGAAGATGTACACGGCGTAGTATGTACGGCGGCAACCTTCGTCTTCGACCCACTCGGCACGGGTCGGGGCGCGACCCTCGCGAGCTTCTTGTCGAAGCTTGAGCTCGTAACGGTTCCCAGCAACCATGTTGGCAAGCAGACTCTTGATCGAACACGCCCATTCCAGGCCCTTGGGGTCCCCGCTCCAGCTGGCAAAGATCATGTTGAGGAGAGAGCTCTGCATCGTCCAGAGAGGGCACTTGCGAGAGCTGAAGTTCTCCTTGTTCTGGAGGAACTGGTTGACTAGCACCTTTGAACCAATGTGAAGCATGTATGCCTGCTCCTGGTCGAACGCATATAGGGCGCCGATAGAGAGAACTGCCAGGAGAATGGCGGGCGACATCTGCGTCGGCTCGAAGGAAGCTGGGTGCAGGAACGGCAGGTGATGGTGGAACAAGCCAAAGTAGGTGGCCAGATAGCGGTTCAGCGAGGGTAGGTTCGGGACGCGGAAGCCCTCTGGGATGGCGTGTTCGCTGTCACTGCCGCGGATGTTGTCAAGGATCACGTTGCGCTCCTCGTCACTATAGACCTGAGGCGCCTTGAACCCAGTAGCAGGCTGAGAGACATCGAGCGGGCTGTGGGTTCGCTGAGCCAGATAAGGCGACTGAGGAGTCGGGGTGGCGGTAGCTGACGGAGGAAGCGAGTTGACAAGTGCCTGGAGGCCCGGGGCCATATGGGCATTCTGGCCGGCCATCGGGTGGTCAGAGCTGATCGAGTGCGCTTTCTGATCCTGACCAGCGAAGCCACCCTCCCATTGAGAGGCGTATGTGGAATCCATCGACGACCCGTTCTGAGAGAAAGACATGTTCGAACTAGCATCGTACTGGCTGCTGTTGGCCCGAGCCGCTGCGGTCGCCTTCTGGTGGAGGTCAGCAACGAGCATCGCCGCGGTCTCAACATCGAACACCCCATCGCTGCTAGCTTCGATCTGCTCGAGGGCGGAGGCATCAATCGCAATGGCCGACTTGGAAGGGCCACTGCTCGGGCGAGCAGTCTTGGGGCCGCCACGGCGTTTGCCGTCGCTGTGGAGGGGGACACCCCCATCTTTGGCGTGGACGGTACGGTCATGGCGGAGGAGAAGGTCGCGTCGCACGAATGTGCTGCGACACTTCATGCACTTGAAAGGCCGCTCCTTGGTGTCTATAGCCATGTTAGCTTGCATCTCCGAACTAGCAAAACGATAATAATAGAAAGGAGACATACGAGAACGCTCATGCCTGCTCCTGTGTTCGCTCCTGCTGAAGGCCCGATTGCAAAACTGGCACTTGTATTTTCTTTCTGGGGCGAGTGAGGTCTTCCGGGTAGCCGGTGTGGATGTAGTCGAGGATGGCATGACTGCCACGCTTGCGCCAGGCATCTTGTGGACTGATTTTGTCTTTGTCGCGATTTGCGCGTCGAACGGTGGGGAAAGAGACCGAACGGCTACTGCAAAGGTTGATTGACGGCGATAGCGACAATGACGACGGTACTCGGAAGTGGTGTTGGACCCTCCTCACAGAACGATAGTTGAGATCGCCTGAACTCCTCTTCGCTCGCGCGCGCGCTCCCGTGGGATTTAAAGTGTGTCTTGCGGACTGTTCGTCGTGTAGCTGCTCATTGGTGATATGATCATGGAAAGAAATGCCGATGGGGGGTGGATTAAATAATGGCCTTTCGCCGTGGAAATCGAAAACGACGTCTTGCTACGAAAGAGCAAAGACTGTTATGTGCAGGAACGGGGTGGGGTGGGCGGTGACGACGACGACGACAACGGGGGGAAGTGGTGGTGGGAATAGGAAGTAGAAGTGGGAGGGGTTTTCAAAAGCGCTGGCGCCTGGAAAGAAGGGGGGATGAGAGGGGAAAAATGGGCTCCGCGAACCTCTGGAGGGGGGAAGGGAAACAGCCAATGCAGGTGGGGGTGACACCCCGGTGACCAGCCAGCTGCGTGCGAGTGGGCACAATTTTGTCTTTGTCCCGATTAGGTTTAGCTGGTCGCGTTCCCAGTCAAGCACGGGAACGAGCTGCTGGCGGGCCCACCGAGTGGTTGGGAATTTCGCAACCAGTCATCTACATTACTTGCAAGGTCTCCGTCTGAGCCCAGCGCCGCGTCCTTCAAGTTGTTGTCTCTTCAAGAGAGCGGTGAGGGCCTCGGGAATATGTTGACAGGAACAACAACTCTTTTTTGTGCGCTTACAGCGCGCTAAAGGTTCTCTGGCGGGGTATTGCAGAGCTGGCATTCAACGTCGTTCCATGTCTCGTACAAGTACCGACAAAATGAGGTGGGGTGTCGAGGGGCCACGCGGGGCAGAGCTGAAGTTAGGGAAGGAGGTAACTTTCTTAAGCTGAACGCGCTGTTAGAGCGAGGCACCCTATCAGGAGTCCCGTCCACCCTAACGCGTGTTGGAGAACGGAGCTTCCGGGTTCGCGTGGGAGGAGCGGAAATTGGCCACGTTCACGTTCTGGTCGCGCACACTCCTGCCGTTGCTTCTTCAAGACCACACTCGGGTTTCCTGCCCCTCCTCTCGTCCCTCCTCAGAATTTTTTTTTTGGACAGGGGGAGAGGCGCCGGGGCGGCGCAAACAATCTGCCCCTCATGGTGTCAAGTCTTCGAGGGCGGTGTCTTTCTGCAGCACATTTCGCTGCGGCCGCTGACCGCCACATGGAGAGCGACCTTGGAGTCAAGGAGTACTTCGTTGTGGAGTTCGGAGCTGCAAGAGCTCGGGACGCAGTGGGTCGCCCTCGCCTTCATTGCAGCGCTGCGCTGTCATCGCGGGGCATCACCAACGACCTAACGAAGTGCGGTCTGATCAGTTACATCCCATCCTATCCTGACAGCGTCGTGTCAATCCACGCACCCCTCGCCAATACTAGTAGGAGTTCGGGTGGTGTTCAGCAGCACGCACGCTGAGTTTTGTACAGCCATACCGAAAATAGCGGTCGCTCAACAGCGCCGTTTGAAATCAGCAAGGCCCACTCATGGGGAGGGTGTCTGCTGCGTAAAATGCACGGCAATGCCGCAAGTAGGGCTGCGGCAGCGGATAACCAGAGCCAATCCCCTTGACCGTCGACATCAAAAATGCCACATCGTCAACTTTTGACTGCCCCGTGACCAAGACTCTTGAGCGACGACGAAAAAAAAAAACACACAACCATCAGTCCGAGAAGATTCTGGGGTTGTTTATTCAAAAAGTATCAAGCAAAATTGGCGGGGTCGTTTGGAACTCCCTTCTTTTTTTTAACCCCTCCCCCTCCTCCCATCAATCCAATCTGCCCGCCATGCCGTTTTGCTCCGCCGCTGCCCCGATCAACCAATTCACTCGGTTCCGTCTGCGCGGTGGCAGGAGACGGGGTGGGTAAGCTCCGCGACCCACTCTTTGGAGGGGTTGGTGCTGGAGCTCGACCGGTCAGGTTTGGGATCTTGGCGGCTTGGCTCAAGACGGTTAGAAAGCGCGCTCGAGTGTCCATCGAGACTATCGAGGCCACGAACCTGCAAACGGGTCCCTCGATGAGTTGGAGGGGCAACTGTTGTTACAGGTTCCATTGGATGCTCTGACGCTGCAACCAGCAAGCCTGGCAATATCGGGCGAAATAAAAAAGACAAGACCCGCCAGCAGGCTGATACAGCAGCTGGATAGGCCGGCCATCGCAATGTCCAAGAGGCATCCCGACTGGGTCTCTTCCAACGTCCGGCTTGTTTGGAAGAAGAGAATTTTCGGCCCCTGAAATTGGACGCACGGTGGCCGTCGGCCTGTCGGCCTGGCAAGGTTGCAATTTGGACGCTAATGCGGGGCGGAAGACGAAGCCGGTTGCGAGCTAAATTGGTGGTTCCCGGCTTTGGGAACGCAACACCCCTCGATCTTTTGTCGGTGACTTAAACTTTGCAGTCTGCCCCACTCGGACCGACCAAGAATGGAGAGCAGGTGCGGCCGGATTGCATTTTTGGAGAAAGCGGGATGAGCGTTTCGGGGTGGGAATTGATGGAGAGTTTGTTCTCCCCTCGTTTTACAAGTTGGCGGGGAGATCTTACGCCTCGTCCTTGCGATTGAGATCATGGGCGAACGATGCTCTGGTACTTTGGTCCGAAGTAGGCGCAATCGAACCGGCGAGCTTTGTTCCAAAGTTATCTACCCATCTGGTACCCTCTTCTCTCCGTTGTTAACTACGAAATGGCATTACCCTGTTTACGATGGGTTTGTACATAGAGAAAACTGAGGACGAAACGCTACAGTCACCTAGCAGACCTGTGTTGTTTTGAAAACGTGTGACAAAACTGGAGGGGGCTGGGGGCTGGCCGTTTTCCCTGTTAGAGTACGACACAGTCCATAGTATAGAGTGAAGTGTACTAGTGTAGTACGCAGTAGCGTAGTGTGTACACGACACTACGGCGATGCTCCTCCATGGCCGAATGCAGACGTGATCGCGGCCAGAATCGCATTGACGGTTCATCAAAAGCATTGAGACCACGAAATGGCGGAAGATCTCGGGGTTGGGGGAGGACAGGGGGTGCGGTGCAAAGGAAAGAACGCTTCTGGAAGGAAGGAAGGAACGAAGCGACAAACCCCTGGCTCCTCGGCGCACCCGGAGGTTCACACAGTGGCTAACCTAGCCGGGCATTCAGGTGGTTCTTCAGCCGCGACAAGTGGAAGGAAAAAGCGACGAGTAGTTACCGTTGATCGCTCAACTGATTCGCCCTCAGCTGCCTTTGAACATCTGTCAAGTCCACCGTCATTCAACCCTTCGCTCGGCCATCCCTCATTCCAAAACAGCGACAGGAATCGTCCCTTCCACACCGGGCGCTGGAGGTGGGACCTTGGGTAACATCCGGGCCTCCAGCACATGGCCCGAGGCCGAGGGTTCGGAAATTGATACTCCTTGGGTGACGCTGTTCCCAATAACCCTAACGATTCCTTCGGCCAAGTATTCCTCGCTGATGACTCGCCGTTTCGCATGAACCAATTTTGTGTGCGCATGTCCGTTGTTGCGGCTTCCTCTGAGTTTAAACGTTAACGACTGGAGGAATACTTTGTACAAAGTACAGCTTTTTTTTTCTTACGATGTTCTGGCCTGACTTCCTGACTAATATGCTGCATGGCCCAGGGGTAAAGAAGCAAGGGCTGGGGCCAGAGCCTCACCGCACCTTCAGGAGGATTCCCAAGGTGACAAAAGGAAAGGAAAAGCCAAGACGGAAGACCCCTCCGTCGGGACACCCACCGGTTTCCTCCCGATAGGGGGACACAAAGCGGCGGGCGGATGCAAAGCGATTCGGGTCATTCTCTTCGTAGCCACGAATCACCATCCCAAACGGCAAGCGGCGCTGACTTCATCTTTTCCTCTGCTCTGCCGCTCCGGCATGGGCCGACACCGCCGCCGACGGGTTGGGCCTAGCCTCATCCAAGGGTATACGTGGTAACCGGCCGGTGGACGGCACCAAATTCGAGACACTTTCGCGCCGATGTGTTCTGCAAGAGGAGAGGGCCGAACCACCGAACAACATCCTTCCAGGCCCGATGGCGACGAGGCCGGGTCACGAGATGCTTGCCGCTCTTCCTGTGAGTGGGGTTTGTGTCCGCCAGTGTGTTGTTGTTGTTGGCATCCGGTAGTCTCGTGTATTTTCGCAACCGAAGGTCGGTCCAGAGAGCGATGCAGATGAGAAAGGGCTGGCAAGGCGATAACTAAGTCAACCGCGCCTTCCGACGGCCCAGTGTCCACGTGCTGGTCTGATGCCGCTGTCGTCGTTTCTTGAACCTACCCATACATACGTCCGTAGGAAATGTCCATCCGCGATGTCAGCCACATGCCGTTGGGGCAAGTCAGCTGCGTCACCGCCTTCTTGCATTCCTCGCTCTGTGGCTAGGGATTGGAGTCGTACACCAATACGATTCAAAATCCCGACGTTGACTTGACGGTGTGGTGAACGGGAGTCATCGTTGGCCGTTGCTTCGGGGCTCGCCGGTTCGGTCGCCGAGAAGGGCAGGTGAGGCTTACGGTTATCGTGCGGCGAGATTAGCGTTATCCAGTGGGATAAAAACGTGGCCTCGAACTTCTAGATGCTCTTGCCGTGGGGGTCGAAACGAGACGTTGGAAAAAAGATGGGGCGTCCCACGCCAGGGCGGAGGAGAGAGAGAGTTGCTCACTGAGGGATGGAATACCCCACGGCATATCTGAATCAGCATCCATCTCTGCGACCTGTTGATGAAGCCGGCAGCAGCCCGACTTCGTGGTGGGAAACTTGCGAATTAGGTCATCGTGCATGCAAAGCTCAGGGAGTTCTCATGATGCAGCTGGGAGGCGTCTGCCCGACTTTTCGGAACCAAGAACCATCGATCGGTCCATGAATGCTTACTGTGTAGGTCGTGGGCAAACTCGCGATACCGCACCCGAGCGAGTCAGGGCGAGTCAGGTTTCACGCTGCGAAACCTAAGGGAGCTCGTTTGGATCGGAGAAGCCACGGAGATACCTCAGAGAGGTGACCGGTGGCCAGGGAGCCAGGTCGGACAAGTCCAACGACACAGATAACTCCCATTGCATTGATGGCGGGTGCACTTGTTTCCCTATCGAACCCACCCACTTGATGGCTCTTGTGCTTTCGCCTCAACCCCGCAGCCCCACGGGCTCTGGACGATCCTCTGGTTTGCCGACGAGCTTACACGAGTCGATGGGGAACTACAGGGTCATTGGATAGTTGAAGGAAGTGGGCACTTCAGTAACGAGGAACATCCACGATGAGCAAACCTCGCACTTCGCGCCTTGTGGGAACACCCCGCGCGGCCGAGTCGAGGCTTGATCTCCCGCTCTCGATTTCAGGGAAGCTCCAGGTTCTCGGGACGACAAACGCCTCCAGCAGCGCTTCGGCAGTTGGCAGGTTCGAGTTCGATCGCCGATACAGTTCCACAGGGGAGGGGCCGATGGTCTCCAATGTCTCCCGGATCTCCCTCTCGCCGAATTGCACACAAAGCCCACGAAAGGGTTCGAAAGTTCCGCATTTCGTTGAAAAGAATATGCTGCAAAACTACGGAATGCGGGGGGAAGTGCAGCCATCGGAGCGAGGCCTTTGGACCATCGCGCAGCTTGCAGAGAAAATTAGGCAAGGTCCCGAAAGGGGAATGAGGGGCAGGGGTGGGCGCCAAGAATCGTGGCAGCAGCCGCGGACTCGCACAGAGGACCGCACAAGGCATCTATCAGCGCAACGAACGGGAGCGTGGGTTACAGCACAAAAAAAGGGGCTTTGAGCTTTTGAGTTGCTAGTTTCATGTTCGCCCACGGACGCTGCCCCCGGGGATCTTCTGGAACCACACACGAAGAAGAAAACAGTGGGGTTTGTCCAGAGATCAGACGTTCCATTCCATTACGTCCAAATTCCATTGCTAGAAAGTCCTCGAGCATCGCGGGTCTGAGGGAGCTTTATGCGGTACCGTACCCACCTTAGCCGTGGGCGTCCATGCCAGTGCCAGCTGCCACTAGACCTTGGTTGGTACAGTAACGTTGTCCCGTCCTCTCGGCCACCTGCAATCCTGCCCACAGACCGCAAATAGGTACTTTGTACATAAGTTAGTAGAGAGAGGTTTTGTCGCAGTACCTACATAGACAAGTTCTCTCCATCAGAAGCATGAATTCTACAGACCCAGACGCTTCTCAACACCATCCTAGTAACCCCCGCCCTGCCCCCTTCGTGCTCGCAGGCAAAGCCTAGCTTGTCCCTGTTTACCCATATGCCCGTCATCCTCAATCACGTTAGCGAGTGGGCGACCAGTTGAAGCAGCGCTGTCTCTGATTCGCGACGGTAGCAAGGCATGCGGGGAGTGACCTGGGAAAAGCCAGCGGATCCTTCCTCTGCCTTTCCCAGCGGCCCGCCTATCGGAGACCACTCGCCCACTCAGAAATTAGGCGAATTGCACCCTCCCATCCCCCTCTCTCTCAACCACCTGGCGCGCGCAAACCCTCAACCACCCTCCTACCCCCGCGAAGCGACCAGTCAGATCGCCCACCGCGGCTCTTTTTGTTCTCGTCAAGACCCCCAAGCGCCCGCACAAGAACAACATCCAGCCGGTCACCTTTCGTTTTCTGGTCCAACAACATTGTGCCTGGTCAAATTCGAGCGACCCCGAAATTGGTTACAGCCCAAATCGTGTCCGACGCTTTCGGCACCTCCAGCACCTGCACCCACCCGCGGTTCGCCTGGTCGCCCTCGGTCATTCAGTTCACGCATAGTGGGACGGACGCCCACAGGACGCGAGCGAAGAGTAACGGACATAAGCCGAAGGGTCGGAAGGCTTCTTGAATCGACGACTGGCTCCAGCCGACAAGGCCGCGTATTTCGTCCATGTCGCCGGTGCCTGTTCCGACAACAACCTCAACATGCTAATGACGCAGGGCTCTGTGTCGGCATTCCAGAGTCAAAACACATCTGCGTCTTCCTCGTCCTCCGCTGCGCCCTATTTTGTAGCAGACACCACTTCCGCCATGAACGGCATCGTGGGCTCGGCGCCTCCAGGTGCCATGTATGTGCGCGCCCTCTACGACTACGAGGCTGATGACAGGACGAGCTTGAGCTTCCATGAGGGGGACATTATTCAGGTCATCACAAGGTTGGAAAGTGGTTGGTGGGATGGAGTTATCAATGGTGTGCGGGGATGGTTCCCCAGCAACTACTGTCAGATTATCACAAGCCCAGATGAGATGCCAGAAATGGAGGATGGCGGCGATCCGGAGCGGATAGACGACGAAAATGACGAGCAGGAGGTCTATGAGGAGGGTATCGATGACGACGATGTCTCCGACCGCGACGACGAAGGACTTCCACTCGAGGGCGCCGATCGCGACCGTGCTGGGGCCGACTTTTGGATCCCACAAGCAACCACAGACGGCCGACTCTTCTACTACAATACCATGACCGGCGAGAGTAGCATGGAGTTACCGCTCGAGTCTCCCTCGTCACTGAATGAAACGGGACCGCGGGACCGCATGAATGTCAGCATGCCGGACAGGACGCGGCCACCACCCGAAATGATTGCGAGGGGCCTGACACAAGAAGAAGACGAAGAATCCGACGTAAATTCAGCATCCGAGTTGGACGGCGAAGCGCTAATGAACGGAGCGCGTGGGCCCCTAGCTGCGACCCGCAGAGCCGGTGCCCGCGGCGTCCTCTCACCTTCCGCCTCGATGGACTCGATAAACGGCCAATCTTCCGGCACGAGGGCGCGCGGCGATGCGATCGGAAACGGCAACAACCACCTCCAAGCCCCCGCCTCAACTTCCTTCACCAGCTCCGGATTTAACCTCCCGACGGCGGCCACCATCCCACGTTCGTTTTTCGACGATGGTACCACCCCGCCTTTGACCTGGAGCCGGCTGGTTACGAACATGAAGAAGTCGGTCGACCGCTATCGCCAAGCCATCGAAAATGGGAACCGCTCAGAATACGTCGCGCGGGCAGAGGACATCTCAGACCACTTGCGCCTCCTACTTGCTGCCGGCTCGGGCACAACGGACAACCACTCCGGGCAACCATCTATCATCTCCACCAACAAAGCTCTCTACCCTCATTTCCGGGACATGATGTCCAAGTTCTCCAAGCTCGTCATCTCCTCGCACATCGCAGCGGCCGACTGGCCAAATGCCGAATCCGTTCAAAAATGTCTACAAGAAGCCGACGGCGTTCTTCTGGGTGTGTATAGTTATGTCGAAGTCGCGAGGCAACAGCGTGGCGAAGAGATACCTAGGCTGTTCCCCGGGTTCGTTATCGGTTCCAGCGCTGGCGGGAGCTGGCAGAATAATGGGCTGACGCCGCGCGATCCCATCACGTCCAACTTCCTAGAAGACGAAGAAGGCGTCGTGGAGCCCACCGCCATCCTCGACAACAAACTTTTAGAACGACTCGACGAGCTGAAGAGGTTGTTGGTTTCCAGCATCAGGGAACTCGAGAAGAACCTACTCGTCAGCGATATGGTGGTCACGCCGTACAAGCACGAGGTGGTTGGCAACAATGTCTGTGCCGCAGGAGGCAAAGTTTTGGACACCTTCAAACCCTGGATCGCCATGATCGAGTCTATTGATCTATCGTTACTCGGCAACAGCTTCCAGACTCCGCAGCTTGCTGATTTCAGCACCAACAAACAGAGTCTCTACGACAATATCTCGGACCTGCTCTTGGGATGCCAGGCCGTCGCGGGCCCACTGGCCGATGAGTGGTCGGAGGTTCGGGGACAGTGTCTGGAAGAGAGACTCGAATACGTCAAACAATGCGCACGAGCCCTCGAGACCAACTCATCCCACATTGGCTTCTCGCTTCAGCTGTTATCCGAACAGGTGTCCATGGTCCTCCAGCAACAGGAAGTCCACGTACGAGAAGAAGTCCTCCCACGCGAGCCCCTCAGACGGATAGAGACGATGCCATACGAACGGCCGCATCAGCGGACAGAATCTCGGGGTCTGCTACGACCCGGGCTGCCAATTGGCTCGCAGTCATTCACAGAAGGCGAAACCATCCCAGCTAACAACTACCGGAAGGGTGATCCCTCCAAGATGAAACGATTCTTCGGGGAAGACCCAGAACCAGTGGCGCCCCCGCCCCCACTAGCGCCTCCAGTCGATGAATCGCCTGATTTCCTAAACCTTGACCATGAAGGCGACTTGTCCTGGGATATTAAGGTCACGCCTCCCGCTGTCAAGGGCGGGTCTTTGGTGGCCCTTGTCGAGCAGCTGACACGGCACGACAAGCTGGATGCAAACTTCAACAACACGTTCCTCTTGACGTACCGCTCCTTTACCAATGCGCGGGAATTGTTTGAGATGCTAGTCAAGAGGTTCAGTACCCAGCCACCCGAAGGACTGATTCAACCCGATTTCGATACCTGGCGGGACCGGAAGCAGCGGCCGATCCGGTTCCGCGTCGTCAACATCCTCAAGAGTTGGCTCGACACCTTTTGGATGGAAGATTACAACGAAGAGACGAAGCAGCTTATCCGCGACATGTACAACTTCGCCAAAGACACTATTAAGACAGCAGAAACACCCGGCTCCGTTCCATTGATGACCATACTGGAGCAACGACTGAGCGGTAAAGATTTCGGCGGGCGGCGTATGGTCCAGACAGTGAACCAAAACACACCAGCACCCATCATGCCGAAAAACATGAAGAAGCTCAAATTCCTCGACATTGACGTCGTTGAATTCGCCCGACAGCTCACGATCATTGAGTCCAAACTCTACGCGAAGATCAAATCGACAGAGTGCCTCAACAAGACGTGGCAAAAGAAGGTCGGGGAGGGTGAGCCAGAGCCAGCGCCAAACGTCAAGGCGCTGATTCTGCACTCTAACCAGATGACCAACTGGGTGGCGGAGATGATTCTGTCGCAGACCGATGTTAGAAAGCGTGTGGTCGTCATCAAGCACTTTGTGGCAGTCGCTGACGTAATTACCCCCCTTCCCCCTTTACTCATGCTATCCTTGTCTCGTCACATCAGAGAGAACTTGACTGACTTTGTGCAACAGAAATGCCGGATTTTGAATAACTTTTCGACCCTGACTTCAATCATCTCGGCGCTGGGCACAGCGCCCATTGCTCGCCTCAAGCGGACGTGGGACCAAGTGCCACAGCGCATCCAGGCGACCTTGGAGACCATGCGCAAGCTCATGGCCAGCACCAAGAACTTTGGCGAGTACCGAGAAACGTTACACGCCGCGAATCCGCCCTGCATTCCATTTTTCGGTATGACTGACACGGCCCCTATTCCTTCATTCTCCACTTGACCCCTTTCTACAACGTGGGATACTAACCGGTGTCCCTCAGGCGTGTACCTTACGGACCTTACCTTCATTGAGGACGGTATTCCGTCTATCATCAAGAAGACCAACCTGATCAATTTTGCGAAGCGGGCGAAAACAGCCGAAGTCATTCGCGACATTCAACAATACCAGAACGTGGCCTACTCTCTACAATCGGTGCCCGAGCTGCAGGATTATATTGTGAGCAACATGCAAGCAGCCGGAGACGTACACGAGATGTACGACAGGAGTCTACAGATCGAGCCGCGGGAGCGAGAAGACGAGAAGATCGTGAGGTAGGCCAGCTCGAATCCTTTGCTCTGCTTGTTCGTGTTTCGGTCGGCTGTGCCCTGTGATTGCTGTACCCAATCCCCGTTGGTCTTTTTTCATCATGATTGTGAAACGCTAGTGATGTTAACATGACTGTTTCTCTCCAGGGTCTTGGCTGAGTCTGGCTTCCTATGAACGGACGCGCCACGGAGAATTACCCCAATCGGTTACTTGGTGTTGCTGGGTGACGCTCGATGTGCTTATCTTGTGAACCCGCAGCGGGGCCTTCCTGTGTTGGACGGCGCCGCGCCTTTTTTGTCTTCTTCTGTTTTTTGGATGCGGTCAAATCGGTCGAGATTCTGCCGGTCGTTCGTTTGAATGTGGCGATTTAGTAGAGGTGGCATGTCAGTTGATGATATAGGCCGGTTTGGTTCATTCTTTTCCGGAGTTTGATCAAAGCGTTGGCCGGCTTTTGTTGCTAGAGGGGCAACAAGGAAATTTGGGTTGGTGACCGATCAAAACTCGGCAGAAGGTCGATCTGGGGTATGAAACGGGCACAAAATTACTCCCCGTCGCTTATCGGTCGATGGAGGCTCGGCCGGGAGGGAGATGATATTTACAACGAATGACATATCACGATATAGGACACGAACGGGCATGGGGCGATACAACACGGAGATGCCACGGAGATGCGCCCCTACAGGGTCAGCTATCCCGAAGACGTTGACGAACGGGGTATGGGGCCGGAAAGATATCGAACAAATATATGAAACAATCCAGGCTTTGTTTCCTTTTGGTATCGATCGGTTGATGGTCGAATGCTTGGTTGGCTTAGGGGCGGCGTTTATCTCATCTTGGATTTTTGACATGTTTTGGAGGGAGGGCTGCATTGGTGAGGGTGATAAACGGCTGTATGTACCTCATCGGGGAATCATGTGGAATATATGAGGCATGTTTCGCTTTATCACTGCTGTGCTGTGCTGTAATTCTCCTTCGACCTTCTCCTGCTTGGCCTATTTTGGCCGTTACCAATGAACACGCTGAGTGGCTTGCTATGGACGACACAACGGGTCCTGTTTAGCGACCTCAGCTGTCCACTGCCATGACATGACGATAGCGGTCGAAACACAGCAGTTAGGATATGGTTGGTGACAACCCGTTTGTGCCTAACTATCTTCATTGTTTTCGATTCGGACAAATTGTTTCAACTCAAAACAGGATCCGATCTGCAACTGCAACTCTACCTATATGTGTAAATAGCATGATGTAGTGTACATGGTATACTCCCCAACGTCGATCGACAAACCGCCCCCAACGCCGAGGATCCTGTCCCATCTCGGCCACCTTTTTTAAACCACACCTTACTCCGTACCGTTGTATCAATTGAACGCCACCCCGCTCGACCCGCCCTTGCAGCGGGTTGAAGCAGGAGGACACAAACCCATTTTTGCTCCCGCTCCCATCCATCCAGAAAGGGAAAGGGGGGGTGTGGGTCAGAAAGGCAAGGGATTTTCGTCTCTTCTCCCACTAATCAGTTTGTCGTGATGGGGACGATCGGGGGACGTTCCGTTGCATATGTATGCGGTCTGCTTTGCAGCAAACCACCCGGAACCTGCGGGACAAGGAGAACGGGCGGTGCGGGGGTTGGTCGTGAGTGTGTGGTCTGCGTGATGCAGAGTCCTTTGGAGGGGATTGGTTCTATGTAGCCGAGAGGGGGGAGGGGTGAGATCGGAGAGGATTTTTGGATCCCGTCCTTGCATACATAGTAGAATTCCGAAGCTACGAGAGGATGGAAGACGTCTTTGTATTCATGCAGAGCAGTTGGCTGGGTGGGGCTTTCTTGGTACAGAGGTCAGAACGTGCTGACGGGGCGAAGAGGCCATCGCGATGTCCGTGAGCGGCGATGGCTGAGATGCGTTGCTTAGGTACTTTAAGGGGGTTGAGGCGATGCTGGACTCGACGAGAAGGGACAGCCCGTGGGTCTTCTGGCCAAACACAGTGGTAAACTTGGGGATCCAAAGAACTGACAGCTTGTACGAGGAAGATCTTGTGTAGAGGTGATCTCGGCCTCATGCTTAAGTTGGGGATTTGATATCATCCCGCAGGACTGAATCTTTCTGTTTCCGTTCCTGGTACTTATGAAAACTTTCCTTGGAATACACTCCGTTAACACCAAACGCCAGGCTCCATCCTTGCATAAAACCGACAATGAACCAAACGCTTAAGTCGCCCGATCAGTAGCTGTCCCTGCTATCCCTTTCCCTCTCTCCATTTCCCCTTGTGCCCTCATGGGGCCTGTCTGCGTCCTGCTCTAACCCCTTCTTCAACCTCTCTTCCTGCTTTTTCCAGTGGCTCCCTTCCTCATAATCCTTGCTAATTTTGAGCGCCTGCCTCAACCTCTCACTCTCCTTGATTTTTGCATCGGCCAGCTCGTGTACCTGGTGCATCTTGAAGTTCCGTCTCGGTCCGACTCCGCTACTCCCGTCCCCCCTCCTCCCATTTCCGGCCAGGCTCTTCTCCAGATCGGCCAGCAGCTTTTTGCGCAGCTCATCACAGCGGGATTCGATCTCGTCCTCATCAACCCTGTATCGTACATCGTTAGCGGGCCGTAACTCGGCGGAAAGAAGTGGAAGCCGAACTAACTCTTCTTCCTCGAGCTTGTCCCGTAGCTCGAACACCTTGACTTCAACCTCGCGCTTGCGGTCGTGCTCCAGTAGCCCCTTATCCGGTTGGCGGGGTTTGTGGCGCATGCTGTCGGCGTCATTACGCGGGAGGTAGGGCGCGGCCATGTCGCGTGGCCTCTGGTGGGCGAGGTTGCGCTGCACATACCCCGAGGTCCCAGAACCGCGGGGTGTCGAGAGGCCGACATTGTCCGACATGGCAGGAATTTGCGGAGCGGTTTGATCGGTGACGAATATCCGGGATCGAAGTAGGTTAATACTGGGGGATAGACCTGGGATGAGGTTACCGGAAAGAAGCTGGCGATGATGGCGAGTCGAGACGGGATATCTTAAAGGCGGTGAAGATGGACAGCTTGTCGCGCTCCAGGACCCCAGTAATGGCCGGCAGAAATGTTCTGACCCCAGTGCGGGGACCCCCTGGTCAGTGACTCAACCCCACTATGACTGACTTTCTGAGATCTTGGGGTACAAAACCTCCTCCCCCAAGAAGAGTTTATACTTTCTTTTCAAGAAGGAACCTCATCTATTCGATATTTTGCCATATTTTCGGCTAGAATTTCGATATTATTCCCTAGTTACGCTAAAACTGTTAGCACTACAAACAACACTATGCCGTCCATCGAATCAACGGCCTCGCAGGTGACAACTGCTGAGGCCCTGCAGTTCCCCCCTGTTGCGAGGGACCACATCCTCCATTGTTCCTACGATTACTGGTTTCCAAAGTAAGGGAAAGCTCAAAGCCATTGGTTGTGTCATGGACTGACGGCCTAGATACCGAACTTCCTGTATTCGTTCCCGCATCATTCCCCTAACTTCTGACTTCGTGTCCTACCTCCACGAAGACGGCATCATCCTCGCCGACGAAGGGAAGCCCAAAACCGACGACGATACAGCCACCTCAGATGATGACGACTGGGAACCATCATTCCCCACTTCCGCACATCCACCACCCCGACCCGACGACGACGACGATGCCTCTGACTCCGAGTCGGACACAGACGAGCCTCGGCCGGCGCCCCAACCCCCCGACGTCCGCTTCCCGTCCCTCCACGCCGAGATCACTGACGCCATTGCCTCCCTTGGAGGCTCTGTTGCCCCTAAACTCAACTGGTCCTCGCCCAAAGACGCGACCTGGATCTCCCGTTACCCAAATACCATGAAATGCACCTCCGCCAACGATATCTACATCCTACTCAAGTCGTCCTCATTCATCTCTCACGACCTCGACCACGCCTTCGATTCCACCCAGCCGCCAGCTACCAGCCATAACAGCAATAATAATACAAATGGAAATCCGCCTGAATTCAAGCCAGTCCTCGTGCTACGCACTTTCTTCAACCCGCTCCCTTCCCTAGAATTCCGCTGCTTCGTCAAGTCGCGCTCCCTCATCGCCATATCCCAACGCGACCTCAACTACTACGCCTTCTTAGATGCCCTTCGCCCGCAGATTTCCCGCCGCGTTGCGGAGCTCTTCCACGGTCAATTACGCCTTACTTTCCCCGACGGGGACTTTGTCTTTGATGTGTACATCCCCGAGGCCGGTTACGATGCCGATGAGAGCGATGATGAGGAAGAGGAGGAGGGGACGGAAGGCAATCGGGAAGGAGGGCAGAGAAAGGTCTTGGGGAGGGCCAGGTTGATTGATATTAACCCATGGGCGGAGCGGACGGATTCCCTACTTTTTGACTGGGGGGAGTTGCTGGATTGGCAGGTGGCGAACCCACTGTTGGGGGTTATTGGGGGAAATGAGAAAGAACAAGAGGCCGAGGAGCAAAGCGTCATCAGCACAGAGGGCACAGAGGACACGGAAGAAGAGGGGGAAACCGAAGAAGACCAGAAGCCCGAAATCAGGCTGATAGAGTACGATGATCCCGCGGCGTATAACTTTAGCTCGCCGCAGTATTCGGCGCATAAGCTACCCAGGGATGTTGTCGACGCGAGTATGGCTGGGCAGGGGGGCATTAGGGAGTTTGCCCAGAGGTGGCAAAGGATTACTGAGTGGAGGGAGAGGCAGTAGAATTTACTTGGCAGGGGAGTAGCATGTTGATACTAGATACTAATAGATGTGATAGCTGGTCTTTGTCTGGGCTATATGTATAGCGCAGCTGTTGAATAAATAGTACAATTCTTTTTGAACCCTTAATTAAGCAAACTCTAGCAACACTTATTAACGTTTTTATACAGAATCAAGCCCTTTATCCCCATTCCCCTCCGACTCCCAGGTAGAAACAGACCAAATCAAACACCACTCCACTTCCCAAACTTCTCATACCCCTTATACATCTCCCTCAACACCACCCTCCCTCCCGCACCACCACCACCACCATCCATCCCATCATTCATAATCCGCAGCCCATCCCGCGTCGTAATATCCAAAATAGCATACACCCCCGGCTCCAACGCCTCACGCACCTTATGAGGGATCGTGCCCCCCGGAAGCTTGCTGGACAGCTGCAGCCGGATGTACTGCATTAGAACGAGGTACATGAATTGGCCGGCGTAGCGCTTGGCGCGGTCGCGCTCCGAGTCGAGAGCACCACCGGCTGGGGCAGTGGCGGTAGTTGTGGTTGTGGTGGATGATTGGGAGGAGCGGGAAACGGAGGAGGCGGTGGGTTCGCAGATGAGGGTGAGTAGGCGGGAGAAGAGCTTGGCGTGTTTTTCTTGGGGGGTTGGGGTTGGCTTTGTTGTTATTGTTGTTGTTGTTGGAGTGGTGGTGGTCGGGGTCGGTTGAATGGGTGGGGAGAGGAGGAGTAAACGAAGCAAGGCCTGCAGGGCCATGATGAGAATGTGGAAGTGGCCGTCGAGGCGCTTTCGGTGGCGCTTGATGACCACTTCGACGAGGCGGCATAGGGCTGGGTAGACAGCTGGAGTTGTGGAAACTAAGATTTGGGTCGGGGCCTGGTCGGAGATGGCGGACACGGTACTTAGGCTGTGCTCAATGTTCCACTGGGTCATGCACGCCGGGTTCTGATCGAGGATGAGCTGGATGGCTTTAGCGCATAGGAGGAAATGGGCGGGAACAGTTGTATGAACGAGTTGGTCGCAGAGCCTGCTGTTTGCTTGAGCAAGATCGAACCGTACTGGTGAAGTTGACGGTCGGGATCCTAGAGAAAGAAGGTGTCTGAGTTGACGAACGGCTTGGGGTTTTAGGGTGATGGGTGGGTGGCCTGGATCAACTTACCCTTGAGGTGCTGAATCAACCGATAGGTTACCAAAAGGTTGCCCATTAAGCTCTCGCTAGGACAGTTGGTCGTCACAAATTCTTCCAGTGATTTAAGCTTAGTGTCTTCTTCCGCAGGCCCGATCACAGCATCCACATATCGCAACAAAGCTGTCTTGCCGAGTATTGCAGGAGAGCCGGACTCTGCTTTCTCGCCGTCAAGAGCAGGAGATGCGTCTGCCGCCAAATCGATCTTCAACGGGGAGGTAAGCACCTCGGGGAAGTGATTTGCCAAGAACATCCGCACTTCCCACCCGTCCCGCAGCCCTTCCCCGAGGAGCACGTCACTAGCTTCAAGTAACGATGGTGCGGCGGCTGCCAGCGCGGGCCTGACATCTTCATGGCTCAGAGGGTTGAGTGCATCCAGGGCGATGAGGAGAGCTAGCAGGCCCTTTGTGGCTTTCTTCTCAGACGTGACAACCGGTGTTGCGAGCTGAATGAGCTGATTCTTCAGGATGCCAGTATCCAGCCCATCTTCTCCAGACTTCTTAGCGGCAGGTAATACTTGAACGGCCGAGATGAAAGCGTGGAGAAGGACAATCCGCGCCGCGGCCTCTGAGTTCTGGCATGGAGACTGGAGGAGCAAAATGGCATCCCTGAGATAATCGTTTTCACGCTCTTCGGGGCTTCCATTCGTCATTTGGCTGTGCTAGTCAGCAGAACATTCGGCGGCTCGAACTCAGAATCAACATACCGGATGACCGATGTAGCCAGCTCATAAAGGAGCTTGAAATCACTTCGGGCCCGGAGCGTTTCTTTCTCTGATTTGCCTGAACGTTTGTGGGCCTTCAAAAGGCATCGTCCGATGGATTCGAGATGAGAAAAGCTCATGCCCTATATGATTTGTTAGTACCATTTCCCGCGCCCCCAATAGATAGCACAGGCATACCTCATAGAAGGTGGGCCGCTCCATTAACTTGACCATGAGGCTGAGTGCCGGTGTCCAATACTCTGATTCGCCGTCTTTCACTTTCTCTGCATCACCTGGCAGCTGAGAGACAAGGGCCTTCATAACAGCCTCACGCTGGTTTCTGTTAAAGATTTCAATCGGTACTCGTAGAAGGAAGTGGATCGCCACCATGGTGCCGAGATCTGAACGGCCCTTTTTGGATGTATCAATCATCATAGTAATGGCCTTGATCAGCAGGTCTGAATGGGCAGTGTTAGTGGACAGGACCAATACGGCAAGTTTAGGACAACGTACCCATGAGACCCTGGTTCTTTAAGATACTCTCGCGTTCCAGAATAAGGGGAGCGATGGACATGGTAGGGCTGGCTTTAGCTGCCTCCTCCGTTTTATGCATCGCCAAGAAAGAAAGCACGACATCGGGAGCGTTTCCTGACTTTTCCACGAGCAAGCTGAAGTGTGTTAACAGTGAGATCGCCAATGGGAACCACGGAGCCATACCTGAAAACACGGGGCGCGTCTGAAAGAACCCAGGTGATATATGTGGCCATGTTCAACGAAGGCTCCCCTGATTCGGCGCCCGTCTCGCTCGCCTCGTGCTCTTTCCGAAGCCTCTCGAGAAAAGAGTAGACCATGGAAGCCGTATCATCTTCATTTTCCCCGGTACGATAGTTAGCTATCCACGCACCAACGCAGCACTTGAAGGCGGCAAATGTGTCTATTCGGTCGGTAGGCCCCTTCCGGAGCGCGCTCTTGATGTCTGGCCTAATCCGAGTCCAGATCTGGTTCGCCTCTTCGAGAGTGCCCTTCGAGATCGCCTGAGAAGCAACATTCCATCGACACGCGGCTACGGCGGGGAGGTCTTTCTTAGAAGGCTTCTCTAAGAAGGCCCCTTCAAACGTCTTGATGCTGGCGGCGTCGATGAATTCCTCGGTAGAGATACCGCCCGAGAGAGCCTCGAGGATGTGAATCCTGGCCATGCTCTCGGTGGGCTGTGTTCTGGACGAGAGCCATTCCAAAATCTCGATGAGCTGGCTGGAATTGAGAGACGAACGGACGAGATCTGTAACCGTTTCGGAAAGCTCCTTTTGTGCCCACAGCGGTTGGGGACCATTTTTGGCCTTGACCGGTTCTAGTTGCTTTAACCACAGCTGAACAAATGTTGACAGGTCGCGAGCCTGTGCATATCCGTTGGCAAGTAGAACAATAAACTGCACCGCCTTGATCGAGTCCTCAACTCCAAGCGAATCCGGTTCCCTGGTCTGAGCCAAAACCGTATCAAGCAATTTTTCCCCTTGATCGGTGACTAGAAAGACATCCGCATTGAGCTTGATAATGGCAAGTAGTAGGTCCCAATCACACGTCTCCTTACGGAGTGCGTAGTTGCTGCACACACTGCGAAGACTGTCCGCGGACAGGGCGGACGCCCGGTCTGCTGCTACGGCCATGACCCCCTTAACAGTGGGCAGCCTGGCATCGCGATTGACATTATTGACTGCAAGAACCACAGCGTCAAAGACGGACTGAGTCCATGTCTCGTAGTCCTTTCGGGAGGCCTTGCCCCCAATTTCTAGTGGCGCCTTGCTCGCCAGGTCAAACAACACGGGGAAGGTTATTTGAGCAGAGGCACTCGCCAATTCCACAGCAAGCTTCATTACATCTTGGCCTTCCTTAGCCAAGAATGAAGCCCTAGCTGGTAGGACGAGGTTCCGGGCAAGAAAACGACGAATGTCACGGGCCCAACGCTCTTGCACCGTGACTTCAATACCGAGGGAGATCTGTTGTGGGATCCCGGTCAATTTGCCGAGAAGTCGAGATGCTGTGGCTGATAGGTGGGTCGCAACTTCAGATGCGTCTGTTGCGCTTTGTAGATGAAGCTCCCACAGTGCTGACAGAGTTGAAACCCATGATGACTGCTCCCTGAAGAGACCGCCGCAGGATCCGTCCACAGCTAACTCGCAAACGGTTATCCACGGTACCATGACCCCCATTGTCTCAGCCGCAGTTGTCGAGAACAGCGCTTTGACGTGTTCAGCGCCCATTTTGTGCGTCATTGGCCCATCCATGGACTTAAGTTCGCATTGAGAGAGGAGGACTCGGACGGCCTCGAAAACCGCCTCGGCCGTGTGTAGACACCCGGTCATCTGCTTTTGACTTGCCGGATCGAACCCGAGCCCATCTAACCTCTTTCGTTTCCTTGGATTTGTTGGGCTCTCAGGGGCAGGCGCATCAGGCATGTCGATATCTAGGTAGGCCCCGCCCGTTTGCTTCTGCGGCTGTTCCTCTCGTTGTGGTACCGCAATATCGTTTAGTGTCTGTTGCAGTAACCCAACAAACCGGCGGTCGGCAAGGGTCTTGGCCAGAAAGGATAGCGGAATTGAGGCGAAGACGGCGGATAGGATGTCCCAGACTCGGTGGTAGCGTCGGACTCGTCCGGCGGCCGGGGAAGACCCCGTCATGTTTTTAAGGAGCCATCGCAGTAGCATCTCCTCGGCGGCGTGGAAACTTCCCCCGGGGTAGTCTTCGAGTATATCCCACACCCTTTCGAGTCGGTCCGGGATCGTGTCGATGTCGCCATGGTCGAGGCCCCGAACAGCACGCACGAGTGCGGCTTCTCCTGTCTGCGCGCGAGGTTAGTTTTAGGAACCAAGAATGCGAACATAGAGGATTGACCTCACTGTATTTTCCGGCATGCTTGCTACCTATTTTCCCCCAAAATAGCTTATCCCATGACCAATTGCTGATTTTCGATTGACTTTTTTGTTCTTTTAATCAAGACGAGCAAACGGGCAAAGAATGCCCCACGCTCAGTCGCGACAGGCGTTGCCCTGGAGCTCCAAAAAATCTAAAATTCTGCCGTTTCAATGTCAGAGGAACCCTGCAACCTCCAACCTCCGACTCACCGCCTTCGGGCCAGCACGGCAACACCCGACCCAGAAACTCACTCATCAGGCAGGGGACAGCTCTTGGCGGGCGAGAACCTCACGTTGCGACACAAAATAGCTTGTTTCCGTTTCGTTTCGTCAACCCTAGCGCCACGAGGGATAACTGTCCGCCCGCTTCCACCACAGTCCGCCGCAAACCCGTACGCCCTCAATTGGGTCGCTCGTTAGAGGTAGCCTCACCCGAGCATAGCAGAAAGGGACAATTGACCTAACGCGACAGCCAAACCACCCCGCGTCGAGAAAACAGGCAGCACAAAAGCTTCTGAGCTTAGCTCTCTCGCCCTTCAAACACCACTTTCGTTACGAACACTCTTACACCCACCATGGCCGATACCGCTCTTACCCCCGTGCCCTCACGCACTGGGACGCGCCCCGTCAGCGAGGCGCTCTTGAACGAAAAGGTCAGCACCATAGAATAATGCACACCAGGATCTACCATAGGTCTCGCCGACCCCTCCATCTACCCACAACCTCTCTCCTTGTCCCGCGAACAGCAAGCCGAACCGAACAAACAAATACACCTCAGGCCTGAACTATGTTCCTTACTAACAAGCCTCAACAGTGGGACCGCTGCCTCTCAAACCTCATCATCAAGTCCTCCCTCGGCCTCGGCTTTGGCGTCGTCTTCTCCGTGCTTCTGTTCAGACGGCGCGCGTGGCCGGCCTTTGTGGGTGCCGGCTTTGGTGCCGGGCGCGCATACGAAGAGTGCAATTACAGCCTCAAGGCGGCGGCGCGGGATATCAGAAAACAGGCATGAGCTCGGAAACGGGGCATGATATTATGAGGTGGTCACGGAGTTGGGTTATGGGGATTAGATGGGAAGTGGGCTGGTATGTGAAGGTGATATAGTGGCGGGGGTATTGTGGTCGATCGGTGACGCCGTTGTTGCATCGTGATGACGGGCTGCAGAGCGAACAGGAGAGAGCGGGCGAGCAGCGAAGGCTAGAGTTATCGGCTGTACAAACCATGTTCTATCAGTCAAATTAGAGGCATAAAATGCAACATTTTTTTCGTTATCCTATACGGTGCCCCTTGTTTGTTCTATAACGGAGGCAAACCAGCTCTACAAGAAGAATTGATGCAAACAACGTCTGTTATTAACGGCCGAAGCACCCACGCCGACACGTCCCAACCTCCCAGTAACCCGCCTGGTCCTGGAGGCTATACAGCGTACTCCCCCTTAGACGACATACGCGTCGAGCCCGTCCTGCGCATCCGACAACCCCCCACCGGTCGGCCTCGTCTTCCCCCAGCCTCTGGCCGGTCCACCTGAGCTCTTGATCCGCCTTCTCCCGCCTAGTAGATCCCGCCTTTTACACATTGAGCCTCGAGGTCCTTTGATGGTGCCAACCTCCACCCTTTCATCCCACCAGAGACCACCGCCGCTCGCTTCCCGACCTTGTCCGCCCAGGTGGCCGTCCATCTGCGCACTCGCATTTCCCCAGTACCGGTATCACTATAATCTGCCACACCCTTACTCCCCACTACCAGGCCTTCCCCCGTATCATCACCCCCCACCAACAACGATACCTTCTCCCCAGCGTTTTCCACCCCTCCATCTTCTTCATCCACCTTCTTCACCCCCCCATTCGCTCGCCACGCCCTGACCGCTTCCCGCCTCTCCCGTCTCCTGACCCGTGCCGCTGCCTCGCTCAGCCGTCTCCGCCGGAACGACACATACACGGCTAGTAGGAAGAAGGCCACTGATAGCACGATGAAAAAGGTCAGGAGGATGATCTTGGGGTGGGAGAGGGGTTGTGGAGGCTTGTGCGGCGGGGAAGGCGGGGTGTATCGGGAGTAGGGGGGGTTGTGGAAGCGATTGTGTGGGCGGTGGTTTTGGGTGTGGTGGGGGAGATGATGGTTGTGGTTGTGGTAGTGGTGGTGAGGTTTGATTCGCATTGTGGTGTTGGGTTGTATGTCCTTCCGGGCCTCGGAGGGGGACTATTCTTTGTTTTGTGTCGTGGGCGTTGACTCGATTCAAGGGGGCCGGGTTAGTTTGTGTCTTGGTTTGAAGTTTCGAGGTGGCGTGTTTGAAGTCGTTTTGGCCTCTGTTGATATTGGCGGATAACCCTCAAGTGTGACGCTCCTATCGATGATACCGAAAGGTAAATTTAAGAGTTATTGAGAGCCCTTTATTCTGATCGCCCGCCCGCCGGAAGGAAAACGGAACAACACTGGAATAGACAAAAAGGCCTTATAACGGGGCCTACTTAAAGGAATGTATGAAGCTTATGAACAAAGACAACGGAAGATTCAACGGTTTTGTCCCTAGCCAAACCTGGTAAAGCGCCGTACTACTGCTAGCTGTCCATGGAAGGTACGACGGAGTACCTAACAAGGGTGGGTGTCAACGAGGTACCTACCTAGGTGACTTCCCCTGGTGTTCGGAAAACGCGACTCTCGGGTTTTTTACGAGAACTCTGGGAGGGTCCATGATCAAATGGAGGATTGGTGGAACATATCGTATGTAACATAATCATGATTCTATCATTCTCATTGTCCCATAATCCCCAAACACGCCGGCGTGGCTAAACTTCGCCCACCCAAATTTTCTATCCAAGACCAGGGGAAAGGAAAAAACAAACTCTAAGCCCCATTTACATAAGCACACAGCAGCCCTTGATGCAGCTGAAAAGATCGTCCTCCTGCTGCTGTTGTTGCTGGGGTGGTTGGTGATGCTGCTGCTGGTGCTGTTGCTGGTGCTGATGCTGTGGTTGATAAGGGGTCTCGTGGTGAGGTTGGTGCTGTTGTTGGTGATGTTGCTCATGCTGCTGATGATGGCTGTTGTTCTGGCCATGGTGCTGCTGATAATGACCCCCACCACCACCACCGTAACCTCCCAAGTTGCCGCTGGGCTGGGCCGGCAGCGGCGGTGGCGCGCTGACTCTCCCTCCCGTCAGATCAACGTAGATGCGTCCTTCGTTCTCCTCGGTGGCATAATCGAGGCCAAATTCCTGACAAACACGCTCGACACGAGGCTTGATCTTCTGAACGTGGCCGGTGGAATGGTTCCCCTTGCCGACGATGACGTGTAGGTGCGATTGGCCGGTCGACTGGGCGTAGCGGATGCGCTCCTCGAGGATATCCTCGGCCTCCTCAACGAACTGCCCGTGCAGGTCAATGGTGTCCTCCGCCACGCGGCCGGGAGCGTTGTTCTCTCGGAAGATGTACTCAGACGCTTGCTTGTTGTAGTCGGCCTGCTTCTGTTGATGCCGCTTGCCCTCATCGGATAGCTCCTTAGCTCCGGCTCCATCGCCGCGCTCATACGCTTCATGGGCCTGCACCAGATAGTTCACATGCCAAGTTAACAACAATGGGGCACGGCATATGACGAAGATTTGGGTGGGATGAAACTGATGAATGCCATACCCTGTCGAAGCATGATTTCTTCTTGTCCGCCTCAGCCCGCGCAAGATCACGCAGACGGTCGTACTCGGCCTCTGAGTCCTGGCTGGAGCTGTGGTTGAAGGCTATTCACGGCATAGAAGATATTCATTAGCCGCCATTTATTACTTCCCTCTCATAACAGTGTGCTGTCTCATTTGCATTCTTTTGGAGGGGTCGGTGCGTGGGTAAACGGCCAGGGGGGCTAGAAGTTTCATACCGCGACCGCCAAGATGGGACATATGGATCGCCGAGGATGCCATTGTGTAGTGTAATGAAGTTAAAATCCGGAAACAATTAGTTCACTACCGTTAGGGGTAACGTTAGAAGGGACGAAGAGCAGAAGAGGCCAAAATTGGGTTGGCGGTTTTCCGTTTGGGGGGTGAGGAAGAGAAAAGGAAAACGTGGGAGGCCGGAAACACGGTGTGTCCTGGTTTCAACAACGATCGCCAGCCGCAATCGGGTTCAAGCTAGTGCAGGCTACCCCTGTCACGAAGAGGAATGTTTAGAGGTCATAAAGCCTCCTCGGCCCGCGTCAAACAGTGCCAGCCAAGGAGAAACCACGAAGACGGAGGTATGAGATAAATCCAGATTCATATTTATGTCCGGCTTTTGATACCGTGAAATCTTGTCAGTTGCAACGGCGCACTGGTTCTGGGCCGCCGTCACTGGTCTATTTGTGCGCTGAATGCAACAAACACTATCTTGAAACGTCTAATGTATTTTTGAGAACGCCATCAACTACTTAACGTTATAAAGTTGTTATAAAAAACTGATCAAAGAATGCAATCCCAATTGTGAGCTCGGCCAACCTTGAAGTAACTATCTGATATGACAACAATGCAAGTGATCACATTTACTTTCCCGAGACACAAGTCCCATTTTAAGTCCATCTGCCACGCAACTCCCATGTCTGCCCTCGTGGCTCGTCCCAAGCGAAGCCGAGCCCCATCCCATCTGATCTCGTCATCCCATTGTGTCATCCAATTCGTTCCCGGTGGCTGTCATTTCTACTTTTATGCAGACTCCTCTCTCATTCCAGCCCACCGGGAAGAGCAAAGCCCCTGACCCAGAACTTCCAGACATTGGAACCCGACCCAAACGCTTGGGAAATCAAACCAAGGGAGGGCCTGGAAGAAAGACAACTCTTCTAGAACCTTACCTCTCTAATCCTAGCGCGCTGGCATCAACCCCATCCGCTGGAGCATGATATGATGCATACGGATACCAGGGACAATGTTTGGAAACAATAAAAAGATTCCGAAAAAAACACAAACCGCCATGGGCTAGAAGACCCCCCGTCAACAACGGGAAGAGAATGTATCCCCCTACCTCGTCATATGTTTGACACCATCAATTTTGATGCGGCCTTCATGTCACCCGGCTCGGCAGCCCACAGAATGCGTCACGTTTGCAAAGGCCGTGATGTTGTTTGCTCTGCAGGACTTGAGACTCAATCCGGCTGAACATCGTCTTGTCTGACGGGCCTAGGATGTTGTGCCTGTTGTGGGCCTGCGACCGGCCCGGCGGCACCACCAACAAGCAAGCATGCACCCCTCGCGCGGAAAATGGGACGGAAAAATAAAAGCGCGCTCCTCGAATTCGCGACTCACCCGTCCCGTCCGCCAGTGCCAGGGCATCAAACCAGGAAGCTGCGAACATTATGCCTGCTGCTTTGCCAGCTTCTGCCGGCCACGCCGAATTCCTCGGGGTAAGAAGGGAGCTGAAAAAGGCCATCTCGATGCGCCAATGCGGGGAGCAGATCTTCTTAACATGGCTATGCCCCCTCTTTGCCAACTAACGATTTTTCAGCCTCCCCTTTTTTTCTGCCATTCCCGTGATTTGGTTCCTGGTTTTCGGGGGATACGACCGATGCGCCAATGTTTGACGACCCATCTTGGTTTTTGACTCGCTGGTGCCGCCAGGAACCCGGGGCATTGGGTGGAGCAGTGTCGTGGTGGACGGTGGAGTCCCATGCAGGATCTCTCTCGCTTCAGTGCAAGGGGGATCAAAAAGTCTCCCCGCCGATTGTCACCCCGTCGGGATGGCGCTAATCAGACCTGAGCTGTCGTGGAGTGGATTCTTCATTCCTCTGCCCCTTCGCATCAGAGAATCCGTCGGCCAACAAACGGCCCCTCCTCTTTCGGCACTCAGGTCACACGGATCTCTCGCAAAATTGGTGGCGATTTTCGTAGTAAAGGTGATTGCCATCACATTCGTGACACACGACGAACCCTTTTTACCTTCTCGGCGGGTTTGATGTTCCCGCCGGAAGTTTGCGTTGCCACCGAATGAGGCTACGATCGATGTTTGCCTGATCGGCTTGCTCAATGTCGATCTCATTTGCGGGGCGCTCCAGGGGACCCAGCCTGAAATAAGGTTCGCCTCTCCGAGCATCAATGAGCACGCCAGGCCGAAGGAGAGTGTGATGAGAAGAACTTGGGCGGAAGACTGGCTTCTGTCGGGAACGAGCCCGTGTCGGGCCACAGCGCCACTCGGCAACGAAATGTGTGTTGCCGCCGTGGGCAAGCTCATATACGTTATGGACGTAACCCGCGGATCTGTACTGATAACTCGCAGCCTTGAAGCTACTCAATCACGGGCGATGATTGAGAGACTTCCTCTCATCCCCATCGTCTGAAAACCCCGTCCTAGTTCACAGCAGGCCGAATGAACATAAACGGGATCCCGTTTCGGGTCTCTCGGACTAACTCTCGAAGGCCAAAAAAAATTGGTCTGGACACAAGGCATGAAACTCAAGGCACACCACTGATCAAGCCCTGCGAGTTGGCGGGGCGAAACGGTGGTTGCAGCCGCCTCAAAAGGGGAACGTGCCTCAAGCTCATTTTGCTAATTCCTTAGTTCAAGGGGAAATGCTGCCATCAGCGGCCGTTCTCGGCGATACACTAAATTCGCTCCTTCAGAAGACAGGCTAGTCCTAGTCTTTTAGCTCACTATCAACAAAACTCTCACGGAAGAGGAATGGATGCTTTCGACATCGTGCTACCAGTGTGGTTTGTCAGATCGCTCACCACATCTCGGATGCAGTCCCGATCCGTGAATGTTCGCTCGCACGCCCGACTGGGGCGGAGATGAGATCTTGATGTCTCTCGCATAGGCGCAGGCGGGCTATCCCCATCTTTTCTAGGCCGGGAGGGTTTGAGTGAGCCAGGCGTCCGCCACATCCACCAAACCGCAGTAGTGTACGGCAGTGAGAAAGCCATCGCTTCTGGAAAACTTCCGGCTTCTCTGCGCGGCGCTTGGGGTGTCAGATGGTTGCGGGGAAATAACGAAGCGTGCGCACAGCACCAAGGGCGATCATGAGCCCACATGATTCTGTGTTGAAACAGCTCTCGTTGGTGGGAGCGCGCGGGCGTCTGCTGATCCTGCTCTTACAATGTTCCCACTAGCCTCTCCGGTGTGTCGTTGGGAGAACCATCTTGACGGAGATGCATGTTCATCCACGGACATCAACGGTTGTGCTTTGTTGATCTGGGGAACCCATTTCCTAGTTTGAGAACTGGCGTTCTGTTCACGCGAATGACTCCTACCTCAACGGCGGTCCCGAAACGCTGGTCGGCTCGCCGGCATCAAATGCGACCAGTCGATTGAAACTCTCAACTCAGCGTTGTTGTATGTTGAAACAAAGCCAAAGCTATCTTCCTCAGGCGGCGGCAACAAAGAAGACCAGAACGCCCAGGTTTCAAATGGGTAGTAAAATGATACAACTGTGTAGTGTACGAAGTCCGAATATGGGTGCGAACAATTCTAATACCGGCGCGACAACGATCGGGGATAGCCTTCCTCTTGCTGATCATCCCGATCCCACGACGCATGACATTTCCTCAGTTCCTGGGACTGGCTTTTCTTCGAGCCTCCTCTTTTGGTTAGTCGGTGTGGTCCCTCGTCCACCGAAAGCGCCACTGGCATCTGGCTGTCAGGGGCCGTGACACCCCATGCTCCTTCGGAAACACCTCAAGGAGCCTTGAGCTGGTGGTGGGCGGGCCGAGGTGTTCGTGCGCCCCTTTCTGTGTACAATCCCAGGCTGTAGTGTATGGACGGCGGAATCGCACTGGGCACTACCGAGATACAATTAGTACAACATCAAGAGGCAAGGAAAAGACAAGATGAAAGACAGTCGAGTGCCGCCGTTGCCGCAATGCGCCTCAATTCGTCCATACTGTGTATTGCAGTCGGTGCTGCTTCACCACGGCGTCGAAGCTCGAAAGACATGGGGGAACGAGCGCATGCATGTGGGTCATATCAGGGTCGGCAGGGGATCCTTTTTCCCCTTTGGCTGCATTTGCAGGAACATGATCCGGGCTCTGGCCGGTCAGGGATGCGGAAGATCCACTTTATCGTCCGCGTCGAAGCCATTGATTCGTCACTCTGTCGTCCCCCGAAATATAGTGTGCATGGCTCCTCACATTAACAGAACCAGCCCTCCCACCTCCTCTCCCTTCGTTCAACTCCGGTCCGCATCCTCCCGCCACCAACGAGCAGTGAAGCCCTTGCCTCACTGTTCCGCTTCCTTGGCGACATCATCTCGCGACCTGTTGCCGCATCATTGTCCTTGCGGAATTTTATCATCACCGCCGACTTTTTTCACCACACTTTTGGTTGACCGCAGCCTTTTCCAATTGAGAAACCGACCGTCGGACCTTCGGGAAAAAGTTTGGGGGCATACACCCCATCCTCCTGAATAAAGTGAGCTCACCTTGGCCCTAACCACCACCGCCCGGCTTATCCTCAATCACCTGGGACTAGCCGCGCTTGTTTTGGTCACGGACGTGACTATGACGACAGCTATTAAGGGCAACGCGGAACTCGCCCTTGGTGCGCGCACGACGTTGGAATCAAGTCAACTAACGCCTACTTTTTTTACGCAACAGGATATTGTTTTTGACAACATCCGACTCATCAATCGACGACACTCTTTTCTCCAGTTTCTTTTCACCTTCGACAAATCGCCAAGATGGGTTGCGGAATGAGCACGGAGGAGAAGGAGGGCAAGGCCCGGAACGAGGAGATTGAAAATCAGCTGAAGCGCGACCGCATGCAACAGCGCAATGAGATCAAGGTGCTACTTCTGGGTATGTCTTAGCGACTTTAGCGTTATTCGGGTCGTGGGCTTTTGTCATGTCGAGCCGGCCGACAATGCTCCTGTCCCCATACCCGACGTCTGTTCCTGTCTAACCGTTTGGTGCTGTAGGTGCTGGTGAATCCGGAAAGTCGACGATCCTGAAGCAGATGAAGCTTATCCATGAGGGCGGATATTCGCGCGACGAGCGGGAATCTTTCAAGGAGATCATTTTCAGCAACACGGTCCAGTCGATGCGCGTCATCCTCGAAGCGATGGAGTCGCTCGAGCTCCCACTAACGGATTCGAGGATGGAGTACCATGTACAAACCATCTTCATGCAACCCGCACAGATCGAGGGCGATGTGCTTCCCCCAGAGGTCGGCAATGCGATCGAGGCCCTTTGGAGGGATTCTGGTGTCCAGAGCTGCTTCAAGCGGTCACGGGAGTACCAGCTGAACGACTCTGCGAGATAGTGCGTCAATTAGCAAACCCATCCCCAGTTTATGGGAACAAACAAGATGCTAACATGACCGCCTAGCTACTTCGACAATATCATGCGTATCGCCGCGCCCGAATACATGCCAAATGACCAGGACGTTTTGCGATCGCGTGTTAAGACGACCGGTATTACCGAGACGACTTTCATCATTGGTGAGCTCACGTACCGGATGTTCGACGTCGGTGGCCAGCGGTCAGAGCGGAAGAAGTGGATTCACTGTTTCGAGAACGTTACCACAATCCTGTTCCTTGTCGCCATCTCCGAGTACGACCAACTTTTGTTCGAGGACGAGACCGTCAACCGGATGCAGGAGGCGCTCACCCTGTTCGACTCGATCTGCAACTCGAGGTGGTTCATCAAGACATCCATCATTCTCTTCCTCAACAAGATCGACCGATTCAAGGAGAAGCTGCCCGTCAGCCCGATGAAGAACTATTTCCCTGACTATGAAGGTGGTGATGATTACGGCGCGGCGTGCGACTACATCCTCAACCGCTTCGTCAGCCTCAACCAGCATGAGAGCAAACAGATTTACACGCACTTTACGTGTGCCACTGATACTACACAAATCCGCTTCGTGATGGCGGCTGTGAATGGTAAGTGAACCCAGTTTTTCGAAGATGAGGTTAAAAGAAAAAAAAAATACTAACTTAGAACCCAGATATCATCATCCAGGAGAACCTGCGCCTCTGCGGTCTCATCTGAGCGGATCACCGCTCTTAGCCACGAATTTGTGTGTCACCTCTGCTTCGGCATCGAAGATACCCCTTCCCTGGATGCAATGCCGAAGGCGCGCGGAATCATGATCCTCCGCCGCTTAACGCATCCTGGGCCCAGTCCACCACCTTCACTGCCACCATCACCACAACAACAATTTACATCGGATCATGACGTCGAACCGGAGTCGTATCGGGACATGAACCAGCCGTGTCTGTTATTGAACGGGTGGGGGTAAATATTCTGTTTAATAATGAATCTCGTCCTGGTTTGGTGATCTTTTTAAGTTGTGTATGAAAGCATCTTGCTCTTTTTTTTCTAGCTTTTTTTCTACTCCTATTTCACAATTCGTTCCTTTACTAGGCAACCAGCCATGAGTACCGTCCTTCCCCCCTTCCCAACAGTGTGGACAACACAGCACAGCGTTCAATGGGCGGATTTCGGAGAAAAGAACGAGGAATTACTTGCGAGGATGGGGTGCATATGATCTGATGGGCGGGTTGGAAAGAACGCTGGCCGGGGGATTGTGGGGGGGGCGGGATTTGGCCGTGCGATACGACGAGGTTTACGGGAAGAGGGAAAGCAGGCGGGCGGGACATATACCAGTCAACAATTTCATTGCTCATCGTCTTTTTTCGAACCTATGGCCTCCCAATCATTGACTCTTTTCCCTTTATGACTCCGAGCTACCAATCCGGTTATGGTTCATCCAGGCGTAAGCCGCTCGATTGAACTGCTCTCATGAGGTATCACTCATGAGGTTCGCTATGGTTGGTTGCTGGTTGACGAACTCGGTGACAACTAATCATAATGAATAATACAAGCGTATCCATACCCCAAAACCATGGGTCAACGTCGTCAAACCCTCCTCTCCACCTATGCTCGCTTGCTTGTCCAGGTGAGCTACGCTCGGCTGCTTGTAGCAAGCGAAGCACAGGGACGGTGCCTCTCCATCGTGTAGCCCAAGTTGGTGGGAGCCGATAGGGGGTTGCCACAATATTACTAACAATCTTTTGAGATGCACGACACCGCAGTTCTTGTTCGCTGAGCCTCGCGGGCCGCAGAACAGATTAGCATTTTTGATGTAAATTTACACGGGCACGACTACCTCCGGACCGCTGCGCAGAAGTTTAGGCCCTAATATGCTTGAGTTACATGATTTCCATCAATGGATGACGAGGGGGGGGTTAAATCAAGCGGGATGTGTCCTCGGTCAAGTAACACAGAAGCCAGCCATACCACAGAAACTCGTTGAGCAGATGCATATATCATCGACCTTAGGGCAAAGGAGGAATAGGACATAATCCGGTTCGCCGTTAAAAAGATCTCAACCCGGGAGTTATGAATCCGTAATTTAGACATTTGTGTAGACATACTGCCACAAGCCAAGGTACGGCTCTCAGCACCTAACACATAGCAGTACCCGGCTGATCCGATTACCCTCGATCGACCCGGCCGCCCGATTCCCCATGCCATTAGAGAACATCCTCCGGATTCTGAACACTTTTCGATAATGGCCTTCTCTGCTCTGGCTGTAACTACCCTGCTCCAAGTGGAAATTCACCCGTCCACGTTTGGGACATGCCCAACACCGCAGGCTATCCATGATACGAACCGGAAAATGCCAAATACGGGTGTGGTTTACGCAGGCGTTCTCTACTCCTTCTCCTTCTGCATTCCCCGCCCAGTTCAAGGGGGGACGGGTATTGTATCCAAGTTCGTACTTGTTATGCACGCCTTGCCTGATAAACATTGCCAACTTATGGTTCTGCAACTCGTCCTGAGAATTTGAACTATGCGTAGTGAGCAGCTTTCGAGCGTAAGGTCACCGAAATGGCGAAGGCAACTAAGGCATTAGATCGGAAAGCGTGGAAGGCGCGTGGATGTTCACGTGGGCACATAGAATGGCCCTAGTGCAGGCAGGCAAGGCAGACAGGCAGTATATGTAGAACGTTTGCATCGTTCACCGTCACCGACCTCCCCCCAAAGGCGAAATGGCCTAGTGGTCAGGTGGGGAGGTTCGGAATCCGTGGCCTGGGGTCCTGCTCACAACTTTCCCAAGAGGTTGTGGGTTCCATTCCAGGTCGAAGTAGCAGGAAGCGGTACCTGCAGTTCTCGCCCGCCAACACCGACCACGAAGTAAAACCCCCCACTCACCCAAGGGGTTTTCGTAGCCGACCACCCACGTTAGCGAGAGCCGTGGCTGGTCGGTGAGCTTTTTGGCTGGTTTATTTATTGTTTAGTTCTTCATGTAATGAAGACGAGCAAGGTTCTATTAAATCCATAAGGGGGGATAACAAGAGAGATGGGTCAACTATTCCTACTTGACATTTCGTTCAATCTCACGGACCGTCGACCGATGCTATCTTTTTGTTGCTACATTGACCTTTTCGATGCCCGGGTTTATGTTTCACAAAATCCGAGGAGACAATAGTGTCTGTCAGCCTTTGTCACGGTAGTGGGCGCAATGACCACTACGTAACACCCCAAAAGAGGACCATGGTTCGAACTGTCGGGTCGAACCAGGAATTGCGCCCATGAACCTCACACTGTCACGACCCGTGACAGCCCTCTTTCCGCAGCCCGTCCCTACAAAGCGAAACGATCTTGGGAGAATTCAACGAGAAATCATTCGTAAGCCATGGCCAAAAGCCCAAGGCTAAACTAGAACTAGTTTTGCTAGGTGCCAGAGCCCTTTTCGTTCCAACCTAACTCCAAATGGTGCTTGAGCAATCCATGTTGCATAGACCCATATTGCTCCCGAATTGTATCTTCCTAATGGAATGGTGGTATCCTTGCTCTAGTAAGTTGACCACAATCTTGGTAGCCCCGAAACAAGCGACTGACTGAAACAATTAAACCATTCATGTAAGCTAGGTAACGTGTATTAATAATGTGTCGCACCCCGGGCTCGTAAAGCATCACGAAAACGGAGAAAGAGGACAGCGGTTGTGTTGGAGGGGTCGTTATGGTGAATGCCGTTTTGGGAAGGTGTCCGATGGAAAAAGGTCTCACTTTGCGGCCCTTCTTGCGAAAAGGCCAGAATGAACCCAAGGGGAAAAGGAGGAGGGATATTATTATCATTCTCCATGAGTCAATATTCGGTTGTACAAAAAAATTGGGCCATGCATCTGAGGCCAGGGCTGAAGCAGACTCGGGGGTGGACGGATTGGAAGCCGTGGCTATGCCCCAGATTCATCGTTAAGGACCTGCTGGCCAGCCTGGTCTTGGTGGTTAACCATCTCCTCGGTCTCGACGATTTGCAGAGCCAGCTGCTTGGCGGCAATCTCAATTCGGATAAGTTGGCGTGTGGCCTTGTCGGCCTGGCGGACTTCGCCCATCGCTCGGTTGACCATCTGTTGGAGTACCGGATTGTTAATCAGCAACCCGCCTGGATGGGTGACACCCCCGAGCGCGGCGGCTCCATGAGGTAACAGCGGGTGAGAGGCCGCGCCGAGGCGATAGCCCGGGTCGTTACTGAACCCGGCAGGGGCGGCTGGAAGGATAGCAGGATGCTGGGCAACGGCCTGTGGATTGCGCGTTTCTGTTGGAGGTGACGAGGTTAGAAGAGAACTCAAACCTTTACATACTACCGCACAGGTATGGGGAGGTGGAACCTACCGTGAAAGCTGCAACGGGCTCCACTGGCGTTGAACCAACAGTTGGCACAGCTGCCACACATCTGACCATCAACAACGACACAGCTCGTCCATGGCCCATGCCCCTTGTGGCAGTTCTTGCAGGGAATACGGGCGGGCTCGCCGGCAATGTGGGCAAAGAGAGCCTCGACGTTGCTACGTCGCGCAAGGTTCAAGGCTTGCTCGGGACGGCGTTGTTGGGCGAGGCGCTGGCCGGGCTCTCGAGCTAACCGCTTGGCCAATGCACTCTCAACGTTGAGGTCGCCGTACCCGGAGTCCCGCGAAAGATCCTCCGTCGTCTTGACCATGGACTGGTCTACGCCCTGATGACCGCCCATTTGAGCAGCTGGCTGATGCGGGTGTTGATGTTGATGGGCGTGTGATAGGTTTTGCTGCATCTCTTGCAGCTGCTCCTGGACGGGCTGGGAAAGGGGAACACCCTGCGGGTTGCTCCCGCCGTTGACGAGAATGTTGGCGGCGGTGAGATCTACATGAGGCATGTTTGACGAAGCACCGGTACCGTCGTCATCGTCGTCCATCTCGGCATCGGCTTCGGCCTCACCGTGGGCGTCTTCCGTTAGATCGTTGTCCATGGCGGCAGCGGCAGCAGCAGCAGCGGCGTAGTCCTCCGCACCCATCCTCACGTCCTCAAATACGGAACTCGGGTCACCTTCGCCGTCTTTAAGCTCGCCGGACAGGGTAACGTGCGCTTGGTCGTCCTCGTGAGTGGCGGCCAAATGAGTTGCTGTCACCTGGCGCGGAGTGCGACCGCGTGGCGGAGGACCTTGCTTCGTCACCTTATTGGGTCGGCCGCGCTGTGAGCGGATGACTGATGATTTCATGCTTCGAGACCCCCGAAGCAAATATCAAAATGGGAACCTGAAAGCGGCTCGTGATAACTATTGTCGGTCGGGATGGCGGCGGTTGAGCAGCTGTCGTCAGCTGTTAAGGCCGGTAAATTTGGGTCGTGAAGTTGATTGATTTTGGAGAGCGAACAGGAGCATGGCAGGTCAGCGGAGAATTTTGCTGGGCCGCCCAATGAAACAGCCTTGTCAGAGGAAGTTGCCAATGCATCCACTTTAATGCAATTTGATTGGTCAGTACTCAAGATCCACCCATGTTTTGCTCACAGCAACCTTTCGGATGAAATCTTATCGTTATCGGAGCTCCCAGGCCCCTTACACACACGATATGGTGGTGCTCGTGTATGTAGAACCCAATCGTGGGTTGAATTTCTGAAACCAGCCGTCCCCGAGATATCTTTCTCTTTGGCCCTTCTAATTTTATTCACTTTGCTGTATCCCCTTTGGCTCGTGAGCGAACTCGACCGGTATGAACAAGACAGACGGGCCGGCCAGCCAGAAGTGAGTATGTTAATTAAATTAGATATATAATACAAACGTAAGCAACATTCGATCATCACTACCGAGGTAGGTCGGGGTGTAGGACCTGCACAGGTGGTGACAAGATTCTAGCATTAACGTACTCATCGACCACATTACCTCCTGTGTACAATAAATTAGTACAGCCCCTGACATACCATCATCGTACATCAACATGGCCCAACTCCTTCCCACCGCCTACGCAGACTTGACACTCGTCTTGGCCGGGTTCCCATGAGTGCTCGTCCACCCCCTAACCTGCCCATTCATAATCTTCAACACGAAAAAGTAGATTATGGGGATAAACCAGCCCAACAGAGTATCCAGCAGCCAATTATTCCGTGGGGACGCGCCCATCACGCCACAGCGCATAAGATTGCCCAGGAACGACACCGCGACAAAGTAGTCGCCCCGTTCCAAACCGGCAATCGCCTTCTCGGCCACCGTGTCGGGGGTTTGCGGCGGTTCATCCTTCTCTAGCTCCACTGTGATAGCCGGCTTGGTCTGGTTTTCACGCTCCAGGCCGGGGCTGGTGATGGTCGCTGGGCACACTACGTGCAGTTTGATCGGGTGATCCGGGTACAGGTTGACCTCCATGGCTAGGGTATCGGCTAGACCGCGGAGGGCCCATTTGGATGGGGTGTATGGGGCGTAGCCAACAATGGCAAACAGCGCGAGCACTGATGCGGTGAAGATGATGTGCTTAGGTTCAGAGTTGCGACCGGGAGCTGCGTTCTCGGGCCGCAACCACTCGCGTAGAATGGCGCGGGACATCTCGGCCGAGCCAAAGTAGTTGACGTCCATGTTGCGGCGTGCTGCCGCCATGGCGTTGTCGTCGGTCCAGAGCAGCGGTGTAGAGAGTCCTGCTACACACCAAACAATGTCGGGGCTTCGCCCGCCGTTCCAGGCCGTGGCTTGGGCAACCACTCCTGTGGCATAGTCGGGCTCGGAGACGTCAGCTGAGATGTAGGTGAACCGCTGCGTTGCTGGGGATGCGGCGGCGGCCCTCACGGCGGCGAGGGATTCTTCAAGACGCTCCAAATTGCGGGACACGAGGATCAGATGAGCGCCCTTGGCTGCGAGCCGGATGGCCGCGCTGCGACCCATGCCCTCCGAGGCACCGGTCAAAAGGATTGTCTGTCGGTTGAGTTAGTCCACTATACCTGTAAAACACCTTCCTGTTCTTGTACTCTTTCGCTTGGGGCTAATAATCGGAATTCGGGGTGGAGAAATTGAACGTACCCGGCCCGCAACGGGCATGTGGTTCTTCTTCCCAAACAATCCCATTGCTGCGATGAGAGCTATTATGAGGCCAATTGATCCGGTGGCAACGGGGAGAGAGATACCGAGCCTTTGCAAGATGTCCATGAGTGTGAAAAAGGAGAATGTGAGATGCTCGACTGCGAAGAGAAGAAAAGTTGGGATGGAATAGGTACTCCGTAAGCTGACAATACTCGATCATTTCCAAAGCCCCCCTGGATTGAACAGGGGAGTGATTGGCAGCCCCAGGGGATGCAAGCACAGGCTGCAGGCGGGAGTGGTGGGGCCTTGAGGCCCACAGGGATCTGCCGTGCGACGGTCGACAGAAAAAAAGTTCTGCCACGGATTGATCTGAAGTTGCAACCCCACACCCGGACTTCTCCCCATGAGAAGATAATCCAACCTCCGCCATCCATTGTACGACAGCCCGGCTCGAAACGGTTTTACAGCCATACCGATCCTACCAACCGTCTTGACTCCGTAGCCATGGCCAAGAAGAGAAAGGTTTCGCGGAAGGTCGAACCGACCAGCGCCCGCGAGGTCGACGCTAAGGATGCGCGCCTCACCATCAAGACGTACGAAGACGTCGCTGATTCCGAAGACGAGTATTGGGCCGATCAGGATCGCATCGGTTTTGACGATGACGACGACGACGACGAGCCGCGCTCGAAGCGCATCAAACGGCAGGATAAGGAGGATGCATTCCTAGAAATTTCGGACGAAGAGATTTTGGGGGACGAGGAATCGGATGAGGACGATGAAGAAGTGGAAGATGGCGCTCCTTCAAAACCGGTAACGGGAAAGAAAGCTAGCGCGAGGGAAGAAGATGCGTCCGATGGAGAGGAGAGGAGGGAGGAGGAAGAGGGAGACGAAGGCTGGTGGGGGTCTTCAAAACGGGAGTACTACGATGCGGATAATATTGAAACGGAGGCTGATGCATTGGTAGGTGGTGCTTGGGCCCCAAACCATTGAAGAGAATGTGCGTGCTGATATGTGTTTGTAGGAAGAAGAGGCAGAGGCTCGGCGCTTGCAGGCCAAGAAGTTGGCTAAGATGGATGAAGCGGATTTTGCCTTTGACGAAAACGAATGGTTGGCGTCAAACGAGCAACCGAGGGAAGAGGAAAATGTCCTCACCGAAGTCTTGAAGGAGGTTGAGGTGACAGAGGACATGGGCCCTGAGGAGCGGTATAAGCTCCTGCAAGCCCGATATCCTGAGTTCGATTACCTGGTGGGCGAGTTCAGGGAGGCGCAAACCCTCCTACCCGTCTTGCAGAAAGAGGCCGAGGGGAAACCCAACAAGTCACTAGAGGTAACCAAATCATGGCTCATAGGTTGCTATGTGGCTGCGCTAGCGAGCTATTTTGCGATCCTCACATCCCCATCGAGGGACACCGACGGGTCGGTTGCAACGTTGAATCCGTCGGAACTGAGGGACCATGAAGTCATGGAGACATTAATGGAGTGTCGCGAGGCCTGGTTGAGGGCTAAGGACCTCAAATTGACAAAGCCTTCCACGGCCGAAACCGGCATGCTGTCACCGCCCGACGAGGACGACCTGGTAATGTCTGATGTCGACCCCATACCGAAGCGGAAGTCAGACAAGCTTTCCAAATCCGAGTTCAGGGCGAAGAAGACGAAGCTGGCGGAGGCGGCTAGAAAGGCGAAGGTGGTAGAGCAGTCTTTGGCGGACCTATCGACCCTCCTCAAAAGCACGAAGAAGAGTGCGAAGGCGGCTGCCATCCCTACCACTTCGGCCGATGGGGTCAACGACGACGACAAATCCGACTTTGGCGAGGAAGATGCGCTTGACGCCCGCACAGCTGCCGACAAGGCGCGTCGCAAGAAGACGCTCAAGTTTTACACTTCGCAAATTGTCCAAAAGGCAAACAAGCGTGCTGGTGCTGGCCGGGACGCTGGTGGCGACATGGATATCCCATACCGTGAACGATTTGTAAGTTACCATTGTCGACAGAGAAACGTTTACGCCCACAAGTGCTCCTTACTGACTTCCTTTACAGAGGGATCGCCAGGCCCGCCTCAACGCCGAGGCCGAACGCCGCGGCAAGAAGGACAGCAAATTTGGTGCGAACTTGGGCGAGGACGAGAGCGACGGCGACGATGCCGCTGTGGCTAGGCAAGTCCGTGGTGAAGAGGACGAGTACTACGACATGGTCGCACATGGAGCGCAAAGAAAGCGGGCGGACAAGACGGCGAGGAACGAGGCCCTCGCCCAAGCGCGCAAGGATGGGAGGGTGGTGGAGCAGACACAGGTCGGGGCGGACGGGAAGCGTCAAATCACGTACCAGATTCAAAAGAACAAGGGCTTGACGCCGCACCGCAAGAAGGAGGTGCGCAACCCGCGCGTCAAGAAGAGGATGAAGTTTGAAGAGAAACAGAAGAAGCTCCGCAGTGTCAAGGCCGTGTACAAGGGCGGAGAAGGCCCCGGGGGCTACCAAGGAGAGCTGTCGGGTATCAAAACGGGGCTGGTCAAGAGTGTCAAGCTATGAGCGCGATCCTTGGAGTCTTAGACTGGGCATACCGCGACGGCTGGGCGCAAATGCAATACCAGCTGGGGAACAAAAACAACGTTACTCCTGGCTCCAACATCTGTGGCCAAACTCGTTCCTCTGTGTTTCTTGTCATTCTACACCGTGTGGTGATATCTAACCCATCTTCAGCATCTTCTCGGCCCCCATGTTACCCTGGACTACCCGTGAATAGCGCGAAACCAAGACAAGCTCTTTTGGATACCGAGTTGCCTGCCCAGAGACAAGGCTGCCGGCCCTATCAAGGACCGATATCATCAACTCCTGGGTCTCGGAGTTATTATTGGCCTTAGTAGTATTGGCCTCGGTAGTTGTGGCCTCGGCAGTTGTGGCCTTGGTAGTATTGGGCTTGGTAGCATTGGCCTTGCTTGCTAGGAGCGACCGCTGGGCTAAGCCACGGGCCGTCTCAGAATATCGGTGCATTTAGGTATGCCCCTAAGGCACGGTAGAACCCGTCGCCCGCCCGTTGAAGTCCGACAACGATGTTTATTCCGGTGGACTGATTATGTTTAGTTTTTGGAATGGGTTTTTCTCACGGTCCCTATGCTTGATACCTAACCAATGAACTTATTTGCTCCTATTCGCAGTTTAACAGCTTTTCGACTTTGCCCGGCAGCGTGTAACTGATCTACCCTGCGAATTGCAGCCGTTGCAGCGGCACAGTCCAGCCAAGCCCCCCCATCATCCTTCATGGCGTGTTCGAGTCGCTGGGCGTGAGGTAAGTGGCTACATCGTCACTACGAGGCATGGTAGATGAAGCAAAAGTAAACCCCATGGTCATCCTGATTCCCGCTAGGCCTAAATAAGGTATTTGGAATTTCGTTGTGGAAGTACCGGTCTTTCACATCTGACCCCCACATCCGATCCCCCACACCCGATCTTCCACACCCGGCCCGAGTTGATTCAGGGGGATGCATCGTCACTACAACGCAGCGCAGACGAAGTAAAGGTAACCTCTTGGCCACCCTGCCTGCCGCCATAGTTGCCGCCATGCTTGCCGCCATGCTTGCCGCCAGGCCTATATAGCGTCTTCACATGCTTTAGACATCTGGGGTGTCGGCTTCGCGTCCACCCCTCCCCCCGGACGTTAAACGCAAACGACGGCGACAACAACAGCTAGGTCTAAGTATTTGAAGTTACATTGGGGAGCTCCTGGTCTTTCACACCCGGTCCAAGTTGACCCAGGGGGATGAATCGTCGCCATGAGACATCGCAGATGAAGCAAAAGTAACCCTAAGCTCCTCCTGCTTCCCTCTAGACCTAGGTAGGTATTTGGAATTTTGTGGTTGAGTTCGCGGTCTTTCATACCAGGCCTGAGTTGATTCAGGGGGATGGATCGTCACTTCGATACATCGAAGATGAAGCAAAAATAACCCGAAGCGCCTCCTGCTTCCCTCTAGACCTGGGTGTTTGGGGTTTTGTGGTTGAATTCCCGGCCGTCCACGCCCGGCCTGAGTCGATTCAGGGGGATGCATCATCACTCCGAGACATCGTCGATGACTTAAAAATATAATCTAGGTCAGGCCTATTTCTCGGTCAGTACTACCTAGATAACGGGGCCAGTAACTAACATAAGAAGTCGATACTCCCACAGTCAAGTGGAAGTTCTTGGACGATATCATCACACACACACACACACACATCCAAACAACCTGAACTCAACTCCCGAATCTCACTCACTTAGCCTAGCCAACTACGAATAAGAATCTCAACAACCCACGCGTTTACCATCTTTACATTCGCCTGAACCGAACCACCTTCTCCCAACAAGACAATCCCGACCTCCCCGATTTCAACATGGCCATCTGTATCGGCGCTTGCAGAGTCTGCGCACATGCAACTCAAGCCTATCTCGACGCTCACCGGCGCGCCGTGCCGTATTACACAGTGACCCAGGGACTCAACGGCTGCATCACGTTCACTATCCACATCAATGGCGATCCTCGCACTGCCGAGTACAGGTCCTTGTTCGCTACGGCCTGGAGACAAGCGGAACACGTTAGATTCCCGTATCATGGCACAAGGGTGCAGGGGAACACGATTAGCTGCATGAACTACTAGGGCAGACCTGGAGAGGGAAGGTTTGGCCTCGGGCTGCTGAGTAGGAGGACGGATGGACCGAAAGGGAGAGAGTCTTTCCATATCATCACACAAAGGTGGATGGAAATATGGTTGGTTGCATTGACTACTAGCGCTGGATCGCAGGGGGAAGGTTTGGCCGCTGGCGGCTGGGTAGGAGGAGGGATGGGTCGAAGGGGAGCATGTTAGGAAAAGAGCTATGTTCATGGGTTCAGCTGCATATAGTCGGGGCCTTGAGACTGGCAAGAATTAGGAAATGAAAATGAACATTAGACTCGCTTCGGATTGCGCTCTCTACTGAGGGGAGATGTTGATAACATTTTGGTTGTGACAGGGGGTGTTTGTAGTGTAAGTGGTCAGTTTGGGCTAAATTAAAGCGGATGTTCATCCCTTCACCTGGCGAAATACCTCCCAGAGTTGTGACCACTGCCGCATTGGGAAAGCTCCTTGGGTATGGGAACGCGCAAGCACTTAATCTTCAGCCAATCACAGAGGGCAATCCGATAACGGCAGCCTCCCCTCAGAGAAGATGCCAAGTCTCCACCCCCCTGCTCCCGCCCGGGAGCCGGTCTCAGATGGAACCTGGGGGTGAAGTCGAAGGCCCACCCGTTTCACCATTGGACTTGTCTTTGTCCGCCGAAATCGACAAGGTTTTGAACGTTCAGTCTTCAACAGCACGAATATCATCGCTCCCACTTCTATCTTAGGTTGAATTGTTTAGCTTCAGTCTACTGGTAACTTCCGTTAAACCCGAGGACAGTACCCCGGCATGATCTCAACACGGAATCCAGAGTTCAGACACCGAAGCGCACACGCAGTAACGTCGCTTTGTCTACACCTACCTACTGTGTAGAACCCACGGTTGGGGTGAGGTTCGGTGGAGTGCATGTGGTGACCGAAGCGGCGCACCGCCCCGCCCAATGCGAGTTGCGTGGGATCTCGAAGTCAGGCCGCGCGTTCTGGCTTCTCTGTGCTCCCCTTCTGTAGGCAGTGGGCCAAGGCCGCTGACTGTCTGAATTCGAGCAAATGGGACGTGATTCAAATACGTCTAGAAGCGTAATATGGATGGAAAGGGGGAACAGGTATCCAGATGCCTACTTTTTGCTTCCCGGAGGAAGAATTGAGGAGTCGATTCTTCATACAATGTCGTCTTGATATCCAACCCCTTCGGTCTTAAGCGCAGGGGCCGAGAGCCGCCAAGACGACACGACGTCAAAGGGCCTTACGTCCGTTCCGTTTCAGGAGACAGCCTCCTGTTTGGAGCAACTTCTCTCTTCTCCTTTGCGGCGACCCGTCGTCTGAGCAAGGGTAACTCGAAGCGGAAGCGAGTGAGTTGAACCTGAAGGTTCGGGGGTTACCAGCTGGGATCACCTTTTCGAGACTTGTCCCAAGATTCTGACGTGACAGATCGTGGTGCGGATCGGACGGAGTGTTCTCGTTGTATTATATCCACATGGCGGCTCCCGAATCCTTTCCGGGCCCATCCCCCTCCTCCACTATGGCAAAACACCACTTTGGGGTTATTTTATTTCTAATTTTCTAGTTTGGCCTGCGGCGGTTTTTTTGGGCAGACCATCGCTCTCTCCTTGCGCCTGTCCTTTTTTTCTTCTTTTTTTCATCTCAGACGCTCACTGACCTGCAGCTTTGCGTCACCCACAACCGTGCCAGAACCTAAAAGTTTTCCAGCATCCGCCTTCGCCGATAATGACGAAGTAGTCAGCGGCTCCTCACCTGCACCTCGAGTTGAGGACATAGCCTCAAGGTTCCACTCTATGTTCTCCGTCCCCTTATAACCTAGCCTTCTCCCGGCTTTTTTTACGGTTCGATGACATAACGATCACCTTTCACTTGACCTTCTTTTTCCCTCAAAACGCACCCAACGTGTTGCGCTAGAATTACATTCATTTTTCCTTCAAGTTCGGGAAGGGTGCCGAACTGAGGGCTGGGCGAGATGAAAACAACTTGGTTTATAGCCATCACGGCCGCACTCGTTCATACAATATGTGGATTATCAATACCAACAACAAAAGAAAATAATGAGCCAAAGGTGCTGGGGTTGGAGACGAAGCGGCGGGTGCCTCGACGGAATCCTATCCACCGTGATAAGCTAAGGAAACGAGGCACGTTTGAAGTCGGCTTAGACAACGAGGTGTGTATCCTGCGAGTGGCGGTTTGATATGGCCCCCATCAAATGGGAACTAACACAAGAAAAAAAGGAAACACTGTACTTCATCAACGGAACGATCGGCACGCCCCCTCACGCAGTCAGGTTACACCTTGACACCGGCAGCAGTGACTTGTGGGTCAACACGCCGGCATCACAACTGTGTACGTCGGGTAACAGCCCGTGTGCATATGCGGGCACGTACGCGGCGAATACATCGTCGACATACCAGTACATCGCCAGTAATTTCAACATCTCCTATGTGGACGGGAGCGGCGCCAGCGGCGATTACGTATCGGACACGGTGACGATCGGCTCGCAGAAAATCGACCGCCTACAATTCGGCGTCGGCTACTCCAGCACAAACGCCCAGGGCATCCTCGGCATCGGCTACCCGCTCAACGAAGTGCAGGTTAACAGGGCGCGACTCAAGCCCTACGACAACCTGCCGGCGCAGCTGGTCGCCGAGGGCGTGATCCGCTCCAAGGCCTACTCGCTCTGGCTCAACGATCTCGACGCCAGCACGGGTAACATCCTGTTCGGCGGAGTCGACACCGAAAAGTTCACGCCACCCTTACGCTCGCTGCCCGTCGAATCCGCCTCAAGCGTCCACGCCGAGTTCATGCTCACCCTCACGAGCCTGCACCTCAACGACCGCGCCTTGGGGCCCTCGCCGAACCTCGCCATCGCCGTGCTCCTCGACACCGGGTCTTCCCTAACCTACCTCCCCGACCCTCTCGTAGCAGACCTCTACGCGGCCGTCGGAGCCGTCTTCAACACCGACGCCAACGCCGCCTACGTGCCCTGCTCACTCGCCCGCAACACGACCACCCAGCTGGGCTTCACCTTTTCCGAGCCGACCATCTGGATCGGCATGGACGAGCTGGTGCTGGACCTCGTCACCTCGTCCGGCCGCCGCCCGACTTTCTCCGACGGTACCCCGGCGTGTCTATTTGGGATTGGCCCGGCGGGCAGCGCGGGTAGCGGGAACACGTTTGTTCTGGGGGATACGTTTTTGCGGTCTGCATATGTGGTGTATGATTTGGATAATAACCAGATTGCGCTGGCGCCGACGAGGTTTAATTCAACGACGAGTAATATCATGGAGATTGGAACCGGGGCGGGGGCTGTGCCTGGTGCGACCAAGGTGCAGAACCCCGTGCGCGCGACGGAGGGGCTGAGAGGACTGAATGCTGCGTCAGCGGCAGCGACAACTGGGAGGGCCGGCGGGGCGAAGGGGGCATTTGCGGTGGCTGTTGGTTTGGCCAGCGTTGTGGCCATGTTAGGTGGGATGCTGTGAGAATCGCAGGGTTGGATTTCTATTGTCTGTGTGCATTGCGAGGAGGCTTTGTTTTTCCGCATGAGATTCGGAGTTTTGAGAACCTGCTGTTTGGAAAGACCGGGAACGGCGTTATAAAAGAGGGTTGATGAAGGCCTCTGAGAGAAACCTGTTCTCTGCCAGATGCTAATTTTGTGTATCAAGATCATGATTTTGGAGGTCTTATCAGCGAGACCATAAATATCAAATGATTTACAGATGACGGAGCAGGCCCAAGATTGAGGTGAGAGAAGACGGAAGCGTTTTGAGTCATCAACGAAGACCCAACTCACGCAATTGGTCCAAACGATAAAAAGTAAGGCTTCCGGGCCTCCAGGTCGATTTCAATTTCCATCCGGAAGGCCTCCAAGGAAGCTAATCGCGTCAGGTGGTCAAGTGTGACTCTTGTGAGAAGGCCATGTAAGGTTGGGCTCAACCTGAGCGCTTAACCTCAAAAAGTGTAACACCTAATTGGTCGGCTTCCAGGCGCTCACAGCATGTGACTCCGCGTTCCAGCGATTGGCGGGCATTGCAGGGGTCGCGACTTCCTCGAAGCCCTCCCCGCGTTCTCACATAAAACTTTATGAACCCCGCCATCTCCCGCCCTTTTAATCCTTTCCATGGAAACTAGTTGCTCCTCTATTCGGACCTCGAAATTGGCCACACAATCCGGGCCAAGAGCCGTCATTATCAACGATGGTCTATCGAGGCGAGAGAAACATGACCTCCCGGGACAGTGGTCCCCCGGGCGAAACTGTCATACTGCCCGAAAGACACCATCTCCGCCCTGCGCTGGTCACCGACGGCGGACCATTTAGCGGCCTCGTCGTGGGACGGCCAAGCTTACATTTACGACGTGACTAACTCAGCCTGCACCGCCTCCATCAAGGCATTGACGAGCATCCCCGTCGGAACCCCCGTCCTCGACTGCGATTTCAGTACGGTAAGTTCGATACGAGTCTACTAATTCCGCAGCTCCCCACGCCCCGACCGAGGAGAGTGTTTCCACGCGAAGAAAACCTGGCAAACGACCAAACACGAACCAGCTTCGATACGAAAGTTCGACCCCCATGCGCCACAGTTAATACGGTATTTATTGGGGGCAAAAGGGCAGTCGTAACTAACCCTATTTTCTACCAGGATGGGTGTCTCGTCGCAGCCGCTGGATCCGACAATGCCATCCACGTCATGGATCTCCAATCCGGAGAAACAAGGAAGCTAGAAGCCCATACTTTGCCTGTCCGCGCTGTGCGATTCTTTCCGAGGCCCTGGGTTAACAACCACCTCCTAGCATCCGCCTCTTGGGATAAGACGGTCCTCTACTGGGATTTGCGCCAGCCAAAGCCCATTGGCGTGTTCCAGCTCCCCGATCGTGTCTTCGCTATGGATGTTGCTGAGTCGTTACTTGCCGCTGCTACTGCGGACCGCCATATCCACTTTGTTGATCTCGGCAACCCGACCCAGCCACGGCTGTCTCACGAGTCACCCCTCAAGTATCATACGGCTTCTATCTCGGTTTCAAGAGATGGGTGCCACGCGGCGGTGGGCGGCGTTGACGGCCGCGCCGCTGCATACCACGGCCTCGGTAACGCAAATGTCAACGAGTAGGTTTCTCATCCTGCCTATGGCAGACCACGAACCCCCTCCAAGTGTCACTAACGTCCTGCCCTTTAGGGTAACCGATTTCACATACAAGTGCCACCGTTCACCAGACACTAACAAGGGGGGCCAAACCAACGTGTACGCCGTCAATGCTGTGTCCTATTACCCAGTGAATCATGACATATTGGCCACCGCTGGATCCGACGGCACCTTTGCGATCTGGGACGTAAAGAATCATTCAGCTGTAGAAAAGCTTCGCCAGGCCTCTGGCCCGATCACCGCACTGAGCTTTGCTCGTGACGGCAAGGCTCTCGCTTACGCTGTAGGCCACGACTGGGCTAAGGGCGTCCAACACTACCCCTCCGCGGCCAAGCCGGAGATTGTCCTACACAAGTTCGGCGGCACGCCGGGCAAAAAGTAAGAAGCTAGTAGATCCTTTCTAAGCAGAAGACCACCGATAAAAAATCATAACAGAGAACCATAGGTGAGGCAGCGGTAGTGGTATCTTCCTTGCTCGAGGATCTTAACCAAGGATCTCAACGCCGCTACCAAGGGAGTCCACACATCAAGGGATAGGGAGCTTTTCCACACTTCATGGTTGGGTCTCTCTTGAGGAACCAAGCCTCGGTATGCGTGGTTTCATGATTTCATTATGGGGTTCCTGGCGCCTTGGATGGTTAGGGGGGCTTGAGATTTCTTAGGAACAACAGTGCTGGATCAAGATTGATACTGCGCGAGGGGCATTTGGTGGGGACAGCAACGGTACCGGCGTTATATGTAGGGTTTTGTTGAGGCGGGGTCGGTTATGAATTCAAGAATCTCCCAAATCATCACCTTCCGTAGTATATTTGCATTTGAACATTGGTGTCTTTGTAGCTCTCAAACGACCAAAAGCGCACATGGTTACTTACGGTATCCAGAATACCTAGCCCTCCAAAATGTAGCTCTCGAAGCACCATACTAGACCTTCCATGTACCTCTGAAAATACACATGACAGCACCAGACCTTTCAGCATCTTAAGCACAGGGTGTTATAAATTACGTCTTTCACGATTGTCACCAGCACGAAAAGCCTACACCCGATAGAGCGCAAAAAACAAACAAATTATATTTTAATTAAGGTATACCAACCAAAGCAACCAACGAAAACACCAACGCCTAACCGATCTTGAGTGACAAATGGTGGAGAGGTCTAACAACGAGGACCAGAACGATGACAAAAGACAAAAGATAGGGGGAAAGGATGCTCGGGTACCAGTTTTATGGCCGTGAAAACCAGCACCAATGTAACCCTCTCCCGACCCGTGTTTGTCCCGTCTCGTCTGATACCTGTTGTCGGTAGCCAGCCCCAACCTGGTCTTTAAAGCATGCTTGCCCCTTGAATATCGATGATGGATGCCCCGCTCCGTCCCATCTCATCCCATCTCGTCCTTAACCACTCCCAGCTAAATAAACCGTTGGGTCTAGCTAGATAACTGAGTAGGGATCGTTGACCGACCCGACTTCAGAGACTTGGGGGAGCGGGTTATGCCGGGGGCAAATAAAAAGTAAAGAAATTAACAACTCTGCGCCGTTTTTCGTTTATCCCGATGTTTGTTTGTTTGTTGCGTCCATCTCGATGAGTTCCGTGGGCTCCCCGAATCATGAAGGAGTGGCCGAAATGAAGCGGGTCGAGGCCGGGCGATCGATCGCGACCAGTTATTTCTATGATTCCTCTTCCTTGTAGTCTCACTATTCGTGGTGAGAGGGTCCGAAAAGAAAAAAAAAACGCGAGGCATATTGTAGAAGTAACAACAAAGTTTTCGAAACAAAACAAACAGCCCAGGCAAGTAAATCCTTATGGCATAACTGTGATGATCCCCGGGATATCTGGTTGAGAAAGAACCATGAGAAAATAAAAGCCATCAAAAAATGTCGCGAAGAGTAAGAATAAATGACCGTGAAAAGGGAAAGGAAACAACAGACACCGGAGGGTATGTTGTTATTTTTGTTGGTATCGCCATCCTTGTGCAAGCCGCCCGACCGTGAAGCAAGTGAAAGAAACCCGAATCTAGCCGCAAAATAACACTGCATTTATAGGTGTTTGTCCGTTGTATGAGAAAAACCGGAACTGCTTGCAATGGTTGAGAGGAGGCCATTCTTCCATGGCCTAGGTTCCCGTGATTGGGAGATGCGAGGATGCTTCTTGCATCCTCTAGCAGCCCCTTAATATCATTTTCTAGCGGCCTTGCCAGCCCATTTGCCAGGTCGTGAGCCTCTGATGGAACCGGAAGCGTTTCCATTCATGGACGTCGGGCTCCTTGATGGGGTACTGAGGGGACTGTTGGAGTCCATGGTCAAGTTCGGCGTCGGTACGGCTGACGTCGTGCCGACATGCGCCCCTGGCGATGTAGGGGGCGTGGATGCTGGAGTGTGGTTGTTTGATGTGGCTGCAGAGGGTCTCCGGGATCCGTTGATCAGCTTCTCCATCGCGTCGATTTGCCTGCTCGTGGCACCCGATCGCTTGAGGGCCTGGAGGTGCGTCACCAATTTGTTGACGACTTCGGTCTTCTCATCGCCTTGGAGTGTGGAGACGAGTGTCTCTGCGGTTTGTTAGTGGGGGGTCCATATTGGAAATAAATGGTGTCTCCAGTAAGACTTACGGACAACGTAGTTACCATACTGATCCTTCATCAACGCGAAGAGGGTGTCGCCAGACTCATTTCCCGCCAACCTATCTCGGATGCGGCGCTGCACTTCAGGAGTGCCGAATTGGATGCATTTCTCAACCACGTTGGACGCGTGTTTGTGCTTTGAGAATGTCAGCAGCTCGGCCATGACGACCCTGCAGAACGGGTCGCGGTCCTCGGGCTTCGCATTTTCAAGGACGTGTTGGACGACGTAATTGCCGTACGAATGCGTCACTAGCATTCGGGGGTGCCTGTGTAATTTCTCCATGATGACAGCCTTGTCTGCCTCAGTCCCGTACTCCATAGCCCTCTGTAGAACTCGACAACCGTACTGGTCAATGGAGAGGGCGTCGACATTGTCTTTGATGATGCCCATTATGCGACCGATGTACACGCGGGGTACAAGCACGATGGCCTGTTGAATTACGTGATTCGCGTGGATGTCCGAGCAGAGCTGCATGAAGTGCGGCACAAACTCGTCGACTATCTCGCCCTGTTGTTCTACTAGTACATGCTTAAGAGCCTAACAAGTTGTTAGCATATGATCCTGCTTATGCGTAGGAAGACACCTGGCAAGGTTTCACCTTTTGGACGACCCGGCAACCATACATCTGTAGGGAGAGATCGACGAGCTTTCCTCTCATGGCGCTAGCCAGAGCCCTCTTCTGGACCTGGTCGCCATACTCGAAGAGCTTCTGCATCACGTAGTTGCCGAACACATCCTTCATTAGCTGAACGGCATTCGTTTCGAGCTCGGCAAAGACCCGTTCTCTTTCGTCGCTGTTTGCTACCTCAAGTCTCTCCTGGATAAAGCGCGATCCTTGTTGGTCGCCGCTGAACTCGACGACATAGCCCCAGATGTCCTGGATTCATCAGTCAGCGTCCAATTTTCTCACCTATACCACCTCACTCACAACATTTGACTTACTCTGAGCTCCCATTTTTTCGACCTCTGAGTTTCTTTGAAATCCAATAGAAGCGTGCTTCGGTATGCCCTGCTTGGATCCTGGTCCTTGGCCGGACGCGTGGGGATGGTGGAGATGGAGGTTGGTGGGCTGGTAAAACCGTAGGATGGCACCATCCCCATACTGTACGCCGCCATCTGCAGAGCCTGTTGCGTGTCGACGGCCGGGTATGAGGAGGGGTATTGGGTGTAGCTTTGAGTGAAGTGAGAGTTCGGGGGGAACGAGTGCAACGGCGGCGGCACCTGCTGCTGCTGCTGTTGCGGTAGCTGCCCCGGTAGCTGCTGATGTAGTTGCTGATGTAGGTGCTGCTGCTGTAGGTACGCCGTTAGCTGCTGCCACTGAGGTGGCGGTAGCTGTTGCTGCTGCTGCTGCTGCTGCTGCGCGAGCCGAAGGTATTCATTCGGCGTTCTGGTTTCCAACGATTGACGCCTCGACCAGTTTGCTTCCATAGCATCGGCGAGGCTCTTTGGGCTTTGGAGGATCCCGGCGGTGCGGTAGGCGTTTCCAGCCGGCGGGGAGTTATGGTCGGCTGCCGAGCCTCTCCTCTCACCAGTAACGTAGGGCTCGTTTAGAAATCCATTGCTGTGTCCTGCGGTTGTTTCCCACGGTTGCTGAAAGGGGTTCGAGGGAACGTTTCGCGCCTCGTTATTAAAGGTCAGCGTGTTTTCCGTGGCGACAGGATTCCCGCCTTTGTTGGGAGGGTTCCCAAGATACAACCCAGACATGGCTTGCGTCAGCTCCTGAGCAGTGTTTTGATCGAAACCCATGCTTTGGTGTGCCGGTAATGAGCCGGCGATGGATGGTCGTTGGGAATGAAGCCCGGTTCCTGATGTCGCGCCGAAGGAGAAATCGTTCAAGGCACCGCCAGCCTGCGTAGTACGATCGGGTTCGGGAAGGGCGGATATCGACCTGCGCGGACCGCTCCCGACTGCGCTGAGAGACGCCGAGTCATGTTTAAAGCGCTGGGGTTGGGAATAAATGGAAGAAAACCTCGACTCAGACCCTTGGACGGACTGGTCTGGGTAGGTTTCAGCCGCGTGATTCTCAAACCCAGGGGGGGGCTGCAACACACTCTTCGAAGGTTCCGCAGCCGATGTCGTGGACGGCTGTGAGCCCGGGACTCTCTGGTTCATCGAGGACCCGTTGAGCAAGGGGTTGCCCATCGGGTCCGGGCCGTGGAGAAAGGCATCAGGTCTAGACCTCGGCGATGTATTACCCGACAGGTTGCGGGTTTGGGCGGCGTTGGAAGTGTTCCAGTAGGGAGCTCTCCAAGTGTCGTGGTCGCCGGTCGAAGTACGAGGACCGGGGCCTGAGGAACCGGGAGCAAAGGCGTTTGCCGCGTCTGGATACTGGTCAGACCACGGGCCCACGGCTTCTTTCCTCGGTGATATAAGTGGACACGTACCTCTTGGAGTAGTGGTGGGTCTCGTGTCGGAAAAGGGGGTGGAGTTCCACGATGCGGGTGGTTGTAAGGCTGAACCAAACACTGCCTCTATCAAGATCGACTGTGAACTGGACGGGGGCTTGGGGAAATTGTTGTAGCTCGGAAACCGATTATGCTGCCGTGGCTAGGTCACAGAACAGAGGTTAGATCGCAATTCTCAACACTAAACGACGCGGTAACAGTCTGGCGGGGAGCCGAGGAAGACGCTTTGTAGGGGAAGGGGAGTGATGCAACAGGGGAGCCCTGAACGACGGAGAGCGCCTGAAGAATCAGACAGGTATAGAACAAAAACTTGAAAGTGCGGCGCTGCGCAAGGTACGTACATTGCTTCCCATGGCGCCTGGTGATGGGTCGGTGCCGGTATAGTTCACAGAGGGGGAGTGGGAGCAGAACCGGGACCCAGATGCCGACCGCGTGCTAGATCGGTCGCTGTAACGTATCCTCCGAGAAGTATATAGAGTTCGACGCGCTTGAGAAACTGCGACAGCGTGATTTCGTCTCGGGCTGTGAAAATGGGATGGTTCCTCAAACTGCGAGTGACGGTATTATGTATCGTTCTCGAACGGTCTGGGTTCTATGTATCGGGGGGGGGTTCGAAGTATCGAGAGGATCTCTATAGTTCGTTCGTGTCAAGAGGACAACCTCTAGGGATAGAAACTGCACGGGCGGATTCGAGAGACTTGTCAGCGCACTTTGATAAACTGGTTGCCAGTCCGAATATAGGTGTATAGGAAGGGGGCAGTCGTGGTTTTTGAAGGAAGGGAATCTGGGGGGAATATGTTAGGTTTGGCGGTGGGTGGTAAGGCTGATGCACACCACCGAGGCCAACCTGCCCGGAAGCGGGTATGAGGGGGTGGGGTTGGGGGAAGCAGACGTCCCCGAGTCCCTATCCTCATACATACATACGCACATTTAAATGCCCGGGCGGGAAAGAGGGTCGCAGGCTCGGCGGAGTAGGCTGCTAGAACCCGAGGGTGCATCCGCTAGAAACGGCTGCATAGGTTGCCCGTGCTTAGAGGACAGAAGACTGCCGGAGGGTGGTGTGTGCGCCGAGTGGACTAGCAGCTCAGGGGTTGTGCACTACGGTATCTGTACGTAGTAGCTTGCTGCGTCTGTGTTTGCGCCTGCGCCTGCGTCCGCTGTAGGTTGTTCTTGCACCCCGTTTTGCGACGGAGACCCTAGGTAATGTAGCGGAGCCCGTCGTCACCGCCAGAGAAAATCGCGAAAGACTTTCCGCTGAAGAAAAGAAGGGAGGACAACGGTCTTGAACTTCTGTCAGGATGCGCACGCAGGTGATTGATGATGCGGGGCCGGTTTAGAGAGAGAGGGGGGGAAGGAGGGGGATTTGAGGGACCTCGAGTTGGTACACAGATGGGAATTTGTTTGGGGTGCCAACACAGGCGAGAGGATCAGGAATCAACCACAGCCCTGATCACCTAACAAAGTATGGGTAAGGTAAGGTACCTATGTACAAGAAAGTATGAGGAAAACATGAACGATGAAGGAGAGGAGACGGAGCGCGATGAGCGACGAGGGCAATGACTTGAAAATGTCAAAGCAGACGGACAAACAGACAGTGCATACCTTGACAGCAAGCAATGGGTCTTTGCTGAGCTGCTTGGTCCAGCAGGGGGAGGGAAGGCTCGTCGACAGGGCCAGGGGTGTGGTCGTCGTTCCGCGCTCAGTTTCCCAGGTTGTTTTTGAGCACGGTCAACGGGCTGACCCGATCCGTCTTCCTCGCAGCGGAGAAAAAGTATGAGGCGGTTCTTGTTCGCTCGTTAGTTCCCCCTCTGTGCGCTGCTTCTTTCTCGAGAAAATGATGGGGATTCGCAATCGACAACCGGGTTGGGTGGGATTGACTGGGGCGCGTTGCCGTGCTCAGGGTTCCGACTCTTTGTGGGGGAGCGGTCGCGGCTTGGGAGAGCACACGACAAGGAACTTCCAACCTGAGGAGCCGACAGGAAGCAGAAAGGGTTGGTGAGACCCAAGGTTCACCTCTAAGCTTTACCTTTTTGAACTGAGGTGGACAGGGATACGTTGCTGAAAGATCAAGGACAGCACCTGCGGACAAGGGGCCGGTTGGCGGATCCCAGCGACCCCAAAAAAATAAGTTTTGTGGGGGTCGGCCAACTCGAGGGCCCCCAGGCCGTCTCAAGTTGGTGGATGGAGGGGCTTTCTTTTTTTTTTAGGGAATATCTTCTGGCGCCGGGGACAGATCCGGCATCCCGGCTGGGATCTTGAACTTGGATCTCAACTCGTGGGTTTAGATTTGGTTAGTAGGTTTGTGGGTGATAGTCCAGGATGGAATTGGCTTGGAGAGAAACGCTGGCGATTTCGGGGTCTCTGGTGCGACGAACGATGACGGAATTCTGCTGCAAGCCTGCAAGACGGGAGCTGGAGCGTTGTGGGTTTGCGTTATCGCGGGGGACGGGGCACACGCGGGACGCGACCCTGTCTCGCTGGACCCACTTCTTGCTTTCTTTTTCCCTTGGTGCTTTTCCTTTCTCGATCCTTTTCCAAAACCCCAGACCTAAAATTCAGGAACCTTCAAAATGTAGCCGCAAGGGACCGGGAGTACACTATGTCCTAACTATGTACGTGTATATCAAAGTCCGAGCAATACGGGGTTCTTGATCAGCCTATCCGCTCTCAGTTTCTCGGCGGAATAAGATGTGCTGGTCTTGCAACGGGTATCTTAGTATACTGTGTCTGTCGGTCATTCGTATTGACGGAACACTGTGTACATACATACAGAGTTCGCAAGCTTGCGGGGCAGTTAACAACAATCCTCCCTCTTCACTTCAACGATTACTCCTTGCCCACAGCCCGTGACACAAACCAAAGCACGACAGTGTGGAACAAAACCTCACATCACAATCGGCCGTTGGCGCAGCCGTGTATTTGACACAAACCTCATGCCTGCCTTATTGCTTGCAGATCTGAAACCTAGGCGCGAGAGCCCGTGATGTGTTCTGGATGTTTCTCCTCATCGGATTTCGTGCAGGAAACATGCGGTCGAAGAGATCGGATAGGGCGGTGCCCGGAATTGGACCGTTGGATCATTCGACCGACCCACAGCAGCGACCACAAGCTGCCGGCTCCGCCGCTTGTGGAAGCGGATCCAGGTTGTTGGCGAACCGGTTGGTTTCGTCCTGGAGTGTTGGTTGTGTTCAACCTCAAACTTCCCAAGTGGGCTTGTGGCCGCGACTTGTGGCCGCGATCGTGGCCAAGTGAATTTGGCGACGCAAGAGCCCCTGGGGATGCGTGCCCAGCCTTAACTAACGTACGAAACGAGTCACCAATCCCCAATCAGAACCCAGCTTGTGCCGCGGCCGTTGCTGATTTTTGTTTGCCCGGGGGTTGACATTGCCATCTATCCTCAGCACCAACATACCATTCGCGCCGCACACCTCGGTGCTCACTTCTCACCGGTCGTTTTTGGCCGTGGGCCCGGAGACCCCAACTCGGCACTTGAACTGAATGCGCCGCGGCTGATTTGGGTGGGGGCTTTGGAAAACGTCCAACGGGCTGATGAGAAACCGGACGTAATTTTCGGGATGGCTGGCAGTCTCAACCCCCAACACCCGTCTGCAATGTCTGACCACATCCTTCCATATCTAGCGCGCATCTTTCTGGCACTGTTCGCTGAAATAACAGGTGAAAAGAACTGTAAATAAATGGGCATCTTACAAAGTAGGCGTCCAGGCACGGGCGCCGAAAAGCGGGTTGCATCTGGCGTCAAATAACGTCATATTTTGGCAGTACAACGGCACTTCGCGTATCTCCAACGGCTGGGAGGGTGGCTGATGATTCCCCTCGGTTATTGTATTGGAGCGGGTTGGTGGGGTCTCTCACTCGAGGCGATGCCCTGAAGTACCTCTTTGGTGAATGGTCCAAGTTTGAAAGAGGAATCTGTGTTTGAGGCTTGAGGCGGGGGTTGTTTGTTCTTAGGGAGCGAGTCAAGGAATGTGCTTCGCCCCCGATGTTGTTGCGGGAGTTGTTGGAAATAACGCGCCCCATTTCACCTCGATGCGCCATGGCGATTTCGGGAACATGAATTTGGGAGGAAACTCGGACGCCGCGCCATATAGACTTACACGTAGTTATGGCACGAAATCGATACGAACAGCTCTCGTCGTCTTGCTAACGAGAGCAGCGTTACAGTGTATACATTTATAGTTCCCCGGCTCGATCTTCTCCTTCTTGGGGCATCGGGAGGGTTGGTCGGGGATATCGGGTTGCGCCGAAGGCCCGGGCCGCCGCTGGGCCATATGGACCTTTCACGGGTGTGATGTAAGAGGTGAGTGAGGGCGATTGTAGACCCTAATCATGACGCCCAGGGTGCGGCTGCGTCTTGTACATACATATGCGTACCAGAGTGCGTGCGCTTGACAAACACCGTCCCTAGGTCATAGCTACTACATGCCACAGAGTTACCACATTCGTTGTCCATTACGGGATCCTTATACCCCCAATCAAACCACCGCCATTCTGACCAACCCCGGTTCAGGCCAGTCTTCCGAGCCTGTTCGCCGCCTGTCGGGCTTGTGGACGTTATGACCTAACACCCCGCGAGATATAATTATCGTCCGAATTTCGTCGTAATGATCGCAGCGGGCCCCATGTTCCTAAAAACGGACAAAATGCCCGTGATAGGGCCAAAACTGCCCAACGCGAAGAACCCGCCAGGGTGGTGTCGATGTTGGTGTTGATTTGATGATGTGCTGCGCATATATGACGACCGCCCGCCTTCGTTTGTGCTTGTGATCTTAGCGATCGGTTTTCGTGGAATAAGCCGGCTCTATACAAGGGGGGCGACAGAATGTCCACTGCGGGATTGTCTCGAGATGCGGAGAGTCTCGTTGCTTCCTCCTCACACCTACCTTTCGGGCTTCCTCCGTGCGCCTTCTGAGGGTAGTTGACCTTAAGGCTGGGGAGTCCGGTTGCCTTTCGGTATTGGAAGCAAATAGAACGACACTGGCGGTCTGGTTTGCTAAGTACTTGCAGGCAGCAGGTGCGCCCCCTACCTTTTTCCCTGCCTCTTGTTTCTGTCCCGACCTCTTGTGCCTATCTTCGTTTCCCTTGGCCAGGAGATGACAGGGCGAACAACACAGGCGTGGCGTGACGGCGTACGGGAAAGTTTGTTGTGCTCGTCCGCCCAACGCCCTTAATTTGCGTTAGCGGTCTTTCATCCACCCCCTTTCCACTCTCGCTCCACGTCTTTGGTGTACCGGTAACGCTTCTTAGTCTCGGACTTTTACTAAGAGAGGGGAGGGGAAGAAGGGGCTGAGTCGCTCTCTAACTTATTCGTGTGGGAAAACGGAGTCGGAACACCCGTCACACTGGAGTGGAGGAATGTTTTGGGGCGTCTAGAGCAATTCTCTAAGCGGAGTTCCCTGGCTAAGCAAGGTGTACGGCCGTCATGTTGAAGCCGCCTAGTTTCATCAGGCGTTCCTTTTGGACACAGGAAAACCCCTCTTCTCACTCTCGTCACACACGTGAGGCTTTGTGAGGGAATCCTGGCGTCGTCAATCCTACGCAGCCTCTCAAGGCAGGACGGATTCACAATGGCGACGATGGATCTAAACCGAGGCGCACTAAAGATCGCAAAGGTGAGTCTCGTCCCGCACAATCCTTTGGGATGGACGTGTTGTTAATAGGAGACGGAGAGCCTCAACATGTCGACGCTCTTACTCTGCTCTTTCAACACAGCTGGTTGGCCCCGCCGTCCTCTTCCAATCACACGGAATCGAACCCAGCCGCCCAAATTCCGGTCACAAGATGCGATGGAGCCGCGCCTGGGCGGCTCCCGGGTCATCTCTCCTTTTGCTTGCAGAATGCAACCATACCTCAACGGAGATGGGACGCTGGAGAGCGGGCGCTTGTCACCAGGCGCGAAAGAAAATAGAACAATTGATGAAAAAATAGGAAATAACAAGCACATGCTTTCACTTCGTAGAATTACCTCTGTAGTTACATAGTAATGGCAGGGACATATTCCTCGGTGACGGTCGCCGATACGAAGTCGTTAGTCAGGAAAGGTGCCAGAGTGGGTCGCGAAGTTGTGCCTGGTCTGGACCCTGACCCCGGAAAATCCCTGCTCGAATACTGGCCGTTTCGATGCACGGGCCAGTTTCCGTGGTTCGTGGGTGTTCGCGGTCAAAGGATCGATTGGGCGGTTCTCAAATTAGCACCCCGCTCGCATGCGAGCCTGACCACAATTTGATTGGACAATGGTTTCATGGACGGGGCAGTTCATCCGAATTCGGTCAAAATCACTTGTTGGGGCAGCGCTTCCAGGTTGTGGGTGGTGCGCCAGTGTGTGTGTGCCTGCCTTCCCCTGACAGGGCGGTGGACGGGAACTGCGGAATACTTGTGTGTGCTCGCCGACCTCATTCACCTCCTCTCCTCGTCTTTTTCTATCTCGACATCTCCATCGGCGCCACGGTCCAGGGAATTGCATTCGTCGTTCTTTCTGTTACCCCCTTCCACCTCCCAATCGCGGGATCCTGCTTTTTGGTATCGACTTCATTCTTTTAGTCGGTCACCGTCCTATCCTTTTTTGGTTTTTGATGCAATTCCCCGTTCCCTGCGCGAGATTTGGTTCAGCAATTCTGTAGCCATCCCCGATAAACGACCCTTTGGGTAAGCCCCGACGTTGATTTTCTCTGCCTGCGACTGCCGTTGTCTTACTCGCGATAGTAGAGAAGTTTATCACAATCATTCGGCAACTCGAGTCCTCGCGGAAAATACAACGCTCATTGCAACAACAACAATAACAACAACGACGACCTGTCGAACGATAGCATTCACAGCAATCATACATTCATTCAGTACCATGGATTCGGCTTCGAGGATTTTCGCCCGCGGCGACGACAAGAAGGACAGTGTGTCGGTTGTCAACCTCCTAATTGCTCTTCTTGTCCTTGTTTTTGTCGGTCTTGTCTCGTTTGCGCTTCTTGTCCTGCTGCGGCGGAGGCGGAGGCAGCAGCGCATGATGAGCGAGACGCTGCCCCAGTACCAGGACGTCAAGCGAACTGGAAACCACCGACGGCTCACGATTCAGACCGGCAATGCCAACGGCCGGTCAAGTATCATCGTTGTCGACCAGAAAGGTCAGCCCATGCTTGCGAACCCTTCTTCGCCGCCTCACTCCCCCGACAACGTTCCTGAGATCCACATCACCTTCCCAGACGAGCAAGACGACCAGGGCCGGCCGAAGAGTGGCCGGGTGGTTGTTGTCCGGGTTGGCGAGACCAGCGTCGGGCTTGAGCCGCTGCATGACGAGCAGCTCCCGGCGTACGAGAAGGAGAGCAGCACACAGTTTTACTCCATCGACATGGACAAGATTGGCGGCCTGAAGGAGAAGGAATACCATTAAAACAGGCGCCAAACACGACCAACCATGGTCTCGGTTGTGACAGAGGCCTTTTGCCCATAACGGGGAACAACAGAACGACCTTCTCTTTCTGACCAGCGCAAAAAGCTGGCCAATCCTTACGATTTCATGGGCGTGCGGAGTTGCGACGAACGGACCGGGACACGAAAAGAGATACCATCATACAAGCGCCGGCCACTACCTTTTTTCTGCTTCTGATTAGCCCCCTTTTCTCAGCCATCTATCTACCCCTGCATATCAAGCATCATCGGGGGCGCAATTGGAATCTTTTCTGCTTTCTTTTTTCCTCTGATGGGCTGGTTGGGAACACCAAGGTTTCTCTGCTACCAGGGGTTGAGTGCTGCGACACTCTGCGCACATACATGCCTAGGTAACATTCGCTTTCAAACGGTGAATGTTTTCGGGAGGGACCGGGAACGGGAGCTCTTTTCGCTCCCAGCCACATCATCATTTTTGGCCGGTAGCGTGCGTTGGGTGGGCTTGTGGTATATTTGTCGGATATATTCTCATATTGTATAATTACTATTGAAGCAGCGTCTGCCGGCTCGGGAGGCTCTTTGCGTTTCTTCATTCTACCCCGTTTTGTGACAGGCCCTTCGTTTTGAATGCTCCCGTCTAGCATTGGTGGGAAGGTTGTAACGCGACCTCACATCGAGGCAACGAACTCTGATTACCTGTCTTCTAGCCAGACAGAGTCGCGATTTCCCCAGTCTTTGATCCGTTCAACTTACTCCCATGGATATGTACCTTCCTTGTAATAATAACTAGTGTAATTCATCTATCCCAACTCGCCCTAACCAGTACTATGTATGTCGATCGCAGATCCCAGGGTTAGGGTAGAGCCGCTCCCGGCCCCCCTGCGAAATGCCGGTGGAGATATCCTCACAGTTTCAATGGAGCTCACGGATTCGCGACTCGTTGCAAGACGTTCGACGTCCCTGAAATGGCGCATCCTTTTTCTTCTCGTGTAGCTGTCGTCCAGACGGTCTAGAGTTTAATTGATGCTGGTCCATTGCCTGTACCATAATCATCATACAGCTCAATTTGGCCCTCGCGCTCGTTTACTGCTTCTCTTTTTCTAATTCTTCCCCCTTTGCCCTTCTCCTGTCGGGGCTCTCTTCTTGCTGTCGCCCGACTTTTCATCTACCTATCTTTTTGCACTTGATATTTGTTGATACCCCCTTTTCTCTTCGCTGCCGCGACCGTTTCCGCTACAAGACACTCCCACACCGCGAAGTCCCCACGACCCTTGGACGAACAACCAAATCAGCACCACGTAAACCATGCCACCGCCACGACCAACCCCGAAAAAGGCCCCCCCGCCGGCCGACTACAAAACCATTGCCGCACAGTGGGCCGCCGCGAAGCGGGCCGGGGAGGTTGCCGATGCGGATCGTCTAAAAAAGAGCACTGGGGAAGCTCAAGAGGAGGACAAGAAGGCGGTACAGCAACAACAAGAACAGCTTGCCACACGCGAACGCCGTCGCGAGCGTCTTGAAGCGGCTCGGAAAAGGGCTTACCAGGCGCGTTGGGGCTGGACAGCCGCCTTTTGGGTCTGGCTGTTGGTTGTGCATGTTGCTGGGCTTGCGTACTTCACCAGTGGGTTTTTGCTGACGCGGCTGGTGCTGGAGGAGAAATCGGCGTGCGAGGTGCCGCCGTTTCAAGCAGGCGAGCAAGGGATAGAAGGATCGTCATTGCTGCCGGCGTGGGAGGGCAAGGGCACGGTGGACGGTGGGTGTTGGCATCCGCGCACGTTCTCACGGGCGGTGGTGGTGGTAATCGACGCGCTGCGGTACGATTTCACCGTGCCTGTGGGCGACGGCGAGGCGTTCCACGATGCGTTTCCTTTCTTGTGGGAGACGGCGGTGCGGGAACCGAACCGCGCGTTTTTGCGGCCGTTTATTGCTGATCCGCCCACCTCGACGTTGCAGCGGTTGAAAGGGTTGACGACGGGGACGTTGCCGACGTTTGTGGATGTTGGTAGCAGCTTCTCGGGGACGGCTATTGAGGAGGATAATTTGTTGATGCAGTTCAAGGATGCGGGCAAGCGGGTGGTGCATTTGGGGGATGATACGTGGGAAGCATTGTTCCCGGGGTATTTCGAGGGCAATTTGAGCCGGGCGTACGACAGCTTCAACGTTTGGGACTTGCACACGGTGGATAACGGGGTAATTGAACATATCCTGCCGTTGATGGACAAGAAAAACGACTGGGACGTTGCCATTGGACACTGTCTTGGGGTTGACCACGCCGGGCACCGGTATGGGCCCAACCACCCGGAGATGACCAAGAAGCTGCGGCAGATGGACGGGTTCATCCGGGACCTGGCGGCCACCATCGACGACGATACGGTGCTGGTCGTGATGGGGGATCACGGCATGGACAGCAAGGGTGACCACGGCGGCGAGAGCGAGGACGAAGTTGAGGCTGCGCTGTGGATGTACTCCCCCAAGGGCATCTTTGGGAGGACGAAGCCGGAATACGCGACGCCCCCGACCACCGCCAAGGCCCGCCCTGTCAACCAGATCGACCTCGTCCCAACCCTGGCTTTGCTGATGGGCATTCCTATTCCTTTCAACAACCTGGGCCGGCCAATCGAGGAGGCCTTCGCTGGCCCCAAGGGTGATGCGTGGCTGAATCTCGCCGCGGCAGAGAGAACGACGGCGGCTGGTATCAAGCGTTACCAGACAGCGTATTTCGCCGCTCGAGGGATCGAACAGTCTCCTGAGTCCGGTTCGCCCAGCCAACTGTGGGATCTGGCTGAAAGTCTTGTTGCCGCTGGCAAGCAGTCTGACTGGGCGGCTATCTTTTCGGCCTTTGCTGCGTACCAAGAGGCCAATCTACAGAAATGCAAGAGCCTGTGGGCGAGGTTTGATCTCAAGAACATGATGATAGGCATCGGCATCATGGCGCTCGGGGTCGTCGCGCTACTTGTGTACATCGCACAGGGAGACGATGACGACGCCATTGAGGACGAGGAACTCGATATCGCCGAGAAGAGCTTGGAGCTTCAGGGTATCAAGCCCGATTCGCAGGGTGTTCCCACTGACACGCTTGAGAAGCGGCTCATCGGCGCTGCTGCGCTCGGTGCTCTACCCGGCTTTATCGGCGGTGTCGTCTCGTCGTTGGTCTCGGGGGCTGGTGATTGGTACCGCGGATCAGGTATCGCCGCGTTGACGAGCATTGCTGCTGTTCTAATCTCCATGTTTGAAGTCCAGGAGACGCTCGCCAAGCTGGTCCCCAGCACGGTCTGGGGGTGGATGGCCGTGGTCTTTACCGTCAGTCAGTCCGTCGGCTTCGCCTCCAACTCGTACACCATCTGGGAGGACTCCATCCTCCTCTTCTTCGTCACTACTTTCGGTTTCGTCAGCGCCCTATCCGCCCTCCGGATCCCTTCCCGCGCCGACCGCTACCTGGCCATCTACCATTCCGTGGTATTCGCCCTTCTTGGCCGTGTCGCGTCCTTCTCCAAACTCTGCCGCGAAGAGCAGATGCCATACTGCACCTCGACCTACTACGCCTCAGCCACCTCCTCCACCTCCGCTCCCTGGCAGCTCATCATCCCTTTCCTCGTCTCCCTCATCCTCCCCTCCATCATCAAAGCCTACCTCCAACCGACCCGCTCCTACGAAGGCCTCGCCCCAGCTTGGATCGGCGTCGTCCTCCGCGCGGTGCTCGCCCTAGCCGCCGTGTACTGGGTCCTCGACGCAGCCGACAACGGCAACTGGCTGCCCAGCCTCCCGGACAAGACCCTCAAAAACATCAGCGTCTACCTCGCCCAAACCATCCTCGGCCTCACCCTCGTCGCCGGCACCACCGCCTTCGTATGGGCACCCCCCTGCGTCTCCATCACCACCTCCGCCTCCCCCACCCAACCCAACCGCGCCCAAGTCGCCATCATAGGCTACGCCAACGCTCACGGCGCCCGCTACCTCCTCCTCCCCATCAACCTCTTCGCCGCCTGCATCCTCCTCTCCAAGCCCATGGGCGGCGGCTCGTTGGCACTCATGGCCTGGCAAATCCTCGCCCTCCTCGAGATCCTCGACCTTCACAACCTTTCGTCTACTTCCTCCCCCATCGGCCCCATCATGCTCGCCATCCTCGGCACCTTCCACTTCTTCAAAACCGGCCACCAAGCCGCCCTCAGCTCCATCCAATGGGACGCCGCCTTCATCCCGCTCTTCACCATCCGCTACCCCTGGAGTCCCCTCGCCGTAACCCTCAACACCTTCGCCGGCCAGATCCTGGCCACCGCCTGCGTGCCCTTATTAGCACTCTGGAAATCCGGCCCTCGCCGTCGGGGCCGTCTCGAGGCCGTCAGTCGACGCGCCCTGGCGGTGTTTGTGGCGTATTTTGCTGTTGAGAGTTTGGCGACCATGGCGTGGGCGGGGCATCTGCGCCGGCATTTGATGTTGTATCGTGTGTTTAGCCCGCGGTTTATGATGGCTGGGGTGGTGTTGTTGGTGGTGGATTTGGCTGGGTTGGTGGTGGCGTTGACGGGGGTGCGGTGTAATACGATGGCGATTGGGGAGGTTTTTGGGTGGGCGGAGTGAATTGGGGGATATTTATTGCTTGAAGCATAGGGCGGAGCGAGTGTAGATAATTACTTTTCTTATTAAAACCTCAACTGGGTTCCCTTTGCGACTATAATGTTTCCACACCTTCTCGTTTTTGTAGTGAGGAACCATTCCGTGTTTACGACTGTTTTGCGAGAGTTCTCGGGTGACAAGATAGATGCATATCAGAGCGGCACTTTGTATGTAAATACATACGTAATCTCTATCCGCTTACTGCCGATTGAAGTCTTGACAACTGCTCTCTATTATCTTACCATGCCCCTAGTAGTCGAAGGACTAAGTTACAGCAATATAGTCTTTGCTGAGCAAGCCAAACAAACCATATATTTAGACCTGCGAATTTCCGGTCTTGATATTAGAACGACAACACACAAAACACAACACAATCAATCACATTATTAATCACCAAGTCGGAATATTGTTGGGGCACCATGTATTCTGTTCTGCGACATGGTCCTGAGGGGTATCAACCCAAGCCAGTCTGGACGACTTCACACGCGCGCTGCTTGGTGAAGGCAGACCGTTCCGAGGCACGAACACTCCTTGTTGAAGAAGCGAGTCACAGCCGCTTTGCCAACCCATCCCGAAGCCGTTTCCCCAGAAATCAACACCTGACCGTACCCTTTCCCGTTTCCTTTGAATGAACCGATCCTGTTTCCCCACCTGTAACCGCAAAAACGCCGAGTTGAATATGGCGACCCTCCCATGTAATGCTAATGCAATGTTGAATCCGGATTTTTTCCTTGACCACCAACGCCGAGTTGAGAATGGCGCTCAGGGGTATCATCTATCGTTACCCATTTTATAACCCGCTAGAAGAACCCCCCAATAATATGCTAATGCTGTTGAAAAAAAATCCGGAAAAGCATCGGGCACCATCGATCGATGATGCCTGGTGAGATGTGGTGAGGCGTTTAGGCCTTGGAGTACTGCTCACGGAATTCCTTGGCAGCGTGGACCAGGTGGGTGAGGGCACCCTTGACCTCATCCCACTTGCGGGTCTTGAGACCGCAGTCGGGGTTGATCCAGAGCTGCTCGGGGCGGACTGTTTCTCTTCGTTAGTCGAGACCCTTTACTTTGCCGTCAAGTGAACGACAGTGCTACTTACGGAACTCGAGCATCTCCTGGATGCGCTGCCTGAACTCAGCCTCAGGGGGAACACGAGGGCTGTGGATGTCGTAGACACCGGGGCCGATGTGGCGGGGGTAGTCCTCGTCGATGAAGACCTTGAGGAGCTTGGCGTCCGACTTGGAGTTCTCAATGGAGAGGACATCGGCATCGAGGGCAGCGATGGCTGTGCGTCAAGTTAGTTGAGTGAACCTTCACATGCTGTGCTGGGGAATAAAGCTTACCGTGGAAGAAGTCCTGGAACTCGGAGTAGCAGAAGTGAGAGTGGATCTGGGTCGAGTCCTCAACACCGGCGGTGGCCAGCTTGAAGCTGTTGACGGCCCACTGGAGGTAGGCATCACGCTCGGAGCCCTTGCGCAGAGGGAGACCCTCCTATTAGAGTTGTTAGCGTCTGTACTGGCTTCTTCACTGGCTGCTAGTGCGAGCCCGGGATGGACTAGAAACTTACACGAAGAGCGGGTTCATCGACCTGGATGACGAAGATGCCGTTCTTCTCAAGGTCGACGACCTCATCACGGAGAGCCAGAGCGAGCTGCTGGCACTGGACGGACTGGTGGACGTCGACACGGGGGAAAGACCACCGCAGGCAGGTGACCGGGCCAGTAAGCATGCCCTTCATGGGCTTCTTGGAGACCGAGGCGGCGTACTTGCTCTCCTTGACGGTCATGGGAGCGGGACGAGAGATGTCACCGACAATGATGGGGGGACGGACGCAACGCGAGCCGTACGACTGGACCCACGCGTGGGTGGTGAAGACGTAGCCCTGGAGGCGCTCACCGAAGTACTGCACCATGTCGTTACGCTCAGGCTCACCGTGGACGTACACATCCAGGCCGAGCTCATCCTGGATCTGGATGGCGAGGTCGATCTCCTTCTTGATGAAGTCATCGTACTCCGCCTCGGTGATCTCACCCTTGGTGAACTTGTTACGCTGGACACGAATCTCGCTGGTCTGGGGGAACGAGCCGATGGTGGTGGTGGGGAAGAGGGGGAGGTTGAGGTGCTTCTTCTGCTGGGCGTACCGGTTGTCGAAGCCGGTCTTGCGGTTGTGCTGCTCCTCAGTGACCTGGGACTGGCGCTCCTTGACCTTGGGGTCGTTGGTGCGGGTGGACTGGGCGTGCGCCTTAATAGAGGCGGCGTTGGCCTCGAGCTCAGCCTTGACGGCCTCAGGGTTGGTCACAGCCTTGGCCAGGATAGCAACCTCCTTAACCTTCTCGCTGGCGAAGGAGAACCACTCGTACACGTCCTCGGGGAGCTTCTTCTCGCTGGCGAGGGTGTGGGGAGTGTGCAGGAGGGAGCTGGAGGTGGCAACAATGACACGCTCAGGGCCGAGGGCCTTGACGGCGGTCTGGAGAAGGGCGAGCGACTTGGAGAAGTCGTTCTTCCAGATGTTACGGCCGTCAACGACACCGGCAGAGAGGATCTGGTTGGCACCGAGCTGCTTGATCACAGGCTCGAGCTGCTCGGGGTTGCGGACAAGGTCGACGTGGAGACCCTGGACGCCGCTGAAAGCGGGGATCACGTCAAAGTTGTGGACGATGTCACCGAAGTAGGTGGCGACGACGATCGAGGGGATCGCACTGCCAGCAGCGACGATGGCCTCGTAGGCGGGCTTGAAAGCAGCCTTGACCTCGGGGGCAAGATCGAAGACGAGGACAGGCTCGTCGATCTGGACGCTCTCGGCGCCAGCGGCCTTGAGGGCCTTCAGGAGCTCGACGTACACGGGCACGAGCTTGCTGATGAGGGAGATGGGGTTCACAGAGGAGCCACGGTCAGCCTTGCCAAGGGCGAGGAACGAGACGGGGCCGACGAGGACGGGACGGGTCTGGATGCCAGCCGCCTTGGCCTCGAGGAACTCGCGCACGGGCTTGGGGTCCTGGGCCAGGCTGAAGGTCTGGTTGTCCTGGAGGGTAGGCTTGACATAGTGGTAGTTGGAGTCGAACCACTTGACCATCTCCAGGGCGGGGACGTCCACACCGCCCTTCTGGTGGCCACGGCCAAGGGCAAAGTACTCGTCGAGCGGGGACAGCTTCTGCGAGGTGTAGCGTTCCGGGACAGCCTAAAACGGAGGGCGTTTGTTAGTCAACAGACTTCCCCACCAGAGATACTACAGGTTCGGAAGCGACGACTTACGTTGAACAGCTGGATGTGGTCAAGGACGTGGTCGTAGAACGCAAAGTCGTTGGAGGGAATGATGTCAACACCGGCGTCCTTCTGGATCTTCCAGTGGGCAAGACGAAGCCTCTTGCCCTCGGCGAGGAGGTCGTCTTGCGAGATCTTGCCAGCCCAGTAGGCCTCGTTCGCCTTCTTGAGGTCCCGAAGGACACCCATGCGGCTGGAAAAGTACGAGTCAGTGCCATTGTCGAATTTAAGAACCTGTTCAATTGAAGTTAAGGGACTTACGGGAAACCCAAAACGGATGACTGAACCATTTTGAAGGGTCTATGGGGTACCAAGGGTCTGATGCGGGGCAGCAGTGTGAATGGAAATCCTCTTCCTGTGCCTACCTCAAGCTCGGAAGGAGAGATTGAGGATGAAGGAAGATAAAAGCTGATGAGGAGAGTAAGGAAGAAAAAAAAGAGGAGAGAAAGAGAGAGGGAGGAAGGAGCAAGATGAGGGGCAGGAGGGGAGAATTTGACCGGTCGAGGGGATGGCGCACGAAGCTGCTGTCGTGGGGCCGCAATCGGTGGGGGGCTCCACCGCAACTTTTCGGAGCCCGACCGCCTTGGGAAGGAACCGAAAAGCCAATGCCTCGACGGGTCGAATTCTCCCATGTTCACCAAAGCGGTGGAGTAAGCAGGCGTGAATCTCCCAGGGGTTTTGGGCCGATTTGGGTTTACCAGACCTCACGTCCAAAGCTTGTGCTGTGGCCCGAATATGTTAGCCGCACCATGTCACTCGGCCGGCGAGTTTTGCGGCTAATTTGACTTTAAACGTCCCGCCGAGGTACCCTAGCTCCGATAGCAACGCTATCTCTGGTGCAGATGGTGTGACGGAGAACTGAGTCGGCCGGTTTTTTCCTGCACCACTCAGAGGGGAGAGGAACTCCGGGGACCGGGATTCCACCACTTCGTCTTAGGTGATGCACTGCAGGGCGGGGTGTCTCGATGCGACCTGGCCGACAACGCTCCGGACCACAGTTTTTTCTGTTGTCAGCAGAATTGTCACAGTCTCACCCCCGGTCTCTCTAGATTCCCCTGAAGCTTAGTAGGACAAATAGCTGCACCTCCTGCAAGACTCCTCGTGTCGTTTACTCATTAATTGGGCTTTGGCCCCACGGAGGGGTTGGAGACCCAGCCATAACTGGCTCGGCCACAACTGGCTCGAAGTCCTCTAGGATCAAAATTTACATTGAGGCGGGGATATGGTTGACCAGACGAGAGGCTGGGCCCCATGTGCCCCGCTAAAGTAGGTTATTTGAGACGAGATGAGGTGAGGGGGTGGAAACACGTGCGCGTTGGGCAGACAGAGACTTGAGCCTCAGGCGTGAAGGTGTGCAGACTCGCTTAAGACAATATGCATTTTGTGGGGCTTCACTGTCGACCAAGTAGAAGCATGGCGCGCATGGCTCATGCTTCATGCAGCTATCCACAGCACTATCCGGAGTTATGCTTCGATTCATGCAACAGCCCAACCAAGGCAGATTGCAGGCCCTTGTTTCCAATCGCCGACTGGGCACCTCGCAAGCTCTCCAGCCTCGCACAGGCCTCGTCATCACCGTTGTGAGCTCCAAGGGTTGGAGTCTGTCGCCGTTTCTTGAATTCTTGGGGTTGTAAACAGTTGAAGGAACAATCCGTCTTTCCTTACATCCCCTTTCACGCGGCTTACGCCACATTTTTCGAAGCTACACCAGATCGGTCGCGCTGCGTCGAAGACTCCGCTCGTGCGATCATCCCCCTTTTCCAACACAGACCGTTTCGACCAGCCGAGCTCGACGACCCCGACGCCATGTACTCGAATCCGAACAACTTTCTCGGCGGCAACAGCACGCGCCCCGGCGCTCCGCAATATGGGGCCCCGTTCGGTGCTGGTGGTGCTGGGCAGCCGCAACAACAGCAACAACAACAGCAGCCGGGACCGTTCGCCCCGCAGCCGACCGGCTATGCTCAGGCACCGCTCCAGCAGCAGTATACGGGATATCCGGGCTTGCAGCCGCCGCAAGGCCCGGGGCAGCTACAGCCACAGTACACCGGCTTTGGTCAGACTCCGCAGCAGAGCATGCCCACCGGTGTCCCCCCAATGCCGGCTATCCCCCAGCAGTTCCAACAGCAGTTCCAACAACAGCAGCAACAGCAGCCTCAACAACTTCCCCAGCAGCAACAAAATGCTTTTCCGGCGGTTCCTCCCCAGCCCACGGCCCAGACGCTGGCTCCTCCTCCACCGCCCGTCAAGCCGCAGGCTACTGGCTTTACCGAGATGGCTGCTTCGTTTCACACCGCTGGGGCCGCAAAGCCTCAACCCAGCGCTGCCCCGCGGCAAGCAAACACCGTGCCCAACATTCGCCTCTCATTCATCACCGCCCAGGACCAGACCAAGTTCGAGACACTTTTCAAGTCTGCGGTGGGCGACGGCCAGAGCACCATGTCTGGGGAGAAGGCGAGGGACTTGTTGCTCCGATCTAGGCTAGATGGAGATTCGCTGTCGCATATCTGGTAAGTAATAGGGCGGTCGAGTGGCTAATCCGGCCTTTCTTACCGTGACAGCCGCTGACCTTTTTCAGGACACTTGCAGATACTACCAGGTCCGGCCAGCTACACTTTCCCGAGTTCGCACTAGCCATGTATCTTTGCAACTTGAAGTTGACTGGGAAGATACTCCCCTCTGCGCTACCCGACAACATCAAGAACGAGGTCTCGAGCATGGTAGACATTATCAACTTCAGCATTGCAGAGGAGTCGGGGGCGACCTCTGCCACGTCCACGAATGCGCCTGAGTTTGGCGTGCGGCAAAACACGGCTACACCCCCTGTTATCCAACACCCTCAGCCGCAACCGTCCAACTCGCAATTGCTTCAGACTCAGATGACTGGCTTCCCTTCCCAGCAGACCGGTTTTCTGGGCCAAGGTCTCCAAGCACAGCAGACAGGGATGCCGCAGGCGACTGGCTACACCGGCCCGAGACCCCCCATGCCGCCGATGCCAACGGGCTATGGCTCTTCGCTTTCACCTAACGTTGGCCCTGGCGGGGTCCCTGCGCCGCTGAACGCTCAGCCCACGGGCCGGCCCGGACAGTGGGGCCTTGTCAACACGCCCGCAACTGGCCTTCCGAATATTGATTTGCTGCAGGCACGCATGATGCCTCAGCAAGGGCGCGAGCAGCAGGACTACACCACGGCAGGGCTTCAAGGGAATGCCGTGATTCCCTGGGCCATTACCAAGGATGAGAAGACGAGGTATGACGCCTTGTTCCGCGCCTGGGACGGGCTGAACAAGGGCTACATTGGCGGCGACCAAGCCATCGAGATCTTTGGACAGAGTGGGTTGGAGAAGCCCGACCTAGAACGGGTCTGGACCCTTGCGGATAACGGCAACAAGGGTCGCCTGGACCTGGATGAGTTTGCGGTGGCCATGCACTTGATCTACCGCAAGCTCAACGGCTATCCCATCCCGAACACCCTTCCTGCTGAACTAGTGCCTCCTTCCACCCGGAACTTCAGCGAGTCGCTCGGCACCATCAAAAACATGCTTCACAAGGAATCGGACTTCCGCAAGAACTCTGGCGCGGCCCTGCTACCCCAGAAGACCGGCGTCAGCTATCTGAAGAACCACTCGTTCAAGGGCGCCGGGAGCAACTCTGGGAACCGCAAAGACGCCACTGTCTTCAAAAATAATGATGATGCAGTGGGCTACCGTTCGAGTGCCCGGCGCAGGATGGGGAACTCATCGCCCCGTCCGGATTCTCCGGCTTCCGTCGGCTCCAACGAGGAACTGAGCTTGGATCAGCTGCGGAAGAAGATCAAGGAGAGGCAGGTTCTTCTGGACGCGATGGACTTTGCTGATGAGAAAAACATTGAGGAAGACGATCTGCTCGACAGACGCGACCGCCGCGAAGCTGACGAGCTCTACCGTCGCATCAGGAGGATCCAGGAGGATATCGACAACCACCCGGACTCCGCTTTGGTCAGTGGTGACTCGGAGGCCGAGAGGCGGTCCCTAAAGCGTCAGCTGCAGAACTTGACCGACAAGATCCCAGAACTGGCGTCGCAGGTCAGGAGGACGGAGAAGGCGATTTCCGACGCGAGATTGGAGCTGTTCCGCCTGAAGGACGCCAAGGCGCACCCGGGCACTGCGGCCGCCATCATCGGGACAGGCCCCGGCGGTGCCATCACCGAGTCCGACAGACTCAAGGCGCGTGCTAAGGCCATGATGCAGCAGCGGACTGCGGCGTTGACTGGCAAGAAGATTGATGTGAGCGGCGACCAAGATGCGGAGAAGCGGCTGGAAGAGGAGAGCATCAAGGCCCGGACCGAGAAGGAGAACAACGAGCGGATGGTCCGGGATGTCGAGGATAGCGTTCGCGACTTCGCCAAGGGCATCGAGGACAACCTCAAGGAGGGTGGTCAGGACTCCACGACGGAACATGAGAAGCGCCGCTGGGACGACGCTCTCGGCGTGGAAGACGAGGTCCGCGACTTCATTTACGATCTTCAGCGGTCGAGCCGGGCTACCCGTATCCGGACCCAAGATCGCCAGGGCGGACGTCAGGCCGAGCAGGAACCCGTCAGGTCCGAGGCTCCCCCGGCCGCCCGCGTCGAAAGCCCGGCTACTGTCTCGCGCACAGCCTCGCCGGCCACTGCTGCAGCTTCGGGCGGGTCTTATTCCTCGTACAAGACTCCCGAGGAGAGGGCTGCGTTCATCAAGCAGCAGGCTGAGCAGCGCATGGCCGAGCGGCTTGCAGCCCTCGGCATCAAGGCGCCCACCAAGCCTGGTGAAACCGCAGCTCAGCGAGCCGAGCGTGAACGGGCCGAACGCGCTGCGAAACTGCAGCAGGCCGAGGAGGAAGATGCTCGTCGCGAGAACGAGAGACAGGCCAGGTTGGCCGAGGAGCAGGGTGTTCCACCGCCCGCTGCTACTGCCCAGGCTGCTGCTAAGACTGAGACTAAGAAGCCTCCCCCACCCCCTAGCCGCAAGGCTGGTAAGGCGGACGACCGGCGTGCCGAGGAAGAGTCTTCTGCGAAGAAGGCGGAGGAGGAACGGTTGGAACAGGAGCGGGAGGAGCAGCAGCGCGCCACTCAGGAACTTGAGTAAGTTGACCCTCACACCACGCACAATTATTCTTTTTTGAACAATAAAAAACACACAAGAAACAAAAATAGTTGCTAACAAACGGCCTAGATCCCAGGCTAGGGTTCAAGAGGACGAGCTAGCTAGGGAGCGTGAGGAAGCTGACGCTCGTCTCAAGGCGTTAGAAGAACAGGTCCGCCAGGGGAAGCTGAAGAAGGAGGAAGAGAAGCGCAGGAAGAAGGCAGCACAGGCCGAGGCGAAGGAGAAGGAGTCCCAGCTGGCGCAGCGGAGAGCCGAGATCGAGGCGGCCCGTAAGCGCGAGGAAGAACTCCGTAAGCAGCTCGAGGCCATGGACGATGACAGCTCGTCGTCGGATGACGAAGGCCCGGAACAAATCACGCCGCAAGCGTCGACGCCGACGACGGGTGACAGCCAGAACGTGGCCCGCGAGCTAGAGCGCCAGCCCACTCCTCCGCCCGCTCCCGTGGCGTCTCCCCCGCAAATCGTCACTTCCAGCCCCTCGGCGGACCAAGAGAGCCGCAACCCCTACTTCAGGATGATGTCGCACTCCTCGGACGCTCCGCCCGCCCCAGCCGGACCCCCGGCACCTCCTGCACCTGCACCTGCACCTGCACCTCCGACCGCACCCCCGGCCCCGCCTCAGCCCGACGTATCAACTAACCCATTCCACCGCATGACCCAGCCCGCGGCCCCCGCGGCACCTTCCATTCCCACCACGAGGCGGCGCCCCGACGACGACGATGGCTGGGGGTCAGACAAGGAGGAAGAAGAGGAAGAAGACTCCGACGACGACAGGCCGGGCGGCAAGAGCGCTGCCCACTTGGCCTCCATCCTCTTCGGCACCATGGCACCCCCGCGCCCGTTGTCCGCTGCCGGCGACAAATCCGCGACATCCCCTTCCCCAGCCGCCAACTCACCTGTTGCTCCTCCACCCCCGGCCCCGCCTGTCCCATCAGCTTCTCCCCCGGCCGCGGCTCCGCCCCCGCCTCCTCCGATGCCAGGCTCCTTCCCTACCACTAGCCCCGGCCCCAGCGGTTCAGGTGCCCCGCCGCCGCCTCCTCCTCCTCCTCCTCCTCCTCCCCCGGGTGGTGCACCATCTGCCCCTCCTCCGCCGCCGCCGCCTATTCCCGGCATGGCTCCCCCCCCTCCGCCTCCTCCTCCGCCTGCGGGCGGCGCACCGGCTGCACCGTCGGGCGGTGGTCGACCCGCTGCATTCTTGGGTGAGATTCAAGCGGGCAGGGCGCTTAAGAAGACTACGACACGGGATAAGAGTGGGGCGGCTGTTGCGGGGAGGGTGCTGGATTGAGGTGTGTCATTTACATGTTCTACGTATTTTGCGTATGGCATTGGGTCGCACTACCTATCTACCTACCGAAGCGCGCGCCTAGGTGGGTGTGGGTCAGAGAGTTGGGGGTTGGTTGAATCTTGGTCATTGCTTGTGGCTGCTGCTGTTGCGTACCGGGAGTCGGGCGGGTGGTTGCGTCACGCGGTCCTTTGTGGGCAAGGGACGTAACACAGTTTCTGTAGGTGGGAGGCTGGGGGGAAACGGGAGATAATAGATGGTATTTTCGTTGAGGGGTAGTTGGGGGGTTAATACGTAGGGCGGGTAGTCAGTAGGGCTTCGGCTGGTGAGGTAGAAAGAGGGCTAGGTTAGGTTAGGTTAGGTATGTCTTTGTCGACGTTGACTAGGCTTACTACTCGACCACACGACCTGGGCTTGCTCCCCTTCCTTGACTAGTTGTGCTTTCTAGTCCAAACTAGGCTCATTTTCAGTTCTGTATTTACTTTGTCCTTTCCCTTCTCTCTTGTCTCTATTCCCCTCTTCGATCCATGTATCGGGTAGGAAAGTCAAAAAGGAGCATGTTACTGTGGCCTTTTTTCTCTCAGCTGAGCATAGCCAAATATAACCGTTGAGAATTTATAGCACTCGAGGAGTCCCAACCCTAGGCAATGTGTAGTACCTGTAAAAGTCCTCAAGTAAATAGCCTAGGGACCCACGGCACAGGGCACACCTTTCACCACATAGTAGATTAGGGCAACACAAAAAGAGCGCGTTAAGTGTGAGTGGATAGTTATGCAGTGGGTGAGTGCCACGAATCGGTACGAATCCGTTGTGGGATGGATGTGGTGGATCGAAGGCGATCGATCGGGCAGGCTGTGGGTTTTCGTTGTGTGTGGGGTGTGAACTGCACTACAACAACAGCAAGAGGGCGCTTAGAGATGAGACATGCAGTAGGGACTAGAGTCTAGCGCAGAGATCGGCTGGGGAGATCTGAGGTTGTGTGTGTATGTCTTCTCTCTTGTATTACACCTTGGAATAACTGGCTGGCTGGGTGGTTGAGTTTAGGACATGGGTAAGCAAGTGAATATATGTCAGGGCCGTTGAGCACATGAGATGAACGAGGGATTGTAAGCTTGATTATCCAACTCAAAAAAGCCCTGAGCAGCTAGCTGGGTTGAATAAACTCTACCCTTGTGATCCTGGGCAGCAGGGTTGGGTGCATGTGAACTGAGTACCACAAGCGATCTATACTATACACCTCTGAGACAAGGCCTTACACAAGGCGGTTACTTAACTCGTCTTTCCGGACATTTAAACGACCAAACGGTAGACGCGCCGATAGGAATGCTTTCGTTTATACAATTCTCAAGACTTACACTAGTCTTTTGTTGCCCATCCGGCATGGCCATCGTTGTAGACCGAATCGAATCCATCCACATACTCGGCCGTTTCTCCTAATTACCCCGTCGGTCCCGAAACGATCTGACACAGGTTACCTGCACGAGAGGAGGGAGATCGCGGGTTGTGAGTTTGAGATGCCGGGTAAGTGCTGTCTTGGCTGGCACAACTCCTAACTACCTTAACCTGGAAAATTGGCTTGCAACAACCCAGCCACCGTGCGACCGACACAACCCGCTCTCTGGGAGGGGACAACGTGAGCAAAGTTGAAGCAAAGTACTTACGGTGGATGGGAGCAAGGGTAAGCCTAGAACTGCGATCACGGAATTCGGACAATGCCTTGGCAGTGAACTACACACACATTCCTCACGGACGGGTTCACGTGTGTCCGCGTCAGCCGGCCGACTTGTGATCTTGGGACGGGGCCGCGTTTTTTCTCCCCCCCCCGAAAAACGGTCCGACGCTCGCCCGCCCGCGGTCAAAACGGCCCGTCACGGGGTTTGTGGACGGGGACGTGCAGTGCAGGTGGCCGGCCGTTTTCTCTGTGCGAGAAGCCGAGACCGCGCAGCAGGTCCCTGCCGGTTTTTTTTTGGTTTTTTTCAACTTCCAAAGATTCACGGCACCCTTGGTGGTGCAGTGCAGTCCACGGTCCGGTGGGTGCTCGGTCCTCGGCAATCGCGGAGAGGTGGAGATTCTGGAACCTCGTGTGGGTTTCATTCTGCGCGGAAAGCCCTGCAGGCTGCTGCAGCCCTAGAACAAGCCGAGCGAGCTGGAGAAGCATTGGAAGTCTGGAGCCTTGAAGGAGTCAAAATGAGATCCCAATGCACCCTCGCTGCCGTTGCTGCGTTCGGTAAATTCGGTTGAATGGATATTTGCTAGTTTGTCGTGGGGTAGAAGTCTGGGCAACCTCGTGAAACACGCTTAAATCAGCGTTTGCCCGTTTCGTGTTCAACGAGAGAAATAACCGTTGGGCGAGCTTCGAAAACAGCTTTACTTCTCGGCGTTTTGCTGGTTCGTGGCTTGCGGTCCGTCTCATCCAGATGAGGGATGCACAACCCTGTCTGTGTGCTTGCGGCGAGGGTCATCCGGATCCATAATTTGTTGCTGTGAGATGGAGGCTCAGGCACTTGGGAGTCAAGCTAATTTTAAGGGTGCCGGAATGTTGCCCGACTTCCCTTTCGTTTTGTTGGTATTCTGGTGGACGCTTGACACTGAATTGGAGCTCGGCTTGTTCAAAGGCGAATCGAGGAAAAAAGGGCGGAGGAGCTTTCAATTCCGATCCTCGTGTAAGTTGGTGTAAACCTGGAATCGAGGGAGAGATGAGAGAAGAGCCTTGAACCCTGCTCCTCCGTCCCCGGAATGAGCCGAGGAATGTAGTGTACTTCGGAGAAGGAGAACACGCCATCCGGCGTCGTTCAATCTCGAGCAAGAAGGAAATCGAGGGTATTAGAAAGTTCGAGACAAGTCAAAATTCTGAGACTTAGGCGCTCCGGAGGAACTTTTGACTGGGGACTCTGAGTTGTGAACTGTCTCTTGAGATTCTATAATTCTGCGATTCTGCTCTGCGGTCTCAAGCCCTCGATCGATCACCCAAGTGCATATGTGGGGCATTATGGGCAACGGGTTAGCAAGGGAGCCAATGATGTCACTCGCCGATCGTTGCGAGCTTCACACCCCGGGCCATGCTCGAACAAGGCAGATCGTACATCCACGTCCACGTGTATATGAGCTCATGTTATGGCCGAGCGGAGAGGCCGCGAACTGAACTGGTTTTCGTTTCCGATACAATCCAGAATGTTGCGCGATATGTACGGAGGAGGCAGTCAAGGCAGTCTTGGTGGTCTGTTTGTTTGGAGTGATGATGGATGGGCGTAATGGTGGCGATCCGATAGAGGGTCGTTGTGTCTCCAGCAGCCTGCAGCACCAGTGTGGCTGAGACGCCCGCAACAGGTCCTCCCTTCACGGCAGGAGCAAAGCCTGAGGCAGCTTCCATGCAGCAGCACAGCAGGCCCAAGCTCTCGGCCTCGAAACTGGAAACCCCGCGAGCTCTCGACTCATTTGCGCACGCGTGATTGGCCCGTCGGACCTGGACGCGCGACCGAGACGCGAAACTTCGCGTTAAGTGGACCCTCCGGATAAACAATGCATGCCACTGCAGCATCTCGTTGGCCATGAGCCTTGTCGAGCTGGGGGCCAAGCGTCACATCCATCGCGCCAGAGCCAACCAAGCATTGCCCGTCCAATCTTTCCTGAACGTGCGACCTCTCCGGGCCGCCCATCTTTTGGCCGTGTCGGTTCTCGAGGAGGTTTTCTCGCAAGGAAACTCCTTTGGCTTCCTCTCAGCAGGCCAGACCTCGGACGCCGTCAAGAACTCTGCACTGCTTGTCGTGGAGATCATCTGGTGTGAGACGACTGGCCAATTCCGCGGCCCAAGCTGTCTGCCATCGCGCAACCATTTACGCTGCATTGCATCCAACCATTCACCTCATGTCATCTTGAACCCACATGCCCTCGAGATACCCAAGGCCCCATCTGGGCTTCCAACGACTTCGTACACTTCGTACACTACATAGTACAGTACTGCAGACCATTGAGGTCTTGATCAAGCCTTCTCGCTCTCGGGCGAACGTATACATGGTCGCTTGACCTTTTGAATTTTTGCCTTTCTTTCCTAACCTTGGTCTGAGGCGACGTCGCCCATCTCCTCCAAGGCCAACGTTTCGGCGAGAAGTCTGGAAGACGGGAGTTGTGGCCGAGCCTTCGAGGTCCTCCTCTGCCCCGAACACCCCTGCTCCAAGCCCACTCCACCTTCTAAATCCCTGTCAGCGGTCAGGCCCTGGTCCAATCCGGCCCCGTGCTGTCCACTCCCTGCCTGCTTTCCGCCCCACTGAGCGACCTTCTTGGAACAAGCGTGTGAGCTGGCAGCGGGAGTTCATCTTTCGCTGCTGCACGCCCACAACCCTTTCTGCCAACCAAACCCTCTTCTTCGTCTCACTCCCTCCCACCTCCCACATCGGCCGACCTCCCACGTCAGCCCAACAACTTCCTTCCCGCCCAGGTTTTCTTTCCCTGCCGAAAATTTTGAGACGAACCTTCAACACCAGCCGAACACTCTCGCGACCGAACCGACAATTGTTGCATTGCTCAGCGAGTATCTTGCCAATTGCACCCTGTACATTTACGGATACCCTTCGCGCGTTTTCACCTTCGACCGATTTCCGATAACGTCTTGGCCCCCCCCCCTCGACTTACATACAACCAACGTTTCACCCCTTGCTTCACCGCTTTCCCCCACAACCACCTCGTGAGATCAGTCACCATCTCGATCAGAGGTCGAAACCAGCACCGGCGATACTGGTACACCCGGCTTTTGGCGACATATCGCGACGACGAAGCCGGCTTGCACACACTTCTCTGGCCCGCGTTAGCCGCCGCAGTCCAGACCCGACCTGGTTGGCGCCTAACGGAGATCGAACAACCACCTCCCCCGCACCCGTCTCGGTGCGCGCCCGCGCGCAAAAACTCGGCCACCGATGGCCAGGCCATCTTCTTCACAGGCTGAAGAGCCTTTCCCGATTTTCCACGATGAGTACTTCGGACAACCAGCCGCAGACCTGGTCCCGCATACCCCGATCGCCGCGGCCCCGAAACCCGCGCGTCAGCCCCTCCAGAGCACAGATAACAACGTCGTTCTCAACCCACCCGCAATGACATCGACTCCGGCGACGAAACGCTCACCCTACAAGTCCAGCAGGCGGCCTTCCAATGCACCGCTCGCCGCCCTGAACACCTCGCAAGGTAGCAAACTCAACGCAGGGCCGATGATACCGCCGGGCAACGCACCACCGTCAACGGATTCGCTCGAGAAGAAACAACCCATCATGTCGCGTTTTAAACCCGTAGCGAAAAAGCCTCAACACCCCGAGTTTGGCATGCAGTTTATGGGCAAGGAAAATGCGCATCCCCCGATTTACCCCGCCCCGGGCCCGTCGCAGTTTAACCTCGATTTGGAGAACTTTTACCACCAGAAACCGTCCGGAAAACGCGTTTTGATGGAGGCCGCGCCCATCAAGGAACTCCGCCCGGCGAAGAAGATAAAAGTCGAGGACGACCTGCCTCCGCACGATTCATTTTCGCCCATCGTTGACGACGGTACGAAACCGAACCACAGCTATGCCACTCTGATCGCCATGGCCATCGTCCGGTCGCCTCAGCGCAAATTGACCCTGTCCCAAATCTACAAATGGATATCCGACACATACTCCTACTACCGCGGAGACAACACCGGCTGGCAGAACAGCATCCGCCACAACCTCAGCCTCAACAAGAGTTTTGTCAAGCAGGAGCGGCCCAAGGACGATCCGGGAAAGGGGAGCTATTGGTTGATTGAGCCGGGCACCGAGCACACGGTGCTCAAGGAGAAGCCGTCGCGGAAGTCAACCATATGCACGGGCGAGAATATGCCGGTCATGTCCACGCGGCTCGAGCCGTCCCTCCCGCAACAACACCAGCTCCCGCAGCCGCAACCACGCCCGCCTTGCATGTCCGAGCCGATGCTCCCTCCACAGCTTGTTGCAATGCCGCCAAACCTTCTTCCCGCTTTGCCCCCTCACCAACCTCAGCAGCACCTTGCGCCCGCTCCCCCCTTGCCGGAAATCTCGTCTGACGCAACCATTCCCGCATCTGATGCGGCCACCATCGACGAAGCCCTCAGCGGGGGGCCCTCCGAGAAGGACTTGGTGCACGATGCGGACTTGTACTCGCCCCTTCCTGCGGCAATGCACTCATCGCCCCCGATCCCCCGGCGCCTGGAGGCCCGCCACAACGACACGCCGCCCTCGCAGCAGCGTGTGCAGCAATCGTCGGCCACCAAATCCCGCCACAGGCGCGGGTTCGCGTCCCTAGATGACAGCGGGTACATTTCCTCGCTGGAATCCTCGGTTATGCGCCCACAGCAACACGCTAAGCTTCTCACATCGGAGGCTGACCGGCCGAGAATCAAGAGGGGAGGTCGCGCGGAGGAAGAAATTGCTCGTCTTCGTGCCTCGTCTTACGACAGCCCATCCAAGGGGCGCCCGTACAACTGCGTACCTGCTTCATCATCCCCCATTCGGCGGCAATCTAGCGGCGGAGGTGGTCAGATGCTCCCGCCCTTGACGCCCGCCACAAAACTGAAAGCACCGCCGAAACCTCCACCGTCTGTCTCGCCCAGTACAAACCTGCGTCTGCACCGGGAGAATATCCAGTCCATGGTGGATTCTCCCATCCGGCGTGTGTCCGCGCTGCTTCCCGAAGGCGACCTCGCGGCTCAGCATACGCCCAATGTCCACGGAGAACATCTATGGTACTATCTAGAGCAGTCGGGCCATAGTGTCCACAGCAACGGCTTTGACATTTTTGAGGATGCCCCTGATTTTCAGTCCCTCCTCGCCTTGACTCCCAACAACGCTGCCCCGATGGGTTCACCAGCTAAGCGCTCGGTAAGGAAGCAACGGTTAGAGCGGTCGCAGTCCACCGGCGCGTTGAATCAGCTCGCGGGTGTGGCCCCCAGCGCCTCCAAGTCCTCGTCTTTCCTCAAGATCCCCAGTCAGCCTTGTAACCTAGTGCTGGACACTCCAAGCAAGGTCTTCGACGGACTCCCGTCGTCACCGAGCAAGCTTTTCCTCGACCTACAATCGCCCAGCAAAATGCCTCTCATCAGTAATGATAATCTTGATGTCTTCCACGGCGTCAACCTCAGCGGGCTTGACACACCGGACTTTCTCGTTGAAGAGAACGACTTCTCTGGGTTCGACATGCTTGCCGACTTTGAGAAAATTGGCGCGAGCAACACACAATCGTCGCGGGGCGCTAACAGCACTACGTCATCGGCCCCAGCACCAGCAGGAAAAGGCCCTGTCAACCGTGCTTACACCTCGACGTTCTAAATCTCTCGTCTTCTGCTCTCGTCGTCTGACCGCCGCCCCTTCTGGTCATCTCTTTATCTTGTCGAATCACCTAGGTTTTTGTTTTGGAGGTTGTTATTGCATTGCGTTCTCGGAGGCTACGGGGATGGTTACCGGGAAACGGGGGGACGGGGATATGCTCTGATGACCGTCACGATTATGAGAAAGAGAAAATGGGGGGCAACCGGTTCTGCTTTTTTATTTCCTTCTTTTTTTTTTTCCTTTTATGCTCGCCGCCACACCCCCTCACATACTGCGCCATACCACGCCCACGACCTCCACCGCCCACACTTCCCAATTCTCAAAAGAGGATTTTGCTTCCCTAGCAACCATCTCACTACTTCCCATCGCCTAGCATGGGGGTGGGGACTCCGCTCTTGAACTCGGTTCTTATCATTTGTCCTGTCTCGTCGACCAGGCTTTGGCAATCAGGATAACGACGGGATGTCCCTTCTCTTGAGCTTTCCTACGTTGTATCGTCCCGCCCCTCCGTCCGCGAGAGCACAGACAACATCAGCCACACCCTGCGGTTCTTCACCGCTCGCTATGGAAGCTACGGATTATTTCCACGCACCGACATGGGCACGGGCGGTGCATAATAGTGGCGGGTCTTTGACACTGGCTAGTTGGCCCACTCGGACGAGAATAGCTTAAGGAGGAAAGGGTAGCTGAATTGGGTGGCCGGGGCTTGACTTACACTCGGGAGGAGTGCTCTCTGGTTTATGATGGAGATGTTGTTTATGTGCTTGCTTTCTTCCTTTCTTTCTTTCACTTCTTCTTTTTTTCCCTCGCTCTAGTTTTTCTTTTCTTCCTCACCCCACACACTCCTTTTGCGAACTTACAGCGACTCGGGAGTGGATGGGATCGGGTGGGAATCAAACAAACACACTTTGGGACCTCGGGCTGGGCTGGGGGTGGGTGTTCTTGTTTTCTGTTTTGGTGGGGGGTTTTTATTTCTTTGGTCTTTCAACGGCCATGAAATGAAAATACTCGCCACGGAACCGGACTTATAGGAAATTGGGTTCATGGGAAATTGGAGGCGCTGAAGTCTCTCTTCCATGGGCGCGTGGAAGAAGACGGTTTGGACGTCTTTGGGTCGGGGTTTCCTGGATTCTTCTTTTTTTCCTTTTCCTATCAGCGAGAGCGTCCGGTTCTGGGTCTGGGTTCTGGGTCTGGGTCTGGGTCTGGTCTGCTTTTTTTCCGGTTGGATGGGATGGGATGGGTTGGTCGGCATCGGGTAGGGTAAACTATGGGAATTGGGGGATATGGCACGGACATGGGAGGTCGAGCGGGTCAATTCATGTGTTTATTTGTGGTTGTCTTTGTCATTGTCATTGTACTTGCGGGGTATCTCATAACTTTGTTCTAGTTGGGGGTGATCGGTCGATTGACATGATATTGTTGCCTCTTTTCTGCAAATGCTGGCTTGCTGTTGTTGTGGTTTATGGTGTATCACAATCCGCGCTCTCTTGTTCATGATATTGCTACTGTGAGCTGTCCGACTCAGCTCCTTGGTTTTCTTGTGTTGTGTAATGCTAATCCTGATGTAATCCTTTTTTGAGTTGAAATGGTTGTTTACTTTACGAACTGTCATGTACCATATTTTATACCCTGGGGCTAAAACTGTCAATCAAGCTTGTAAACTTGAAAATGGAGCATTAAACTTGTCAGGTACTGCGAATATGTGTTTTGCACTGGGACTGCCTCCCTTCTCTTTTCTTTCTTCCTCTTTTATTATTTCGTCTTCTCGTCCTACCACCTTACTTTGTCTATTCGTCGTTTCCTTGTAGGGTATCTCGACCTCATTTCCTAACCCCGAGAAATAAAAAATAGAGAAAAAGAAGTCCGCAACCACCACTCCGGAAGTTGGAGGTGGACTTCCCACCACTTGGGTGTCCGGAAACAAACGCAAAAAAAGGACATTCTAAATACGCCCATTGTCTATCCCAATCCACCCAATCCCGCGTCACTCCATCCCATACACCTCCGATGAACTCCCATACCCAAAACGCCGGGTTTCCATGCCTTATTCCTAGTATTAAGTTCTCCTCGCAATCGCCCGTAACTTATCCGCTTAAAGACCTAGACTCACTATCCACTCTTCAACTCGAACTCTATATTATGATAAGTGTCTTGCCCTGTCCCTGCTCACTGCCTCCTTTTGGGATACGCCCAGGGGACTCCGCGCTAGTAAATCCCCATGCGCGTAGCCCAACCGGTAGCTGCGGTGACAGCAGCCTCCTTTCGTTGCTGCTGTTGTTGCTGTAGTGGTTGCGGAGAGTGTTGACTGCTGTTCCCACCATTGGTGCCGACGTGGATCTGGTAGGGGAAAGGGTTAGAGTCGGAGGTGGTAATCGGTGGTATGTGGTCTTTGTGGGCGTTGGCTAGTGTGATGGTTTTCATGATGGTGTTGTGCAGGGTGGTTTCGGATGCGCGGCGGACTTTGGCTCGTTCTGAGAGGTTTGATTAGCGAGGGCTCGGTTGTTTACGTTGTGATGGTTTGGTTGGTGTCAAAAGGTGGGGGGGCGGGGAGGACAAGGGGAAAACGGCAGGGGAAAGGAAAAAAATAGTCAAGGAGCAGGAGCAAAAAAATGAAATGGACGGGGGGACATACCGCCTTCTGTCCGAGGATCGGCCACGGTCACTTTGACTGTCCAGCTCTCCCAGCAGACCTCGTCGTCGCCGCGCATGGCGTACCACGTCTTGCGCCGGCGCTTCTCTAGAAATTGGATGGTGACCTGCCCGCGACCGCCTCCGCCGCTCGAGGTCGTCGAAGGAGGCGTACCCGCTCCTAGTAAACCAAGACCGAGGCCGCCGCCGCGGTTGTCGGATAGTGCATGGGACTGGTGGCGCTCCGACTCGAGTTGGCGCACCAGAGCGGCCACACGCTGGTCGATGAGCGTTTCGATCTCGGCTTCGGGGACGTATGCAAGTTCGAGCCCGAGCACATCGCGAGTCTGCGGGAGGACGGCAGAGAAGTATCGGAGGAAGAAGATGGTGTGGAGGATTCCTGCGAGGGCGATGAGGTCAGCCTTTGCGCGGCAATGTAGGGTCGCCGGGACTGGCGCGTTGACGATGCTGTAGCGACGGCAATGCTTTGGCCGAGCCGAGGAGAAACTAGCGACACAAAGTGATCTTGGGCGAAACTCACCACGAACTACGTCGCGCACCGAGCTAGGATCGGCAAAGGCCTCTAGGATGAACTCGGGGGCGCCGCGCTGATCCATTGCGAGAGTCCTAGCGAGGTAGGCGGGTAGGTAAGTGTTCTAAGTAGTGTTGGGAAATGTCGGCGTTCTGCAAATTCGGAGGATGTCGATGTTGAGGTTGAAAAGGGGCTAGGCTGTTCAGAGACTGAGGGGCATTTGCAATTGAGGGGCAGCGGGAACGGAGCGAAAGGAATTGTGACGTCCAGGTTCGTTGGCCCGTGTGGAGTATCACCGTGCCCCGGATTCCGGAACCCCAGGCCCCCACGGTGAACTCCGGGGGGTTTGTCACTAAAATGCCCGCTGTTCACCCGGCGGGTGGCGAAACCCACAGCGCTCCTTCAGTGGCCACAGCTGTGGAATGCCGATTCCAACCGCCCGTTCGGGTTACCTGCAGCAGTGTCCTTCGATCCAGGCGAATTGCCCCGTCAAACTTCCGTACGGTTCCGTCGGGTTTTGACTGTGGTTTTTTGAGCGGTTTGATCCTTTCTATCCGCGCCCTGATCCCACCGTAGATAACGGATGACAGATGACAAGCTCAGCAGGCTATGGAAAGCCCGGGCCGAAGAGGCGCAGCTGGAAGCGCCAGTGGGGGTTAGGGTTAGAGTCTCCCTTCATTCTCCTTTTGCTGTCCGATGACTCGGGGCTTCGGACATGCTACCGTCCCCCGAACACTTACGTAGATTCGCACTCGACACGTTTCTTTCGCCGTCTCCGAATACTGCAGGTCCTTGCTCCGACCGGGGCACCTAGCCTCCGGGGCTTGCCAGCTTCCTCCCCCCGCAGGCTTCCACCCACCTCCCACTATTCCATTCGACAAAAGTCTGGAGGAAACAACGCGGCCTCTTCCCATCGTCGTCCGTTCGGATTGTCCACGCTTGGCCAAGGCACACATCGTGGGGGGCGTAAAAGGCGTTCCTGTGATCGTTGAGATCGCTGCAGAACAGGAGCAGGAAGTCGTAGAGCGGGATACGGTACGTCGGGTCATAGTGCCAGGTGTCGAAGACGACCATTGTGCGGCGGGCGTGGTCGCCGGGAATCTCAACCAGCCTCGCACGTCTCGCCGTTGGCTCCTCAAAGCGCGTCCGCACCCGGTTGTAATCAGTCGAGTCCGGGAAGACCACTGACAACGTCCGCAGCCGTGGGCAGTGCTCCATGATGCACTCGGTCATGTGCTGTCCCACAAAGGCCGTCGCTGAGGGGACGGCCAAGTGACGGAGCTGTGCCAACCACTTGTCATGACCGGCTTCAAAGTAGGATGCCCAGAGGGAATTCTGCACGTTCTCGTCCCAGAAGGCGGTGTCCAGCTCGGGCCGGAAGAGACGGTACGGCACATCACAGCCGGCCGGTGGCATGTACTGGAAGATGATGCCGCTTAGGTTGCGGGTGTACTCGCGCGACTCCCGACATGTGTGCATGAGCGCCGGAAATACCGTTTGGACCAACATAGGCTCCGGGTTTACTTGCCGGCCCTTGATATCGAGATGGTCGGCCCGGACGATGAGAACCTCGGGCTCGTCCTCCGGCAGGGCGAAGTGCCATATCAACTGGCGGAGCTCGAGGGGGAGGTCATTAAATACAGTGAAGCTAACGATCTGGGTCATGATGGGCGACGCCGCGATGCAATACAGTGCAATGCTGCAATGCCGCGCTGTGTGTTGTTTGTTGCTTAATGTATCACTGTCGTGTTGCTCAGGACCGGCTCTGGGGTTGGAGGTCGAGGAGTACGATAAAACTGCAGCTCAACTTCACTGGCTTTCGTGAGCTTCAAGTTCCTGGGCCAGTCCGTCCGTTATCATGGCTCGCATGCATCCGGCTATGCAGGGGACATTTGTGTGGGGAAGTCGGCTGCGTCAGATCGATACAAGGGTTAGGGTTAGAATGAACAGCTCCGCGTAATATTACATTCATCAAACACGCATTCGCGATCCCCCATTTGGAGACGCGCCACCCCACCCGGCTTCTGATCAGCCCTATCAGGACCCGCCGTGCCGAGGTTATCTGCGATGGTGCAGCAGGGGCCGAGCCAGCGGGAGGCTGCCGAAGACTGGGCACCACCAGCACTTTCAGGGCAGCACTTCAACACCCGACTGTCAGCTGCAAACCGGGCACGACACCAACTTCCCAAGGTAGCAACTACACCTCCACGCATCCATTCTCACGCAAACACATGTGGATGCCCTACACGAAAGAAGCGCAACACTCGCCTAGCACACCATGCTCGCCGCAACGAGGCGATGGTTTCGGCGCAACCGCACGCCCCTTGCCATTGGCGTGGGCGTTGTCGGCGCCGGTTACGTCGTCACTAGCTACGTCGTGGGGAAGCTACGCGATGCCCGCGAGCGCATGAGCAGCGACCGCATCGCCAAGGAGAAGTAAGCATTGAAATTCTAACTACCTAGGTCAATTGGTGCGAGTTGCATTGTGCAGGACTTCCAGAGCTGACTCAATGGACGTGCTGCTGCTAGCTTGCGCCGTCGCTTCGAGCAAAACCAAGAGGACTGCACTTTTACCGTCCTTGCCCTCCTCCCGACCGCCACGGCCAACATCCTGGAGGTTATGGACACGGAAAAGATCACGTACGAGATTCAGCAGATGAAGGGTTCCGCCCTGGCTAGGGCACGGAGCATCGGGTCGACAAGCCCACCAAGCACGTCCGACCTGAACGCGACCGACGACGATGGCCGTAGCATCATCACCGTGAGCGCCCAGAGTGAAGGTGGTGTGCAGGCCACGACACAGCTCTCGGTTGTTGCACCATCATCAACCACCGCGGTTTCAGAAGGCGCCGCGGCCGCGAGCACGAGCGCTCAGCCAGATGCGCCCGCGCCCGCGCCTCCGGCAGCCGTAGCTTCCAAGCCGCGAAAGACTAAGAGGCAGCTGTGGGATGAGCTGACAATTAGCTGTAAGCCGATTCTACCTGGCCCGCTGAACCATTCCGTTGTCCTTGCCCTTGCCTGCTAATCATCGGTTTTAACCCACAGCTATCACGAGAGCATACACCCTCCTTTACACCCTCAGCCTGCTCACCATGCTCACGAGAATACAACTGAACCTACTCGGTCGCCGCAGCTACCTCTCGAGCGTAGTCTCTCTTGCCACAGGCGGAAACGTAGCACCGGGCACGATCAGCCTCGAAAACAACGACGATGACAATGCGGAACTGGCCTATGGCACCGACTTTGAAGTCAACCGCAAATACCTGACGTTCAGCTGGTGGCTCCTCAACCGCGGCTGGGTCGACGTGATGCAGCGCGTCGAAGCCGCGGTCCGCCAGGTCTTTGGCCACCTCAGTCCGCGTGATACCGTCACGCTCGGCACCTTCGCCAAGCTCAGTCACGACGTCCGCAGCCTCGTCGAAGGTACTGCGCCAACAGAGCATGGGCAGAAAACCGCCTGGCTAGCGTTCCTCCTCCCGCCCCCCGATATGGAGGAGTATGTCCTGCGTGAATCGGGTGTGCTCGACTCCGATCCGCTCTCCGAAGAGGATGCAGTGCCGTCCACTCCTGCCGGCAATAACCCTACCCCCCCCAGCTCCCCCTCGACGGCCGCCTCGCTTCGCCGCCTGCTCGACGAAACCGCCGACCTGATCGAGTCACCCCACTTTGCCCACGTCCACACCCAGATCCTCAACGCCGGCTTCTCCACGCTTCTCGAACACAAACTCGGCGGCGGAATCTTTGACCCTTTGGTCGGAGCCACCCCCAGCACCAGCAGCGCAAGCACCAGCGCACCACCACTATCAGCAACAACTCCCTTCAACGACCCTCTATCCAGCGCCCTCGGCGGCAGCGCCGCGAATCGTGCCGTCCTTCTCCCCAAGATCACCAGTGTCTTGACGCGCCAGGCCCACGTGATCGGGCACGGCATGCCCAACGAGTACCTCCAGGCGATGGAAGCGGTGCCGGACCTGGAAGGGTTCGCTGCGGTGGTGTACTCGAGTAATTGGCAGGCGGAGGTAGTGCCGGATGATGGCGCCGGTGCGCCGGAATCGGGGTCGACGCCAAGGGACGCTAAGTCCCCCGTTGTTTCCTCGGGGCCGGGGAGGGAAACGAGCGGTGGGCAACAGGATGAGAGTGTGGTGCTTGTGGATCACTTGTCGACGAGTGCTACGGCTGTGGACGAGTCGGGCTTGTTTGATAGTGTGTGGGAGAAGGCGAGTGCGTCTAAGTAAAGGGAGGGCGATGCGATTATGGCGTACATTGGGAAAGGGAACCAGAGGGAATGTGTGTGGGTAAGGGTGGACTTGATGTTCTGATCTTTTTCTTCGTCTGTTTTTTTTTTTTTTTTTT